CCCCTATTTTCGTGAATGTGGGACAGGCAAAGGGTATGATGGGACTCGAGAAAAGAGCAGATCTGATGAGAGCGAGCGAGCGTGCTGTACGGAGTAGGAATTCGAAGTCTTGGTTTTCTTTCCTCCTTTCTTGATACTTGTTTTTAGGTATACTGGTACAAGCATTGTACCATTCAAATTAAAATTGAGTCTATTCCCTTTTCATGCAATCGGGTGAATCCAACAACATCAACATTTCTTTCCTATTTGGCGAATCATGCAATACAAAATAATGAGTGTTCCTGCTAACCTATCGGTACCTCACCGCTTCGATTCACTTCAAAATGGAAACGTGTAAATTCAATCCACAGTAAGGTTAATACATAAGCACTCGAACCAAATACATATACAGCTGCTGTGTTCTGTAAGTTTTAAGTTATCTACTATATAGGTAGGTATCTACAAATGTATGCATGAAGGCGGTATTCTCTATTTCACCATTGTTGCCCATCATTCAACCCGCATTGTTCATGTCAAATCATCTCCCGGCTTAGTAAAGTTGGGGAACTATAGTTGGGGAGACCCAGCATAGAGTTTTATGAAAGGCTACCAAGTTGTTCACGCAGAAGTCAGTAATCCTCGACCATCTATTTGAGATTTACTTGTCTACATCATGAATTTGTGTGATAATGCTACTGTATACACCCGGTAGAAAGGCTAAATTCTGGTCCAGGTATAATATCTTTCGCGTGGAAATATAGTGTAGGGCTTAGCCTACCAATAAAGTTTCTAGAAATCTTGGAACCCAACCCTGCATTATCGGTTGTAGAAGATCAAATTGATTCATTGTAATAAGTTTGAAATCTTAACAAAGTAAGGAATTTTCGAGTTAGATGCAACGTTAGAGTAAGAAACGTCTTTGAGCTCTGTAACTAGTTTCGGAAACTTGGCTGAATAGTTGCATATGGGCTAAAAGACAAAATCATAGTTTGCGATTCCACCATTTCATACATCTCAATATTTGGCAAAGAATCTAACAGACCCCAGCGCAGCATGAGAGAGAATCATAGCCTTCAAGGTCCATTGATGTGCCATATGAGAAGTCTTGAATGCACGAGGCACCACGGTCTGAAAGAGCCCAGTTGGATCGTATTTCTCACTTGCCGCCTTCAACTTCTTCATATATCTTGCGCCGTACCCTTCAAGAATCTTCTGCGTTCCAAATCATAGTTGAAGAACCCGTGCCGAGTATATAAATGTCCTTTTGCAGAAGGAGCATCAATTTGCTCAATCAGATTGAGAACAGTGGATGATATGAGGTCATCTGATGTAGCATTCGCGTGCACTGTATTGATGAGACAGATGAAGAACGGCTCATGCGGTTGGAAGGGTAGAGACCGTTGAGGGCTTAATGTCCAACCTTGTTTCTCAGCCAGTCACGAAGGGATTTCTCGTCCCCTCGTAGTCTCACAGGGAAAACTTCCTGGTGTTGGACGCAGGTTTCCAGAGCTTTCGAGCATCAATCATGAGCTGGACATCGACAGGAAAACTCGTTTTAGAAAGTCATTAACGAATCCCGTTGGCGCTGGAGGCTGGTTTCCCTTCTGCAAAACTCAGAAGTGAATCGATTTGTAGTGTTTGTGCCTAGTTGTGGTTAGATATCCGCAAATGGGTTGAGTGATAGGGGATTAACTGTTAGTTAGTACAAGTTTGAAAAGCAAACTTCTTCCATGCTAGAAATAAAACTTGTTACCCCAATGAATGATGCGTTTTCATCTTCTGGAGTGCCAACAGATCGGAATTGACCACTGGCGAAGTCCTTCAACAATCCGATTGCTCCATTTCAATTCAAAGAATAAAAAGTTTAGATAGTAATGTATAACTGAAGACTATCCAAGGATTTGTTTGATACTTTTAACTCTTATAATTTTATTTGTGATTGATTTCGGCCTCTATTTTCTCCTATGTATAGCATAGGTAGGTAAGCAGTGTGTATGACAAGTCCGTCCCTAGAGAACAGAGGGGGAGAGGGATAATAGTCAAGGCGTCTGAATAAACTTTCATAAGAGATCAATACTCAAAGGGATTCGGGGTTTGATTGTTTCGATATAATTCGTTTGCACATTTGAATGGATATATATGATTTATAACGTATAATTGGGCATTTGAAATATGAGGATAGCTTTGCAAGATATCTCTTCGAGAAAGAACCCTTTGAGTGTAGACAGGATCCCATATGTATATATAGACTGTCGAAATCTGAATTTCTATGCACAAAATATGTAAATTCCACCCCAAATGAGATCCCTTACATTGGACCTGAAGGACCACTTGACTGAGCGACCCGAGTTAGATGATGCTGAAGAAAGTTTAGGTGTTGGAACACTTTTAATATGAGTTTGATGTCTCTACCTATGGTGCTTGACTTCTAGATTGTCATTGAAGGTTCAAAGGGATAATATTTCAGAAAGAATGGCAATCAGAACCTGGGAGAACGTTACATTATGAATCATTTCGCGCGGGGCGTAATCCCCCCATATATTTTATTTCACTCAAATGGCTGAAGTCTGGGAAGAGAACCCTGCAAAAATTTCATTTTCCGTCTGTTTTGTTGACGCGGGGTAAATTTAATCAAATTGATGAGGAATACCTCCCTACCTAGTAGGTACCAATTCACATGTTCAACAGATTTCAAATGAATGACATGATGTGTATACTAGGTATGCACAATGTTGCTTTAACAACCTCATTCTTTTATTCTCCTCACAAACGCAGAAACTAATATGGACTTGAATGGAATCGTGATTGTCATTTGACTTTTCCTAAGAAGAAATCTACATACTCCATGGGGATTACCGGTGGAAAATAGAGATCAAAAATATGGAGGGATGTAAGCTTCTTAAGCAATTAGGCTATTCTAATAGAAGCGAGTAAAATACCGGATCAAAAATGCAGTTTGGGAAAAACACCTATGCAATTGCGGACTATGCTTCCTGGACGACTTTGTGTGCCAAAGCACTTCGGAGGTACTCTTAGGCCAAGAACGTCGTTCCTTTAGAAGGTAGTCAGGGAGTGAAAATGTCGATAACCCTCAAAATTTCATCTAACTCTGCTTACACTCAGCAGCCTCTTGCTTGGGCTTCGCAGCATCATCCTAATTCCAGTTAGTTTATGTAGATAAAATGTGTATCTGACAACTTACGTCCTCATCCGACTCATCTTCATCATCATCACGGTCTTCACTCATATCCTCCTCATCGTCTTCATCCTCAAAATCGCCTTCCTCCAAATCGTCATCCAACTCCTCGAATTGAAGGGCCTCACCAGTGAACCAATCGATTGCACGTGGAATAAGCTTCTCCTTAATATCCTCACCCAACTGGTAATCAAGCTCAAGACGCTCCTCAATATCCGAAGCCAAGTCATCATCGTCCTCGTCGGTAGGTGCCTTAGGTGGGGAGAAGAAGTTGAAGAAGGACTCTGTTGGGACTGTCTTCTTAACAACACGGGTTTGCTTTGTGTCTGAAGTGATAGTTAGTAGAATTTAAGCATGATCAAGTTGTAACAAACTTACTCTTGTTGCGTTGCTTCTTGCTCTCAACTCGGACAGTCAAATCTTTGCCTTCCTTCCAGTTGATCTTGTCACCCTCAGCATGGTCATAGATGAAGTCTCCACCGTAGCCACTCTCGTTTTGATAGAAGTAAGTCTTGGTGATTGTCTTGTTAGTGAAGAACTCGTTGTCGGCAAATTGGAAAATCAAACGGAAACCAGGTTTGTCAAGGTATTCCATTTGGATATCAGTCAAATCCTTGAGGGCGGCCTCATCTCTGTCTGTGATCATCTCGGCAAGCGAAACTTGGTTCTTCATGGCGGAAAGCCAGAATTCTGGGATACCGGAAATCTTCTCGGCGGACTCATCGACCTTTTCGGCTTGTGCGTCGTGCTCTTCATCGTCCTCCTCGCCCGACTTAATCTCCTCTTCGGTAGGCTCAACTTCACCGTTGACGATCTTAGCTCTTTTCTGGTAAAGAGGAGTGAACTTGGCGAAGTACTTCTTCTCAAGCTCCAATACCTCTTCTTGGAATTCGGCCTCTAACTTCGAATGTTCTTTCTGAACGCCCTTGAGGCCGGCAACGCGACGACGGACGGGTGTAGGGAGGGATTCGACGTAACCAGATGAACGGCCTACAAGGGAGCCAAGCTTTCCTTGAATCATTTCGACAAGTTTTGGGTTTTGTGCGAAAATGGAGGCTGCTGTAGCGCGGTCGAACTCCTCTGCAAGGTGAATGTCAGTCATTGGCTTAAAAACTCGGTGTAGGACGGAGTAACAACGTACCTTCCTTAATCGTGCCAACACCAGGTTGCTGAGCATGCGATGAAATAGGAGCGTTGTTCATTGGGGTATTTTGAGGAGTACTGGGAATTAAAATGTCAATATTGTAAATGGAATTTTTTGAAGTATTTGGAATGTCTATTCTGAAACTTACGGAGCGGTTTGGGGGTTGTTTTTCTTTGGAATGTCCGACATCTTTTCGATTCTTTTAATTATTTGAGTAGGTTGATAAAAGAAAGGAAGGTATCTCTTGGGGTGTAAGAGATTTTGTCTCGTGGCGATGTTCTGAAGAAGAAAAGTTCTTGAGGTGGAGGTTGAGAAGTTGTTGGATCTTAGCGTTCAAGATTTATTTAGATTGTGATTGCGGGCTACCACGACTTCTAAATAGGCGATAAGGCGGGGCGAAAATGATGAACCTGAGGTTGAGGTTGAGATGACCGAGATGACCAATAGCGAGGCAAATTCGACGAGCTACCTTGGTCCCTAGGGATTTTCATAGTCTAGTGAATAGTGAGTAAGACTTTCCTAGGACTGCTTGTTGATCGCGCCGCGCTACGAAATTATAACTTTTCCTAATCTCCTAGGAAGTTGGCCGCCAACATTTTGGCCATTGACCGATAATGTATATTTCAACTTCATAATTATTCACTTTTCGGCTCAAAAGCTTTATTTCTTCGTCAATTCAATATGGCAGAGTCCAACGGTTCTGCTGCTGCAGGCCACCGGCCACGGCGAAGTAGCTCGATCGCAAATCATAGGGGAACAAGTCGCCATGGGCTTTACAGAAGAGATTCCAATGTGTCCACCACAAGCTTCATGGACGATGTTGAGATGGCACATGATGAGATGTTTTCGGGTGCTGTTTCTGAATCAGTACCCTCTAGCATTGCATCCTTCGCACATCGACGGTCACGAGCAGATTCCACCGCAAGTTTCACCTATTATCAAGAAAACGAGGACGATGAGCTCTTACGAAGTACCGAGGACGAAGACGATAGCGCTATAATAGATGAGGAAGACGACATTCAATTTCAAGAGGAAGATTCGGACCTAGAAGCTGCCGGGTTGGCTATGAGAAGGACGTCAACCATAGAATCCAGAAATTCCGTGCACGATCGATTATTACGCAGTGACAGTGCAAGAACAGATGGGAGCAATCTTGGACAAGGTCATCGAACGAATCAAAAAATATACATCATCACAGAGGACCTTACTATAGTAGTCGCTGGTTTTCGAACAAGTACTTTTGGATTCGCGCTATACTTGGCCATCTGTATACTTTCCTTTGGTCTTGGTTATCTTTTACTACGATGGTTGCCGCGCTGGCAAGTCCGGATCATTGGTACTCCATCGCCGCTGAGAGAATGTGCTTGGGTTGTCATTGAAGTCAGTAATAATCGTATACTCGAAATTCCAATATTCTTTTCAAGCGACTCTGTGTGCCCCCTTAAACTGCAATGATACGCGTGCTGACTTGATCTGTGTGCGTAGAACCAATGGGGAGAATTTGTTGTCCAAGATGTCGAATCAAAGGAATACGGGCGCTCTCTTTCTACAGTCTTCGGGCTATCAGAAAAGAAATACATGTCTTATGATTATGACGACGACCCAATTTTGGACAACTTGCGTATTCTTGACTATCGTTATATGCGGTTCTCATTCAATCCTTTAAAGGATAGATTCGTCCTTTGTAATAGTGAGTTTCAAGGCTTCCTCATTGTCGGAACACAGTCCAAACTATTGGAATTCGTGGGCTATTTCGTAGCCTGTGTGAACTTACCGTCATAATTGAACCGCACTAACTGATAGCTCACAGGCTGGAAAGATCCAGCATGGACCGACGTAAAATCCATTCGTTCTGGGATCAGTGGAGAGGAAAAGGAAAATAGAGAACTAGTTTTTGGAAATAACATGATCGATATCAAACAGAAGACTGTTCCTCAACTTCTTGTGGACGAGGTACTTTATAATTCTCTCCGCCTGAAAGAAACCCCTACTAACTAGCTAAGGCATTCCACCCGTTCTACGTTTTCCAAGTTGCCAGTCTTTTTCTGTGGTCAATGGATCAGTACTATTACTACGCTGCGTGTATTTTTGTCATATCCGCTGTGAGCATTACTACTACACTTCTAGAGACTAAATCGGTGAGTACATATACATACCTGACAGCTCGTATTATACACACTAACAATTCAACCAAAGACAATGAAACGATTGAGAGAGATTTCAAAATTTGAATGTGACGTTCGTGTACTGCGCAATTCCTTCTGTAAGTCACACGATTTTTCTTTTCTGGCAAACACAAGCTAACATTTTTAGGGCGTTATGTTCCATCAAGTGAACTTGTTCCTGGAGATGTTTACGAGGTCACGGATCCTGCCTTAGGACAGTTTCCCTGTGATAGTCTATTACTGGCTGGCGATTGCATTGTAAATGAAAGCATGCTCACTGGTAAGGTCTACAAATCTCATAAGTAAAATATCCTGACTTCTTTTAGGCGAGTCCGTTTCCTGTCTCTAAAGTACCTGCCACTGATGAATCTTTGCGGCTTCTCAACCTATCTGCTTCATCCGTAGCACCGGAGCTCGCGAAACATTTTTTGTTCTGTGGGACTAAGATCATCAGGGCACGCCGTCCTCATGATGATAACGATGGTGAGGCAGTTGGTCTCGCTATGGCTGTCCGGACAGGCTTCAATACTACAAAAGGTGCATTGGTTCGGTCCATGCTCTTCCCAAAACCTTCAGGATTCAAGTTTTACCGAGATTCCTTCCGGTACATATCTGTCATGGGCGGTATTGCGATGCTAGGATTTGTTGCATCGTTCATAAACTTTGTACACTTGAATTTGGCGTGGCACTTGATTGTTGTCAGAGCTCTGGATCTGATCACAATTGTAGTTCCACCAGCTTTGCCTGCTACACTTACTATTGGAACCAATTTCGCCCTCGGGCGCCTTAGAAAGAAGCAGATATTTTGTATCAGTCCTCAAAGAGTGAATGTCGGTGGAAAGCTCGACATCGTATGTTTCGACAAAACTGGAACATTGACTGAGGATGGTCTAGATGTGCTTGGAATTAGAGCTGTACATCAGCCCGCAAATAGATTCAGTGATATTCTCACTGATGCAACATCCTTGTTACCCGGGGCGGCTTACGAACGTGACCCGACAGTTGATTACAACATCCACAAAGCCATACTCTACACAATGGCAACATGTCATTCGCTTCGAGTCGTCGATGATGAACTTATGGGCGACCCACTGGATCTGAAAATGTTTGACTTCACTGGTTGGTCTTTTGAGGAAGGCCAACACAATTCCGGCGATACCGATGATGAGGATTCGGGAGGATTGTCACCTTCAATTGCACGACCCCCGGCGGGCATGGAATACGATTTAGATGATCAAGACAACGCCACTAACTCTCCTATTGAACTTGGCGTTCTCAAATCCTTCGAATTTGTCTCCCAGCTTCGTCGAGCCAGTGTAATCGCCCGGAACTTTGGGTCCCAAGGGTGTGACATCTATGTAAAGGGTGCCCCTGAATGTATGAAAGATATTTGTAAAGCGGAAAGCTTTCCCAGTGATTTCGAGGATCTTCTTGCGTATTATACCCATAGAGGCTTTCGTGTCATTGCTTGTGCCACGAAACATATCAAGAAGCTTAACTGGGTGAAGATGCAGAAGATGAGCCGCGAAGACACTGAATCGGAACTGAACTTCATTGGGTTCATTATTTTTGAGAACAAACTCAAGCCGAGTACAGCTGGTGTGTTGGACGAATTGACTGAAGCTGGTATTAGGAAGGTTATGTGCACGGGCGACAATATCTTGACAGCCATCAGTGTCGCCCGAGAATGCAATCTCATCGACAAGACCGCTCATTGTTTTGTACCCCATTTTGCAGAAGGAAACTCGCTAGATCCCAAAGCTCGATTGTCATGGGAAAGCATTGACAATGGCATTTATAAACTCGACAATGAAACTTTGACTCCACTTCCTCCGCCAGTAGAGGGCGATGCGTCTTTGCCTTACGATATATCTAATCTAAGGAATTACTCTTTAGCCGTGAGCGGAGATGTCTTCCGCTGGGTTGTTGATTTTGCGCCTCCAGTCGTTCTACAGAGAATGTTAGTCTGTGGCCAAGTATTTGCGCGGATGTCGCCCGACGAGAAGCATGAGCTAGTGGAGAAACTACAAAGTATTGATTACTGCTGCGGATTTTGTGGCGATGGCGCGAACGATTGTGGTGCTTTGAAAGCCGCAGACGTCGGCATCTCATTGTCTGAAGCAGAAGCCTCCGTCGCTGCGCCATTCACCAGCCGAGTATTCGACATTACCTGCGTTCCTGAAGTTATACGTGAGGGCCGAGCGGCTCTAGTGACCAGCTTCAGCTGTTTCAAATACATGAGTCTGTACTCGGCCATTCAATTCACATCTGTGAGCTTCTTATACGCATCTGCATCAAACCTCGGGGACTTTCAATTTCTCTTTATTGATCTAATACTAATTTTACCTATCGCCATCTTCATGGGATGGACTGGACCTTTCCCTACTCTATGCCAGAAACGTCCTACAGCCAATCTTGTATCAAGGAAGGTCTTGACGCCACTCCTAGGTCAAATTGCCATTTGTATCCTCATTCAGGCCATTGCATTTCAAGCAGTGCGTCAACAGCCTTGGTTCATTCCTCCCCACCTCAACAAGGATGAATCTAACATTGAAAACTCCGAAAACACTACACTGTTCTTGGTATCTTGCTTCGAATACATTTTTTCTGGAATCGTCCTCAGCGTGGGGAAGCCTTTCCGTCAGTCCATGGCACATAATCGTAAGTATTTGCACTTCTTTCTTCTTTCTTCTTGACGACTAATTATTCCTTAGTGCCTTTTGTCGTCACGATTGTCGTAGCATTACTATTCTCACTGTATATGCTCTTTGATCCTTCACAATGGTTGGCGAATTTCATGCAGCTTACCGAAATGAGCTGGGACTTCGAGGTCTTTATCCTGTTTCTAGGTATTGGATATATCTCGCTGGCATGGACATCTGAAAATTATCTGCTACCGAGACTTGGAAAATATTTGGGTATTTTGAAGACGTCAATCAGCCGGAAGCCTAAGCAGAGGAAGACATACAAGTTGGTGTTGGAGGAGATGCGCTTGAGTTCAATGCAATAATGGTTGCGACCAATGAACAAACACGCAATACACAATGTAAATGTAATTATATTTGTAAACAAGCTGGAAAATAGATGGTTTATAAGAATCTTACGGTAGCCTGACATGAGATCCAGACTCCAGTTGAATCTACTTGAATTACTTTGAATCTATTTGGATAATTATTCTCACCCAAATTATTAAGTGATGCTCGATCGTTGAAAACTTAATCGTCTCGATCGTATATACATAGGGAGGGCGAAAAGTTAACCCACTGGACAAGCACTAGCATGAAAGCTAACAGGAGCTACGGGTACCGGAGTACATTTTAGATGATGATATTAATTGGGGACTCTTCCGTGCACCCACCCGCGCACCTACCCGCGCACCTACCCGCGCACCCACCCGCGCTTTGAACATTCCTAAACACAGAGATCCCGAACTCCCAGAAACAATCTGTATTTTAGTTCCCTTAATCCCCAGAAATATTCACGGGAACTAAGTATCTTCTGGTTCTTCAACCTTTGACATATTTGAACTGCTAATCATGAACTATGGTAAATCCAATCTACGTCATCTTACTTCAGACCTTGCCTGACAGTGGCAACTAACATTTTCTAGACTGGATCCTCGATGGAGGATATCTCCCAAATGCTGTAATCCGGCTCGGTATTCGTCGCCAATTGCGTGAGCGAATTGAGTTAATCAAGAGTACTTCATTGGAAGAGGCCTACGAGCGTAAAATGAACTATGTAGAGCTTCTTCGAAGTCGTCCTATTGCCATTGAGACGGCTGCTGCCAATGAACAGCATTATGAGGTTGGAACTGGTGTTCTTGCTGCTTGTTTGGGGCCGAGAATGAAGTATAGTTGTTGTCTGTATCCTAAGGGAAGTGAAACATTGGGTCAGGCGGAAGTGGAAATGTTGGGAACTTATGTGAAGAAGGCTGGATTAAAAGATGGGATGAGCATCTTGGATCTTGGGTGAGTGTTTCTGAGCTCTAGACACGAGGTCTAGAAAAGGGGATGGTATCAACTAATGCAATTCAGGTGTGGTTGGGGCTCAGGAGCATTGTACTTTGCGGAAGTTCTCCCAAATTCTAAGATCACAGCGTTCTCGAACTCAAGAACCCAGAAGCTATACATTGACGAGAAAGCCAAGGAGAAAGGGCTCAAGAATTTGACAGTCATCACTGGTAATGTCGTCGATTATGAGTTTGAAAAAGAGAGTTTCGATCGAGTTGTATCCATTGAGGTAAGTCACATGCAAGAATCCGTTCGAGGCAATGGCTAATCAGACGAAGCTCTTTGAGCATATGAAGAACTATGAACTACTGATGTCAAAAGTTGGAAGAGCCTTGAAGCCAGGGGGAAAACTATTTGTTCATATTTTTGCTCACAAGACTACACCTTACGACTTTGAGGAGGGATGGATGAGCACACACTTTTTCGTAAGTAGAATCGATTCTCTCAACTTGGAATTACAATTTTGAATCTGGGAGTGTGATGCAATCTTGCTGCATCGCCTCTAATATCTGATGCACTTTGAGCTCTGATTATACTTCAAGATAAGTTCCTTCAAATGCAGTCACTGACTCATGGATGTTGTAGTCTGGAGGTACCATGCCCTCAGCGGATTTGTTGTTATTTTTCCAGAAGGACCTCAAACTCGAGAGGCAATGGTGGGTGAATGGCCAGCATTACGCAAAGACTTGCGAAGTAAGTCCTTCAACCAGTTTAAAATTTGGTCTTCCATACTAATAACAATCGTAGGATTGGCTATCGAAAATGGTAGCTAGCAAGCAGGAGATTTGGCCTCACCTAACAGAAACATACGGCGAGAAGGACACCGCAATGTGGTACTACCGCTGGCAAATCTTTTACCTGGCAGTAAGTTACTTTCTTCTGTTTTTTCAAATATTCTTTGCTAACTCAATCACAGTGCGCCGAATTGTTTGCTTATGAAGGCGGAGATACATGGGGTGTATCCCACTATTTGTTTGAGAAGCCCAGCTCTGCCTAATAGCATAGACACTGTAGAACCGATAGACTACGTATAATTGACTTAATTTTAACTCCAATGCCCAATGATATATTTCCTTCCATATGTACAGTTCTTGGCCCACTATCCGTGTTGTGATTCCAGAGTCTGCTTTGGACGGTATCTCTTGATTGTCTGGGTCCTGGCAGCACATGGATACATCCTGACTGCCGCCGCACCATTTTCTCGTTCTGACATTCAATGATCCCAAGGATGCTTCCAGCCCAACAAAGCAGGACCTAAATTGTGTCAGTTTCTGTATTGTTTTGACTAGATTCATTGAGTGGCCGTACCATCTTTCTTCGCGCGGTACATCAACTGTATACGAATTAGCATGGCAATAATGAGAAGATTGCATGAGTATACATACGAAGAACCACATGCTTGCTCCCAATGCTGTACCAGCGAATCTGTATATAGGTGGAGCTCTGTAGAGTCCTCCGGGTCCTGGAGGTGGTTGTGCCATTATGCTGCTAAGCGTTTAGTACCAGATACAAATATAGCAGAGAACAGATTCCATGCAGTTAATAGCAGGCGTACGGACGACTTACGATGGTCGTTGTCTTGTGTTGCTTTCAGAAGTGAGGGTTCAATATGCAGATTGAGAGTCCCAGTCGTTCATACACAACTTTGAAATCCGGACCGGGAGCTAAATGTGATGTAATGGCCCGACATTTAAGGCCACACAACAGAAAGCTGGGTACTCGCCCGATAACCTTGAACCTTTGTATTTAATTCACTTTTTCTATTATGTACTGTACTATAAATTTTCTTCAACAAAATCAATCTCCTTACTACTGTCTTCCCGCTTCCTATTGTACTGGGGAAGGCAACAATGCTGTTAAGATCAATCATAACCTCGCAACACGAGCCCTGAAATCGAAGCTTTAGTTTTAACTATCTACTCTCTCATCGAACACCATTCAAGACAGACGTCATTTCTTTACGAAGAAAAGTCTCGAAATCCACAACTGCAAGATCGCATACTCGACGATCTTCGCGCACACAACAAGGTGCCCTGCTTCCATCTTCGTTTCCTGCCAGAATGGCGACCCCATCACGACCAGCGCCGCAAGCTACCAATGGCATCTATACTCCAGAGCATGCGCGCCATCATACTCGGGCGCAAAGCTCATTTCGCGGCTGCTCCAGAATTTCAGATTATGAGGTCATGGGAAAAATCGGAGAGGGTACATTCGGAGAAGTACACAAAGCCAAATCCAAAAAAACTGGCATGGTTGTTGCTCTGAAAAAGATCCTGATGATCAACGAGAAAGATGGATTTCCAATCACAGCTCTTCGCGAAATCAAAACCCTTAAACTCCTCTCGCACGAAAATGTCTTGAGTCTGGAGGAGATGGCCGTCGAGCACCCGCAGAAGAATACCGATAAGAAGAAGAAGGCCATTATGTACATGGTCACTCCCTATTTCGACCACGATTTATCAGGTCTTTTGAAGAACCCAAATATTCATTTCACAGAACCACAAATCAAGTGCTACATGCTGCAACTACTTAAGGGGATGGAATTTATTCATAACAACAATATTCTTCACCGAGACATCAAAGCTGCGAATATATTGATCAACAATAAAGGTATACTTCAAATTGCCGATTTTGGTCTGGCGCGACACTACAATGAGCCTGTGCCAGTGGCGGGAAAGGGAAATGGAGAAGCAAAAGCGCATTATACTGTTGTGGTGGTTACAAGATGGTACCGTCCTCCGGAACTTTTTTTGGAACTGCAAAACTATACTCCAGCGATTGATATTTGGGGAGTTGGGTATGTTTAACACCTTGATTTCGAAAATCTAACTAATGATCACCAGTTGCGTCTTTGGCGAAATGTTCCTTGGGAAACCAATCCTCCAAGGCGAGAGTGAGGAGCAGCAGCTTAAACTTATTTTCGATTTGTGTGGCACTCCCAACGAGGAGAACATGCCTGGATGGAGATTGTTACCCAAAGCTCAGGGACTCAACTTCAGCCCACCGCGCCCTTCGACGTTAGCACAGAAATTTCGAGAACAGGGCTCAGGTGCTATCTCTTTATTGCAGGAATTGCTTAAGCTCGATTGGAAGAAGCGTACCAACGCGATTGATGCATTGAAACATCCATACTTCAAAAACTCTCCTTTACCGCTAGACCCGCACGACATACCGATCCTAGAATCATCACATGAATTCGATTCAAAGCAGCATCGGGGCCAAAAACAGGCCCCACCACCTCCCAAAGGAGGCGATGTAGGCATGGGACCGGATCAGTGGGACCGAAATGGAAGCGGGCAAGGATATGATAACTACTCCAGTAATCGAGGTCACCAAAACGGTCGCTACCCTCCCCCTCCTCCACACGGTGGCTACAGAAATAGTGGCCCACCGCATCAGCAATACGACGATCGCAAACCAGCTTGGAGAAGAGATGATCGAGGTTTACCACCACGACCACCACCGCCCACTGATTTCGCTTATGATGGTGGAAGATCAGATTCACATGGTCACCGATCTAGATCTCAGGATCTAGATGGCCGTGGCCATCGTGATCGTGAGCACGCGTCTCTTCCTCGCAGTAGAGCTGGAGGAGGTGGTGGGAATATCGATACGTATATCCCAAGTTATAACACAAATAGACGACCAAGAGATGACCGTCCACCCCGAGACGACCGCCCGCCCCGAGATGATCGTCCGCTGCCACGAGATGACCGTCGAGACGATCGTCCACGACATAGTAATGGAACTAGACACGACTACGACAATCGAGGTTCCCGAGAACCTCGCGATAGTCGAAGTCGTAGTCCCAATCATGATCGTGGGAGAGATCGATACAGAGACCGAGAGCCGATAGGAGATCCTTATGCGCATCGTCGTTGATGTTACGTCGGTTTTTCTCAGAACGTAGTTACATTATTATTCTGTTCATTTAGCGTTGGGGTCATAGTTGCGAGGGTGGAGATAAATCTATCTCCTTGACATTACTTTGCGAGATCATGGGAAGTGACTCGCACTTAGGGATTGGCGTGGGTAGCTTTTGGCTTTGGCTTTGGCTGTATCAATTTGGCGTTTCTCACTTCAATGTAATTTTGAAAGCATCAATGGAAGGAGGAGGGGATTTTCATATTCAAAGTATCAATGCAGGAAAGAAAAGGAAAGTGGGTTGGCTGGTAACAGATTGCTCGACATTTTATCAAGCAATCACATATATGAAGTTTCTCGGCTCCTATATTCGGGGACGGGGACATATCGGCATGTAATTTTATGTGGGCGGTTGCATCAATGGCACAAAACAAGATCTCTTTCTCTAATTTTTTCCCGGGAAGATTCATTCGCAAAAGGTGCACGGTGAGTTGGAACCAAAGAATCCGTGGATTCTATGGGGATAAAAAGGTGTGATGGCGAAAGATGCTATGCTACAGATACCTATTTCCCTCTCTTCGCTTTTGTATCATTGTACACATCATATCATATCATATTAAATATCATACTACACAATTAGAATACACACTTGGGAATTTGAGAAGAGATTGTTTCGCGCTAGAACACACTATCCATTGAATTCTTTCGATTGTGATATTAGAAGGCAGAGAGCTCTCGAGAAGATTCCTCAATTTTAATCTTCATACACCAGGCTCGTTGGGGTTAATCGTAAGATACTACTTATGTATACTCTACGCTACAAATCTTCTCCTTTCCTGTCTCTTTCTTACCGTAAACGTAAAGCCTTCCCAATCTCGGACAATGTCTCTTGAGTGAATAAATTACAAAAGTATTTTCAGAATTCAAAGTTCAACATTGATAGTGTAAAGAAATCGTAGACACTATTAACAAACCATTAGAGGTTCCCTAACATTCTGCATCTTGAAGCTTCAGTTTCAAATTTGCAATTGTACTCGCAAAAATGGTTACTAAGAGTTCTTCGCGGTTGTAATGAAACATCTCTTACAAATTGCGCCAGTCACCCTTGTGAGCTTTACCGTGATGCCATGCTAGAAATCAACAAGTCCTTTCTCATACACCCAAACTCCATCCTATGCTCACCAGCCAGCCAGTTGGATTAACCATTGGGAAATTTGGCTCGTAAAATTACACTCAATAGCATCAATTCGGTTTGCTCCGCGGTTGTGGAGCGAGTCTACCATGGTGTTAGTGTCAGTTCACATTGATTGGAGCTGGAAGTGGCTACATACTTGAGAAGCTCGAACTCATTGTATCTCTTCAGATACTTGTTCCCACGTCTATAAGCTTTCAATAGATCGCTAGGATGTTTGCTGCGAACAGGTCCGCCAACAAGTTTGACGACTTTTGACGAATCATGGAACATCGGATCAAAAACGAGAAGATTTTTCGTGCCGTCAGTTAGTTTCTCGAATCCAATGATTGTCATTGAGTGACCTGAGACGCAACAGTTAGATAGGTACGTGGAAGCGAGAGTTTGAGGATTTACCTGGATGTTGAAAGTATATGGGAGGCAGAGACGTGTCACGAACTTTGCAGTTATAATCGAGAGCACCATCGAAAAAGTAAGACTCGATCTTCGAATACAAAAGATTGACTGCGGGAGGGTCTCCTCTATCCTTTCTAGTCTTCATAGCCGCAGTATCACATCTAAAATTTTTGTCAATTCAATGTACAAATTCAAGAGCCTTGGAAAGCATACGGGATTCCAAGAGAGCAAAACATCGCTTGAGCCTATTATTCATGTTAGTTGGTTGACATGCTAGCTGGACATAACAAAGGAGAAGCAGAGGAGGATACTCACGTCAGGAGTTCCAATGTACTTTCTTGTTCCACGAATTCCACCGGTTTCTATTCGACCTTGAGAATTTATTCCTTGGTCCCAGGCGCTCTCAATATATTCTTGGATATCAAAAATAGTTGGAACAACATCACCGAGAACTTTATGACCAGGGAATTGGGATTTAACGATATACGAACACATCATTTGAATGTTTCTGTAGCCACAGAAGCCCCCTAAATAAATGGTCAATAGGAGAAACTCGGTAAGGAAGTGAACACTATACCCTCTCTCATGAGTTTTGAAACGTGGAGAACAGCCGGATCACACAGGTAAGCATAGCTTACTGAACGGTCTTGGTCCAGAAGCTGGGATAGTACAGGAATGATACCATCTGCTTGATTCGGACAATATTTGACCCTCCTCAATTGACCATCTGCATTAATCCTGTTGATCGTCTTATACTGGCCATCTGCTTGGAGCAACTTCACGAGCCATGATGGCATTTGCTTCTCATGCGCATGGGGACCAAGCTCTGCTTTCTGTTCATGAAAGAGGTCAATATCATGTGACAATTAACATTTAAAAAAGTCAGAACCTACACCTAACTGACGGGTACCCTTGGCCGGAGGAGGTTTGGATTGCGATTTTAGAGTGATATCAGGCATTTTCAAGATATCTCTCCATGCTTTTGTCCCGGCTTGCGCTGGCAGTGGCTCTCGGGTTTCGTAATCATGCCCATCATCGATGTTTCGCAGTGCGTTTGTGAGTTTCGTACCAAAACTAGCATCTTTACCAGCACCATTCTTGACTTCTTGTCTAGAAGACCCCGACGCGGGAGTATCTAGGTCCATATTTCCATCTTCTTCTCCGTGCATCTCGATATGACTATCAAGCTCATCAAACAATACCATTTCTCCACATCCATCAATCGGACAATCGGTATAGTTAACATCATCTTGATTTACCATGGCGACAACGCTTGCACTATCTTTTGCTACGAATGGTGATTGTCCTTCAGCATGTAATGTTTCCAAATGTAACTTTCTTTTCATTAGCACACGGGATTCTCTTTTTTGACCCAGAGTAATATTTTGGAAAATGAACAAACCATTATTTGATATTCGCTTTCTGTTTTGAACCCACAAAAGGGACAAAGCATTTCTTGAGCCTCTGGCATCTTGACCTGGGCCATACGGTTGGCTGTGGTGTTCCTGGATAATGAAAGAATTACAAAGAGTGGTAGTTACGTTACGGCTGTTAACGTCGAAAGTGTATATGAACGAATGTATGAACAAGGGTCGAAGAGGTTGTTTTATACACGGCAACTTTAATCGGCTACAGGAAATATGAAACGGAAGAATAGGTATTAAAGAATCGTATGAACTTAAGAGAAGGTAGGTAGGTAGTGAATTGAAGACAAGAAGGGTTAAGAAGGAAAGAAGATGAAAGATTGATTGAGGTTGGTTGGTTTGAATGATTTGTCGATTGCTTACCTGGGTAGGTAGGTAGGTACCTGATGTGATTTGTTAAATCAAAGCGAGGCTGTTACAACTTATTATGATCTGAGGATCTTTACTAGGGACCTTCGTATATCTACTAGGTAGATATTACGCAGTATGAGCAAAAGTTGCTGGGTAGATAATAAATATTAGATATAGTGGTGAGTTGGCTGGTTAGGAGGTTAGCATTTATTAGCATATTATTATCTATTATTATTTATTATTACCGATTAAATATACATAGCAAGTGTACTATAACATTATAATTGTGACGCTTCCCTCGGTTGAGAATAATATTAATAATTTGCGTCTTCATTATGTAAAGATTGATCAATACAATATGTTCGTCACCCAGGTAATCTCAAATTTGGATGGCAATTGTCTTTTCTTTGATTGATGAGTTTCTATGAACAGAATTATGGAGGTGTACGAGTAGATAGATACTACATAGACAGACCGTTTCGTGTTTCTTCATCAGAGTAAAGTCAAACTTTCTCCAACGTTACGCCAAAGCAAAGAGAGACATGGTCACATGAGAAGTGCAGCTTCCAACGCCATAAAGTAACTGTTTTCGGTATCGTACATATCCTTATGGATATACCAACCAGTTCCAGGGTACGGCTGTATTTTTCCTCCGAGGAACTCACGAGACGACAACATTTGACTCTTCCACATCACCACAACGAAATGACACTCCAGCACAATGTCAAACTCAAAATCGAACAACGGTTGAACCCGAAGTTAACGGCGGATCATCGGTCACTGAGCGGTCACTTATCGGCCATGAGATACCGCAAGGCTGACCAATTACATAAATTCCCCGTTTAGACCCAAAACATTTTTCTGTTATCTCTGGTATCATATTCTCTCAACTTTCCTTTCTTACTTCGCATACGGTAGCAAGATCTGATTCCACGTGCAATATGTCCCCTCGTTTGCTATCACCTACTCTCCTCCGAGCATGTCGGAGGAATTACTCTACATCTAGCACCGTTTCTTTGGCGTTCGATTTGCACGAACCTGCCAAAGCCTCGTCCAATGCTCCACGAGCCATCATCTTCATGCATGGTTTATTCGGATCCAAGAAGAATAACAGGAGCATTAGTAAGTGAGCTTTCCTTGCGCACCCGTCTTATCGTCGTTACGGTTCACTAATTCTCGACCTCAGGGCTCTCGCAAGAGATCTAGGAAGGCCTGTCTATGCCGTTGTAAGTCATATCTTTCGAAGAGCTTTAAAGAGCATATATTGAGAGCAAATAGGATCTGCGAAATCATGGCGACTCACCGCATCACCCTAAACACGATTATACTGCCATGGCAGCCGATGTAGCTGGATTTATAAACGAGCATAAACTTACCGGGCCTACACTGATAGGCCACTCAATGGGAGCAAAGACTGCAATGGCTTTAGCACTTGAATCGCCAGAAATGGTCGAAGATATAGTATCCGTGGATAATGCACCCATCGACGCGGCACTCCTCAGCAACTTCGCCAAATACGTCCAAGGAATGAAGAAAATCGAAGAAGCGGGAGTCTCCAAGCAAACTGAAGCGGATAAAATCTTGCAGGACTATGAAGAGGAGCTTACCATCCGCCAATTCCTCCTCGGAAACCTTGTGCGCACTGAAGATAAGACGCAGAAATTCAAGATTCCTCTCAAGATTATTGGAGCTGCTTTGGACAACCTGGGCGACTTCCCGTTCAAGGATCCAGATTCGATCCGCTTCAACAAACCTACATTGTTTGTTCGTGGAACTCAAAGCCACTATGTGCCAGACGAAGCACTTCCTATAATTGGAAAGTTCTTCCCCCGTTTCGAATTGGCCGATATAGACGCTGGACATTGGGTAATCTCTCAGAAACCAGAGGAATTTAGACAAGGTTTGTCTTTCCATTTGTGGGCAGAACTGTGAGAACCTTTGCTGACTGATGTGGAACTAGCCGTCGTAGAATTCTTGAAGCCAAAGGAATAGAAAGGGTAAAAATGTACAGTCTATTGTGTGTATGTAAAAGGGTATCTGCCATAAGTCCATGTCATCCAAAAGAATAATACCCACGTAACGCCTCCGTATACAAATGCTTCGTACCCACCATTCCACGTACTGTTTACCTAATATATTATAATGTGTGCCAGTACCACTTGATCCTATTGTTGTAAGACTATTAAGTCTAGCAAGCGCATCCCGATGTAGAGCTGTTGTTGGTTCCTCCGATCGTGACCTGTAGATTTACACATTAGCACACCCTCCCGCTGCACAACCGCAAGCGCATGAAGAACTTACACCACCCGACTTCCTCTGCCCCCCCTTCAACAACTCCGGTCTCTTAACGACCTCCCTTACCACTCCCTCAAAAACCCCCTTCACACCCTCCCTAGTCTTACTACTACACTCTCCCCATCCTGCCACACCCCTCTCTCTCCATTCCTCCGCCAGCCTTCTTCCCTCTTCTTCGCTCACCATCCGCTTCCCTTTACCATCCAAATCACATTTCGTTCCCACAATCCAGAATACACATCCATCCACCGCATTATTCTCCGCCTCATCAATCCATCTACTCAAACTATTGAACGACTCGCGATTCGTAACATCATACACCAACAATACCGCATGCGCGCCCCGATAGTAAGAATTCGAGAGCGTGCGAAAACGTTCTTGGCCTGCTGTATCGAGCAGATTAAGCCGGTAAGGAGAGCCGTGGATAGAGAGGGTTTTTAACTAGAAGGTAGGGAGGTGTTAGTATATATGCGCTGTATCGTATTATATCATCCATTCAAATAAAAGAGAAAGGAAGAACGAAAATCAGAGACAAACCTTAAAATCGACGCCAATAGTAGCAGTACTACTTTCTGAATCAAACTGATCATCACAATACCGTATGAGCACTAGACAAAAAAAAATACTCTATTAGCACAAGCCTATCCTTTTATCTCAACCGCAATAAACCAAATGCATAAGGTGGAATCGGGGGTCATACATGCAGATTTACCAGCTCCTGACGGACCTATCAAGAGAATTTTAAGAGTTGGTATAGATTCGTCGGATGCCATCGTGAGAATATCGAGTAGTCGTTAGAGAAACAAAAAGCTGAGTGTGTGGATGTGAGGTTGATGTTCTAGATGTAGAAAAGGGAGTGGTATGCATATAAGGAAGGAAAGATGTTGGGGCCATGTTAATCACAACGTCACTCGCTAAAAGCAAGGCTGATGCAAGATCAACAACGCCACCAGTGCATTCACGTGGATCGTCCTCATGGACACTGTGTTTTTGCATTTTTTTGACATTTTTGGAATTGAATGATAGCCCAAGGCTATATGTGATGCAAAGTCACGCCTATATTGCCCAAAGCCCAGACTTGACTACATATCATGCACCATCAAACCCAAACCACATAACATCATCATCCTTAATTTATACTTCCTCCAACACCTTCTCCTTGAATTCCCTCTCAACCTTTTGACCCTGCTCATCTGTGTTTGACTCGCCGTGGAGGTTAAGAAGAGCACCAAGGTCGAACTTGGGTGCCTTCAAAAGCTTGACTTTTCTGATGTGAACCTAGTGTAAAATTAGCATATAGAATTCCAACCTCTTTAAATAACTGAACATACGTTTTGTAATGGGTAGATGCCTTGGGTTGCCTTCTCAATCTCACGACCGATAACCTCTGGGATGAGCTTGGCGGTGAGTTGAGTGAGGGTGCAAGTGCTGGCCTCACGTTGAATAATCTCGGTCATCTTCTTGCGGATGGCTCTGATTTGGGAAGAAGCAGCGTATGTGGTCTTCTTGATTTGGTTAGGTCTGCGCTTGGTGAAAGCAATGGCGAAGAGACGGAGGAGGTAGTCGTCGGTGGTCTTGACGGTGATGTTGGCCTCGATCAAGGATTGCCACTTTCTGACGAGAGATCTGAGCTTGTCTGATGTGAAGTCGAGACCGTGGAAGTTGGTCAAGCAGTTCTTTCCTTGAACCTCATCGACACGGAGCTTAACCTTGCGGAAAGCGTGGTCCTCATCCTTTTGCAAATCGGCCAAAGAAACCTCGACGATTCTTCCCTTCAACGAGTCGTTGGCGTTCTTGAGACCGGTGGTTCTGTTGACAAGGGTCTTTCCGACACTGTAGAAATTATTAGATGGAATTCGAAAGATAAGTAATGGGATTGTCGTACTCTCTGATTTGGAATGAAGATGGTGCCTGTGATAAATATTGTCAGTCTCGGCGGATGAGGTTCTTGTGTCAAAGTTCAACATACCTTGATTTGGTACCAATCTTTACGGGTGAAGGGATCCAAGGTCTTCTTCTTCAAACCCTTCTTGCCCTTAGAGAGACGCTTATTCCTGTCGTGCTGTCAGATTCCAGTTCTTGATGCTTTGCCCCTCGCCCTCCTTCAATTGTCGCGAACCCGCTATATCGAATCCGTGTATATTGCGATTCATCGATTTGCAACAGCACAGTATCGAGGAAATGGGACATAATAGCGAGGAATTTACTCACTTTCCGACAGCCATGATTGCGATTAGTTACCTTTTCGCCGACTGAGATTGAATTGTTGAGTGGGCGTTGGTGGTCTGGTGAAATCAAAAAGAGGTCTTCAAACAATTTTGATTTCTGTGCGTAAATGAAAATTAAGCGAGTTATTTTTGATAGTTCCAATGGTCCAAGCGCTACGAAGGGTCAACGTACTAAGAATTGCGGCAGACCCAATCATTGAAAATGCATGGGAAAACTTTTGCAAATTTGATACAATAAAGCAATTTCAGGTGAGGGTGGAGGGGGTCAATTTTCATTTGGAATCGATGGGACATCGGAGAGTGTTATGTTCTATCTTGATTTCTGATGTTTGGCTTTCTTCTCCCAGTGGTAAGGGTCCCTCCATCTCCATACAGACAAGACAGCAAAAGCGACATACCAATCACTCATAAGCTGGCTCATGCATTTAAAAGCATTTGAATCTTTGATTTTACATAGGACAATGACAATTATGATAGTAGTAGTCTGAGGTAGTTTAGATGTTCCTCCATAGTTCCCAGCAGTATCAATATCAATTAGAACCTGCTCATTGGATATGCACGTAGGTAGGAGGGTAGGTATTCTAACTCCCAATTCAAAGTTCTCCTAGTTGGATTCAACATCGAACATTGAAAAGAATCTTCGCGGATGATCTATTTTTGCCATCACCCGACTGCACATCCTATCCTGTCCATCCTACATCCTACATCCTACATCGTGCAGTTTATTCCGTCCATATGGAAAGATGGTAACTGGTACCGGCATCGGTATCACTTGACTGGACCTCTGACTTTTATTACTTTATGGCATTGTGAAAATAAAGCAAATAATGAAAATTCTCATGTCAGTTCATTGTTCCGGAGCCTCGCCGAGCCTTGCCGATGACACGATATTCTACCAAAGCAATACTTTGCGAGTTTGTGCTTGTCATGCCCCTCAACTTTACTAGGTTTTGACTCATCCATACATGAACAACGAAAACTTAAATTGTTGATTAATCCCTTAACTTTTTGAAGATTCATTTTCTATACTCTTCATTCATCATTCATCACTCTTTATAGTTTTTCATTTTCATATTCAGACTTCTCAATCAATTGCTTCCAAAATGACTACACCACAAGATATCGTTGGGGCAAGCGGCCTCTCAAGAATGGTCTCCAATAGCATGAACCTGAGCGGTTCCCCTACATTAAGTTTCCATTCTCCACCCTCGAGCTATGGAGGTTCGATGTCGAGAGCAAATGCGCAAGCTCAGGCAAAGCAATTGAAGCCATTTGATAAAGAAAACATTAAGATTTTGCTCTTGGAAAATGTCAACCAAAGTGGAAAGGATATTCTTACCGGACAAGGATACCAAGTTGAATCACTGAAGAGTTCTTTACCAGAGGCCGAATTGATCGAAAAGATTCGGTATGATGAATGAAGCCAACAAAGAAGCAAGCCTTGCTAACAACTATTGTATAGAGATGTCCACGTCATTGGAATCAGATCGAAAACCAAGCTTAACGAGAAAGTCCTTCGTGAAGCCAAGAACCTGATTGTGGTGGGATGTTTCTGTATTGGCACAAACCAAGTCGACCTTGACTACGCTGCCGCACATGGAATCGCAGTCTTTAACTCTCCCTTCGCCAACTCCAGAAGTGTAGCAGAATTGGTCATTGCGGAAATCATTGTCCTTGCCCGTCAACTCGGCGACCGATCGAATGAATTACACAATGGAGTTTGGAACAAAGTTAGCAACAAATGCTGGGAAATTCGTGGAAAGACTCTTGGTATGTAATTGCACACATGCCTTCTTTTAGCATAGGGCTAATTTTCTATTTCAGGTATAATTGGTTATGGCCACATTGGATCGCAACTATCTGTTCTTGCCGAAGCCATGGGCATGTCGGTGATCTACTACGATGTTGTCAACCTCATGGCTTTGGGTACTGCCAGACAGGTTCCTACTCTAAACGAATTACTCAATACCGCAGACTTCATCACATGCCACGTTCCTGAACTTCCAGAGACCAAGAATCTCATTGGAAAAGCACAATTCGATCAAATGAAGGAGGGAAGCTATCTTATCAATGCCTCCCGTGGTAGTGTGATTGATATTCCAGCTCTCATTGAAGCCTCGAGAAGTGGAAAGATTGCTGGTGCAGCTTTGGATGTATATCCAAGTGAGCCAGGTGGAAATGGACCATACTTTACAAACGAGTTGAACGCTTGGGCGGAGGATCTCCGTAATCTTAAAAACATCATTCTCAGCCCTCACATTGGTGGCAGTACCGAGGAGGCCCAACGTGCTATTGGTGTTGAAGGTATGTGCTTCTCCAGCATTGGAAATATCGTCAGCTAACATGATCTTCTAGTTGGTGACGCTCTTGTGAGATACGTGAACTTGGGTGTTACCCTTGGAGCTGTAAACTTACCAGAGGTCAACCTTCGTTCGCTTACACTGGACGAGTCCAACCACGCGAGAGTAAGTTCATTTCCCGTAACTATACGATCGATTTACTGATTTCAACAGGTTATCTACATCCATCACAACATTCCTGGTGTTTTGAGAAAGGTTAACGAAATTCTCGGTAACCACAATGTAGACAAGCAAATTACTGATAACAAGGGCGATGTAAGTAACTTTTGGTGTTTAAACTGTTGCAATCATGTGCTAATACCGTTCAGGTTGCCTATCTCATGGCTGATATCAGTAACGTACAAACTAGCGATCTCAAGGAAATTGTTGAGAGCTTAGAAGGTTTGAGCTGTAAGTTCCTCTACACATATACTCAATCATACAAAACTAACATATTCAGCACGTATCCTCACCCGTGTGCTTTATTAAGCAACGAAGAAATAGAATCGGATGTACAAATTTGCATTGGGAGTTTTGAATTAAAAGGGCATTCAACAGGAGTGGCGGCGCTTGGTCTTGGGGTTGCATCTAAACAATCCCTTCAACATAGGCAGGGCGGGAGACAAAAAAGGTTCACCTGAGAATTGGAAAATCAGATCAAAAAAGTTGTATATTAGGCGTAGGATACAGCCCAATACATTTATTCTATTGGAAATAAAACACTTGCTGGCTTCGATCATCATCTTGAGGAACTAATCAAATTAATCGTGTAGGGTCTGTCTCGAAAGTAAATTACAATTACTTGAATTACAAAATTTCAATAACGTGTTCAATGAACAATAATGGCCAAGCGGCACTGATCCGAATATCATGGAGGAGCCATGAGGATTGCACATAATGAACGATTTCATTGATTTAACACAGCTATTGATGAACCGAAAAATATAAAACTGTGTTAGAATTACGCTGTTCGAGCCAGTTTTCTGCATTCACACCTCTATGGCCATGTGAATATCTTCATCTTGTTTCTAATCTAGTGTTGTGAGACACAGGAGCTCGATTTTGGAATACCACGACAAGTTCATTACGTACCAGGTTGAAAAAATCGATGCGAGTTTTCTCCTCTCCTCAATCATTTACATTCTCTTTACCATACAGACCTCTCTTGTTCATCGCACAACAATCAATCAATCAAACAGTCAATCTACTCATAACAAAGAAAACGCGCACGAAACCAAAGGGTATTTTTAAAGTGTTCGATTAGATTGTTAAATAAATACCAGGTATTTCTTTGAATAAATACCAACGCCCAAGACCAATGTATATATGAAAGGGTATATAGTGTAAGGAAGGAATGCCAGCCATAAATACAGATTCCCAATGTACACCGAATCAAACATTAACCCATATATACGGAGCACTGTTTACCCCAGGGGGACAACATCCCATTCGTTCCAATCCGATCGACAGCAATCCCTCATCCGTCAAACATCCGAGACGGGAACGCAGAAGCTCACCCCGGAATTGCCGAGAGAGATCCTCGGATTCGTGATCGAATCGACCCACCCCGTACTGTACTTTTTACTAAAGAATTACCACCGGTCCCGTGTTCCGGACGCCCTGAACACTTATCCCGTCCGTCCGTGTATGTGTCCATTCCATCCGTGTGCTGCTGCACGGAAAAAGGTATCAAAGAATATCCGAATATCGAAATCTGTCCGTCCCAAGAACCAGCCCAAGAACCTATTACTATGATGATGATGAAGGACGATCGTCTCGTCCCACTTATGTACTTTTTTTTTCTCCATCTCTTTTCTCCATCCTGACTATCCAAGCAAGTGATTTGTGAAGAGCCTCTCATGAGACGCTCTTTCGTTCCATCCTCTCATTTGGTTCTTGGTATCCTTGAAAATCTTCAAACGAGGGAAAGCTAAAGTAGCCCGCTGCTATCACTTTAATCAGCCAATTGTCTTCTTAGGGAACTTCAAGCCCGCAATCCAGAAAAGGAAATGCAGAGAAAAAGAAGGGCAAAAAAAAAGAGAGAGAAATAGAAAATACTAACATTGGAAACCACCCGAACACCCCTTCATCCCCAATTCCTGCTTACAGCTCCTGGCCAATCCGCTGCCGCTCTCCGGACTCCGAGGACTGCGATTTCCAGGCGTCGAATACGCACTGCCGCTATCTCTCCTCGAGCTCCCTCCATTCATGTGATCTTGCTGAGCCGAGTAGCTAGCCACCCTCGTGAGAATCGACGCCGCTTTGGTCGAAGCATGGAGCGTAGCGAGATCCTTACGCGAGGCATTGCCGGTGACGAGGGAAGGTGCTGTGGCATGTGCTCTCATGAGTTTGGGTCGAGCAGACATGCTGGGTGAGGATCCGCGAGATTGAGTTTTGGTAGACATGGTGAAGTTCTACGGAGGGGAAAGAGGGGGATTGTGATTGGTTGGGTCACGTTTGATGTACGGTCGAGGCGAAGGAATGATCGTCCTGTGATAATATATAACCTTTCGTTTTCTCCACTTGGGTCGAATGATAATCCGGAGCAGACCGATTGATGAGATTGGGGGAAATTGATGATAGATTTGAAGCTTTTGACGATATTAACTCTTCGTAGAGAAGTAAGTGATCAAGAGTGTATTAATTCCGGGGCAGGTTTTCCAGAAGGAAAGAAAGAGGAGTAAAGAAAGTCGGGCGATACACTTGTCTATATTAAATAACACACACAAAAAGCATGGCAGGCCTGTCAAGCAAATGCAAAACACTACGTAGATAAACAACTCAGGCCAATTTAGGACATCCTTACCAGAAAGCCGATAAAAAAGAAAAGGGTCGGTCTGGCCACATGTCAGACGGTGAGCTAATTGCCGCAATCATTGCGTCCACGCCAACAATAATGATGTGGTGGGTTGTTAATGGTTATGGTGTTGTACACATGCATCAAACGTGCATGGGAAAAGGTGGGCAAGCTTACCATCCAAAATACACTATCAATGCTGACCCCTCACTCGGGCCCGCCTTACTGGTTGCCCCCCAATAAATGCCTGGATACGACTCAAACTTTACGATAATATGGCGTTCCCCCCCAATTCTCGAGAATCTTGGAACTTGGGAGAATTGATATATATATTGGGTGGTTTGACTGCATACGATACTTGTGAAGCCACTACTGTACCTACTTTCTGCGGTTAGAATACGGTAATGTCGTAATGTCGTATGTTTTGTCAAACAAGTCACCATGCTCAACCGAGATCTGACAAGACAAAAGTTAAAACATTGGTAAGGTAAAATAAAATCGTTGTTCTATGTACTAGACTACGTTTGGTATGTTAGGCATTCATACTGCATGCAGGTACATATTGTGCGGCCCGAGTCATGACTGTTTCTCTCCGCGCGTGATCAATGATCAATACTGTATTTCTGGGTCAGTTTCATAAAGTCTCACTACTGCAAAATTTCTTGAAGGGGTACATACTCATCCCAACTACGTCCCTTGACAGCAGCAAGTTCCTCCTCTGTCATTCTATGACCAGTAGTAAAGTATCCTAGTAGCAATTGTTCAGCCCTATCACAAGTTATGGATGGTAAATGATGCGTGCAAGACTGACCTGCTGTAATCTTTGCATCAATCTCGACCCTCGAATCCGCTGGGATCCATGATTCAGGAAGCTCAACTCTCTCATGGATGGGGATTCTAGACGTTTGTTTAGTAATGGAAATCAACGTCGCGTGCTTGGTTCTTACCCTTGACCGACTATGGCATCGTGTTTCATGCTGTAAATATGGTTACTCCTGCGTCTTATGTAGTGGATTCAAGCAACTTACTTGCTCATACTTAGCATTCTGTCAATTTTCTTTATTCCCAGCCAATGAAGAATGTCGGGCATCAATGCCTGGAAACGCATATCCTTTACACCGGCAATATTTTCCGTGCGCTTGAAATATTCCGAAGCTCGATCAAGTCCACGCTTTCTAGCGTTATAAACGAGGTACTACATGACCGAGTTAGATGGCTGTCTCAAAGATCCAGAGAAGTGATAAATCATGAAGATCTGAGGGGATAAAATGCGGATGTCATCGGAAAATGATTAGGAAGTGGGGAGATTCTGTGGTGAAGTGGGTATTGGAACAAATCGATAAGCCTCGATGAGCTCCACAACAGAAGGATAAATGCAGTGCAGACAACCTATCAGCCGCGGAAATATTCAAATACCTTTGTAACCTCTCCAAGAGCTCTACCTTCTTTTCTGAAGTAAATCACTCGGGAAGCAGTTAGTCATGGTGTTGAAGCATTGTCAAATACATAACTCACCGACTAGAAACGCAAGAGTCAGTAATTGCCTGTAAACTTTTGAAAGGAAGCAAGGAACAAAAATTGCATGAAAAAGCGAACATAGTTGAGGATCCAAATTGTTGCCCATGTGTCATTGAACATAAACTACGAAATATGCAAACAGATTTGAATATCAGGGTTGTGAAATGAAATCGATTGTACTTACCCCCACTACCACCCTTTTGCGCCTCCTTGACAGCCTCCTCGATACCATAGATCAGGTAAGGACGGCATGTACAAATATCAGATCCGAACACGTCACTTCCGTTACACTATCACAAGAATCAGCATGAAAGATCTCCTAATCGTAATACCTCAAATTTGCGGCATTTGATTTTTACCTCGTCATGAATTCGTAAAGCTAGGCGAACATTCTCATCTGACATCTTCGCGGGGTCTCCAAAGCAGTAGACGGTCAAACCACCTATAGATAATTAGGTATCTCCACGATAAATCGAGATTACTATTTCATACCAATTGGTGGCATGAAGAGCTTGATATCTCCTCTGGTAATCAATTCGGGGTATGATCCACCAGTGTGCTCGAACAGTGCTCTTCTCAGAACCCCTTCGGCTAGACTATGGGTAAGCAGAACGACTCCCGAAATTGTGATAGAAATACGAACAGATGCCAAATCGCTCAGCCACCCCAGGTAAATACCAAACCTATTACGTTATTAGACGTATATCTTTCAAGCAGGCAATCAACATACTGGTTCCACGGCAAATTTTGTGACTGCAAGTTCACCAGCCTCATTCAAGCAAATCTTGCCATCCGGCTTGAGCCGACCTTCACGCACGCTAGCTTCTAATTCTGGTAGCTATAAATTTCATTAGATTTATATTACTAACTTGCTGTTTGAGGTTGCAAACTACCTTCATATGAGCTCGGGTGATTGCTATAAATGATCAATATAATTAGTTCCGCTGTCTAATACGATGTCGACCTTCCAGAAGGCTGTCAGAGTACATACCAATAGTAGGTCTAATATCAACTGAGTTTTGTCAGCCCAAAGCTACTTTATGCCCTCATTTGGGGACTACTTACCATTCTCCTTCTCAATTGTGTCCTTGAAAAGCCATGGAGCGAGATGGCCCAAAGGATCCATCGATACTATCTTTTTCTTGTCGGCCCATTGAGGGAAGGGTCCGATGTTGGCGGCAGGTTCTGTGTTTGTGAAATCTGGCCTGGAATGTGTTAATTTGTTTACATATGAAATTCAGGTTGTTTGAAGCCTACTTATGGTCTGCCTTGATTTCCTTGCTAGCAACGGCCAAAGCATAGTATATCGAATAGGATCCACCGTGAGCTATCAATGTCTAGTATCAGATTACATCACGAGTTATTACGGGCAACCAAAACATACCTCCAATTGCTAAGACAAACCGTTAGTATACGAACAATCTATGAACTGGTGAACAAACTTACCGTTACGTCTTCGGGCTGTTTCTGTAGCTCTGGAAACAACTACCGGTCCTCTGATTTGCGGGTCGCTATGACCCCATTCCATAGGAAGTGGATTGATACCGGATTGTCCAGGGTATGTACTTATATCATAATTCAGTTCAAATGTTTCTATTCCCTACATGCATTCTGAGAAACTCACGTGAGAATGATTCGAGAAGTACCGGTGCTTGCTTTTTGGGTATAAGAAGGAATGGGTGCTTCATCGGGCTTCGCCGCCGAGATTGTTGGAGACTTGGGCACCTCCGCTTCATTCTCATCCTTGGATGCACTTTCATCATTGCTTGCAACAGGCTCGGAAGGTTTGGAAATAGTTGCCGAATCAGTAGACGCAACATCTCGAACTTCCTTCATGCCAGCTAAGACATTGACACGACCGGTAATAGCATCGACGTTAGATGACAGCTGGATCTGGTTGAGTTGTAGATTTTTGATGGAATTCAGGATCTCCTGCATTAAAGCGGTCTGGTCAGGAGGCGGAGAAGACATCTTTGAAGGCAGTTTGGGATATGATGGATTTCAAAAAGAAACGGGTTTGAGAGGAAAGTAAATGATTTCAGTTAATTTAGAATGGGAGCAAGCAGATCTTATAAGTGGAAGATGAGGGGTAATTGGGAATCGGCGCGTTGGTATTGTTTGCTTGTCAGATAGCTACTAGGTAGGTAGGTAGGTAGTAGGTAGTAGGTAGTTAGTTAGATAGCTCTCCAAAGGAAGGCACAAGAACACGTATTACGTGAATAACAAAAATGGTAAAGTGACTTTCCTCTTTCTCATGGATGATACGAGGAAGGAGATAGATAGACGGATAGATGGATAGATTGAGAGAAAGTGGGAACAGATTGATGAAAGTTGTATGCTAGTTGGTCATATTTGGCTGGAGTCTGTGGTAATGGTGATGGATTGCTCTGCTATCATTCACTTCCTTATAAAGCTGTTGTCCACTGTCCAAATTGGGCTGGCTGTATCTAAGATAGCATGATTCCGAGGTAGGTCTATCAGCCCCACTCTGGAGTATAAAGACGGAAGGGACTTGCACTATGAATTACCAGTGGCTAGGTATATAGTACAATTTACCATTTACCATTTACAATTACGATTTACGATTTAATATTTACGATTTACGATCTACGATTTACCATTTACCATTTACAATTTACAAAGAAAGCCCCGTGCTCATAGTCTCAAAGAATCATATATGATGTGCGTACCTAGTAGAGATATTAGCCGTAGTCATTGATTCAGTCATTCTCGCTAGCATGTATCTAGCATTGATTCGATTGAGCCATCGTCCTGTTGATATATACCTACCTACCTACCTACCTAGTACCTATTAATTCCTCAACTTTGAGTCACAATTGATAGTCCTGATTGATAACTCTGTATCAAACCCAAACCGCTTTTAAATCACAACCCATCTTTGTTAATACAAGTACAAGCCATACCCACCCACTCACCATATCGACCAGTACGTACGTACCTACATCATCGGCAGCTTCCTAAAATTTCCCAAATTTCTTTCCAGGGAGTGATATCGCTATCGATAAGCCTGTACCCATACAAACCAGGTATCAAATTCCAAGAACCAACCCATCCAACCCACCCAGCAATCAGCCTGAGCCTAAAAAGATCCCCCCTCGCTCCCAAAGCTTTGTGACGCCTCGGACGCTTAGAAACTAGCAGCACAGGCTAGCAGTCGCGTCTTTACATCTTCCGAGCCGCGCTTGAGTCCCACTGCATTTTCTTAAACATACCTTATCATTACTCCTAGCCAAATTTAAAGAAATTCAAAGAGCATAATGGTAAGCAAATATCAATCTTCAATCTCTCTCGTTACAAGCTTCTAATCCATGCGTTAGGGTAAACGTAAGGCAGCCAAGAAGGTCCAGGGTCCTAAAAAGGTACATCATTTTTTCGCAACTTTCCCGATTCTCTTTGACTTGCGACATATACTGACAACTTGCAAAGAAAGAAGTTCTTAGCACAACTTTCCCCTGTCTGTTTTGTAATCACGAAAACTCCGTCATCGTGAAGATTGATAAGAAAGCTGGTGTTGGTCACTTGTCCTGCAAAGTATGCGACCAAAAATTCCAATGCGCCATCAACTGTAAGTTTTCTGCAACAAAGGAAGTCTGGTAGAGGATCATGCAAAGCTAATTTTGACCCGCATACAGATCTGTCGGCTTCCGTGGACGTATACGCCGATTGGGTTGATGCTTGCGATGCAGTCGCAAAAGAAGGAGATGATGGAGGAGATCTTGCCCCCGAACGCGCGCCTGCTCGACGTTCATCTGGCGCTGCTGGGAAGGGCGATGCGGATGACGATGACAATGATGACGACATAATGGGAGACGAGGACGGGATGGGTGGTTACGGTGGCGATGGAATAGTTGCGGACGACGAGGATTATTGAGCTTGGTATTTTTGGCTTGGGTTGTGATAATTTAACTGTTTGGAGTTTGGGAGGCTCACGGTTGGCGAAGCTCTTCACATGGTTTTGCCCTGCGATTGATAAATGGATTGAAATCATCACCTCTTTGGTTGCAAATCATATTGGTACAAGTGACAGATTGATTGGATACACCAACGGATATTGTTATTTATTTTTTTCTTCTTCTTTTGGTAGATAGCTAAAATATTAAGGAGACATTGAAACCCAGATCTTCTACATGGTATAGAATCTATCGCCAAAATCACCAAGGCCAGGGACGATATAACTAGATGAACATTAGCAAAATTCAATACTATCCGGTGAGAATCATACTTCTTTTCGTCGAGACCCTATCATCATGTCAGCTGAATTGTGCACAAAAGATTGCAATAAGTGAGTACCCACCTGATCAATAAATGCTGTTACCACTCTAACCTTCTGGTACTTCTTAGCGAAGGACTCGATGCCTTCTGGGCTTGCTATCAAGTTCAAGAACAGAATTCTTTCTGCTGGAACTCCTCGAGAAATCAAAACGTCTACTGCCATTGATGCAGATCCTCCTAAATCAAACATCAGAATGGCACCATTCGAGTTTTGGGGGGTGTGACTTACCTGTAGCGAACATTGGATCAAGAAGCAATACCCAACGTTGTGCAATATCTTCTGGAAGTTTATCATAGAAGAGCTTAGGCAACGAAGTTTCCTCATCTCTTTGTATCAATATTTTACCAATTCGCACGGAACGACAGCAATCCCGTAGTCCCTGCTCCATAGCTTCACCAGCTCTCATGATGGAAACACCGCATATTTTTCCTTGGAATTGGACTCCTGCATATGTTCGACCAACTGGGGTAGTGATCGTGTGCTCTACCACTGGTAAATGGTTGAGACCTTCCTCAACCAGTAAACGAATGATTCGGTTTGAGTAAAATATGAAATCGGCTCGCTGCGTGTTCTTGTCTCGGATCATGCTATATCACTCGAGGTAAGCATGTAGTATGGGTACGTGCAATACTTCAATGACGTACGTGAGAAGAGCAATAAGCTGCGGGGTTTGAGGTAATGTGTGAACATTCTCAAAGGAAACTGGAGTTGAAACGGTTGCAACAGGTTTCTCGGGGCGGTAATCAGGACCGACACTTTGTGCGGGTGATTTGACACCTTCTGCAGATTCAGAAGACATTTTGCTGTCAAATTTACTGAGGGGTAGAGCTTCAATGGAGCACGCAGTCGAGATTGACGATGAGGTTTTTTCTCGCTATTTGAGTTAGTGGCCAATTTAGTGATAATTTTGTAGCTTTATAAAGGTAGTAGCTAGAGAAGCTTGATCATTCACTCACCTCAAGGGAATCCTGCTGGTTATTGCTCAAAATGCAGAGCTGCAAGAATCTAGTTCACAACTCTGCGGAGCCCTCCGTATGATTTCTCGTGGGGCCGGTACAAAGCGAAATGCAGTGTGCGGATGAGTAGATAAACTGATAGCCGATAAGAACAGGGACTGTCTTGGCAGGCTCTGAAGAGTAGGTGCTATTCCAATTCTATGACAAACTGTTTTCAAAGTAGATACATATAGATATTCTGGACTTCTTCACAACGGGAATGGGTCAAGAACTAATATTGCTTATTACCTGGTGAAGAGAACAACTTTTGTTGTTGCCAGGAAATAGAAATCAGTAGTTGACGTTAAACTTCAATCAATATAAGGTTGTCGATTTGCGGAGAATTACCTAGTACTGCTAGGTAGCTAACTGTACACAAGGTTCACAAGATTGTCAATCAATGGCGGTAGGAAAATCGTAGACTTTGGAACAGATTCCAATATTTTCCTCAAGAAAAATACCCCTCTACACTCAGGTATATTTTGGACTCGTGCTAATAAGCATGTTTTAGGATTTCAATTCGTGAAGACTGTCTAAGCTGGAGAACAATGACTGTTAGTTTTCTTCCAATAACATTCACCTTCGGTTGGGTGGAGGTCGGAATAACGTTTTCCCGGTGCCATCCTTAGGTAATCTTAGTGCCCTTTCCTCGAGTACTCTGGTAATCATTGCTTTGAACATTCCATGATTGATCAATTCAAATCTACAAACGTTTCCGTCAACGGTTATAGCAACCACCACTTCCTCACAAAGGCACTTTCGGCAGTTGAATGTCTTCAAGGCCGTACCACTCAAGGTCCTATATAAATGACATTTTATTGAATAATTGATTTGCGACAGTGGCATTTCCAACACTCGATGTGCAGATTCACCTTTGCATTTCCCGAGCTACCCATTTCCCCCGCGCAGCATGGCGGCCCATGAAAATATGGCGAGGCCTGGGAAAACAATAACCACATATGGAAAGCCGGCAAGGAAACATCTTGCAGGCCATAGCTATACAAAATTGGTCCATCGCACAACACCTTCCGATTTAACAAAGACAGGTCTCATTACAAACAATGAGCCCAGTGCGTCGAATCATGAAAGACCTCGCGATGTCTACAAGCCTTCACCTAGCACACCTTCTGCCCCAAAAATACAATCTACTGTCGATTTATACGACGTGCCCCTCAGCGATGAAGAGGACCTCCTTTTAATGCGCAAGAACGTTACCAAATCTGCACCGAAACTTAAAGTGAAATCTGCGATGTACGACGTACCTCTGGGCAATAAAGAGGATGAAGCTACGAGGCGGAAGAATGTTCCCAAATTCAAACAGAAAGCTTCGCAAACTTCTACCATATATGATGTGCCACTCAGCGAGGATGATGAGCCCCCCTCGGCGAAGAAGAATCTCTCCAAATTACCACCAAAGGTTACGCAAAAGCAATCGACCATTGGAAACGCGAAGCATTTCATAACAACAGAATCCGCGAATGTTAAGTCGGTGGAAATGCCCGATCGTAAGAAGAGGAAGTTATCACCAGCTGAACAGCCGCGACGGGAGCCTTCCAAGTTTGCAGCAACTTTGCCCAAGGTGCCACCACATCCTAAGATTAGGCAAGCCAAGCCAACTACGGATACTTTACCAAAACGAAAGGTCGTTCATGCTAAGCCTGTTATGGAGTCTATCCTGACCAAACCAGCAGTACATCGAGGTCCACAGAAGCAGAGTAATAAAACGCCAGTGCAGCAACGACCAAGATCCTCTACCTCTACCGGCAGCGCTGCGAGCTTACGGTTAGCTACAAGTCCTGAGTGTCACATCTCTCCCAAGGCTACGAAGCTATGGGATGCCCTCGACAACGAAACTCAAGAAACCACGATGAGTAGTGCAGATGAGCTCTCTTTAGTCGTGAGTACGCCGAAGAGAGTATATCCAATTGTTAGAAAGTTATCTAAAACTGCGGCTTTTGCGAAATCGGCTAACCTAACTCCTCGCAAACGACTAATCGATTCATTAGTCGAGCAGACGCCTCGCCAAGATTTGGACGATGAAGACGATGATGATGATGAATCTGGGAACGAACATGATAATTCTCAGCTTGAGGATCACTTCCAACATCTGAACAATTCAAGAGCCCAGAGTCTTGTCCCAGAAGTGCCTACTTTTACTGCACCTGCACAAGCTAGTCAAGGCCCCCCAATCGCAGGGCCCAAGTTTACGTATAGTCGACAGCGTTCCATGCTTGTTGAAGAAGACATGATGGAGCAATTGGCTTTTGACATGCCTCTAGAAACTCCACAAAGCTCACAGCGTCGCCGAGGCTCTATACCCAGCCTAAAGCCATTATCAAGCTTCCGCGAGGAAGAGCAGCAAGAAGAAGAAGCCGCAAGTACCGCTATCCGCACGATCCATGAACTAAGGCAAGCGGGAGCGAATAGTCGCTTTGCGGACGAAGTAGAAGATTTGCTCGATCGTATTGGGAGGCCTTCGATAAAGTTGTCGTCTATGCGACGCTCCGGGCTCTTGGACCTAGGTTTAAAAATGAAGGATAAAGCATTCGTTCGGCAATTCCGTGCCCATGGTGCTGAACAGCGACTATTTATCGACATAGGTCAAGAAGCTGATATCGTATCGGGATTTTTGATGACATCACTCATCACGCCTATTTTGGCAGAGGGAAGCGCGCCTCTCGTGGTATCGCAACTTCAACAACAAGGTATCGCAAAGCTACTAGGCCGTCTCATATCAGTTGAGAAAAGCTTTGTCAGTGTGATAAAGGAGCGTAAGACAAATATGTCCAAGATGGCACAGAAATCAATGGCAGCATATCATATTCTCTGCTTCAATTCCAGCATGGAAGGATCTTAGCCCACGTGAACTTTCCCCTCGAACCTTGGCCCTCAAATGCCTTGAGCTTATGGTCAGACAATGTAGAGAAGCTGGAGATGCTAGTGACATAATTTCTGAAGAGCTGAATACCAGTTTGTTTGAGATTTTAAAATTGTCAGATTCGGATGACGCGTGGGATTTCCCCCACGGAACAGAAGCAGTCGACTTTTATTTGACACTTTCCACTCTTGAATCTCACTCTCTTGTGTCGAGAATCGCCCAAGATGAGACAATCTGGATTCATCAATTGCTGCCTATCATAGGCAATACCCTCAATACCGCTTTGAATCGGCCAATTGAGAGCTTTGGCGAGCAACAAATTTTGGCATTGAAATTGACAGTGAATGTCACCAATCACAACCCGAAAGCTTGCGATGCGATTGTGGACTCGGATCTCATGTTCACCATTCTTCGCATCGTCGTTGCCAAATTCAAAAGCATGTCAAGCTTATGGGCGGAAGAGGAAATCGTCGTGGCTGTGGATAATTTGATTCTTCTCATTGGAGCGATGATTAATTTTGCCTTGTGGAGCACAAAAGCGCTTCAAAATATCAATGATTTTGCTGGGACGGGCAGGGACCCTCTGGATGAATTGATCCGCCTTTTTGTTGATAATAGAGAGAAAACCTTTGAAGTGAGTTCTTGCGTGAATTTCTCATTCTAGTATGCTAACTTTGATAGGTGGACTCTCAGCACGAATCACACAAAAACGTTCCGTTTGGATACTTGTCGGTATTGTTGGGACATTTTTGTTTATTGCCGGCCATCGAGAAACGAATCCGGATTCTACAGACAACAAAAACACTTCGGCCCCTCATCACATCTATCAATGAATTTATCGTCTATCATAAAGCGGCTGACGATGAGATTGCTCCCAATGAAGATGACACATTCCTCACGTTTACTGTGACGAAGCAACTCGAAAGATCTCGTCCAAAAGTTATTGATGATCAAAGGGGCTTAGAACCGAATATAGAAAGGTCTTTGGGGAGGCCGGTCGAGGAAGGCGTTTGATGGGGTGACGATTGTCACGAGTATAACGGGTCACAATGGATATGATACAGATGTCTTGATACATGATGATATATTTTAGGCGTTTAAATCGGAAAGAAAAATTGCAATATACCCTAGGTGCAGTTTTTTCGAAATGGGCGGGATTGGAGAAAGGGGGAAGTTTCAGGAAATTATGATATGGGGGTTCCTTTAATCGAAAATATTCATAGGGGTATAGCTGGTTTTTCACGATTAAACTCTGGCCACCCAAACAACACATTACTATTACCATATTATTATAGATTTAGAGAAATGAAGATATTTTATCACTAGCAGTCTGCTCATCTGATTCTACGTGTTGTCGTGGCAGATTCAGAACGAGTAATCCGTTCGGCTCACCTACTCTGTGTTTGAACGTGTTTGACGTGTGATGAGGTCGAAGTCGGGCGATGGGCTCCGGTCTGGAATGACATGACAGCAAGTACCATTGAATGTAAAGTACTTTACTGTACCTTGGTAGTTGATGATCCAATCCACACCAGGAAATGTCATTTTGCCCAAACTCCAATTCTTGGAACAACCTTATTATACTATTTAAGGAAGCAGCCTCTTTTATTTCCGTCCTAGATTCACTTTCCGGTTGAAAACATAATACAAATCTGGATTCATATAGATTTAATCGTTTTTATTAAACTTTTACTCGGTGCTCCTCTCATACTCTTTCCAGTCTTTTCATCTATCGACCACCGTGGACTTGGGGTGGTGTCGTCTTCCGAGCCGAGCTTAATCTGGGTCCGCTCAGCCTAAATATTAGCGCTCAGGCGCTGTAAGAACCTTAGACTTAAAACCCATTGAAGCACTAATAAAGTGGTCGGTCTACCTACTTTCAACTTAATTAAAACCTCCTCAGCCTTGTCCTGTTTCATCAGACAAGAACCAACACAACAAAAAACATCAAAAGCTCTTCCAGATCTCGCTCTCCTTGTATTCAATTGCAAGAACCCCCTTTTCTTATAATTTTATTCAAAATTATTACTTCTTCTCCATTATGCCTGCACCACCTAAACAACGCAAGATTGCTATTGTAGGCAGTCGATCTGTCGGTAATGTCATGATAATGTGTGGATGTAAAATACAAACAATCAAAGTAACCCTTCTCTTCTACAGGCAAATCTTCACTTACTGTACAATTTGTCGATGGTCACTTTGTAGAAAGTTATTACCCGACTATCGAAAATACTGTCAGCAAGGTCATCAAGTACAAAGGGCAAGAGTTCGCCACTGAGATCGTTGACACAGCTGGTTCAGGTAAGATATCTATCTGCTTGTATACTATTTGATCCAAACTCACATGTCATCACGTAGCTGAAAAAAATACTAATAGACTTCACATTGTAGGATGAATACAGTATCTTAAATTCAAAGCATTTCATTGGCATCCATGGCTATGTGCTTGTCTATTCTGTTGCTTCCATGCAATCCTTTGAAATGGTAGAAGTCATCAAGGATAAGATATTGAATCACTTGGTATGATAGATATTCCAATTCTCCTCTAACCTCCTTCAAAGATCAAGATCTCTGACACTTTATAGGGTACTGAATGGGTTCCAATCACAATTGTTGGTAACAAGAGTGATCTTCGACCAGAGCAGCGCCAGGTCACTGCTGAGCAAGGCAAGGCATTGGCTGAAAAAATCAAATGTGCTTTCACTGAAGCAAGTGCACGTTATAACGAGAATGTTACCAAGGGATTTGAACTCATGATTGAGCAAATCGAGAAAGGTGAAAATCCTAATGAGCCTTCAGGAGATTCCAAATGTATTCTCATGTGAGGGACAAAGGGATTGGAGTATACGTTGGAATATGATGTCTCATGTCTGAATGTGGTTAACTTAGTATGGGAGTTTGGAGTTGGGAGAGGCATCTTTCTAGATATTTAGTCACAGAGGCATATGTCTTGCTATGTCTTCAGTTAACGTTGATATTACAAGGAGGTAGTTTGCGAACGGTTCAATGGTATACATTAAGCGGTATTCACTGTCTGTCCCAACACGTTAGTCTTGTATAGATTGCATTGAAGAGATCTGTACAACCTAACACCATGATTAGCCGGTACTAATAAACACAGATTCAACATGCAAAGAAATGTCAGGCGACAAGGCCCGCCGGAGTGGTAGTGCGAAAAGGGGTAGTGAATAACAAAAACACATATCACGTGCTGAGCACAATCAGCCAGAATGTTATCTTAGCGGAGCCTTGCAATCGCGACCCCACCAATCGTACTTTGAACAATTTACTAGTGACTCAAAAAGTTGACCGGCCCAAATACACAGGATTCCTCGTCGCATACATATTTGAGTGTGTTAAACTATTTTCAAAATGCTTGACGTTAACGATTTCATTACTGAGAGGGGTGGAAACCCACAAAAGATCAAGGACTCTCAGCGCCGCAGATATGCTCCTGAAGAGGTTGTTGATGAAGTGATTGCTATGTATGAGGATCACCGCAAAAGTAAGCCAGTAAACACAAGCCCAAGTACATAGATACTCACAAATGATCGCAGCCCAGTACGCAGCTACACAGGTCAACAGCAAGATCAACGAAACTCAAAAAGAGATTGGCGCAAAAAAGAAGGCCAAGGAGGATGCTACCGAATTATTACAAAAGAAGGCCGATTTAACGAAGGAGAAGAAGACTTGGGATGATGCCGCAGCAGAGAAAGAAGTACTTTTAAACAAGAAGATTGGCACAATTGGCAACCTTGTTCATGAATCTGTGCCTGTGAACAATGACGAGGTATTTTTACATTGGCAGCATACGATGTTCTTCAGCTCCGGTGTGGCTAATGGGTACTAGGATCACAACGAAGAACTGCGTAAATGGGCCCCCCAAGGTGTCACTGTTGAGAAGAAGGACGTTCTTTCGCATCATGAGGTTCTGACAAGATTGGATGGTTATGATCCAGAGCGCGGTGTTAAGGTTGTAGGACACAGAGGTTATTTCTTAAAGAAGTGGGGTGTCTTCTTGAATCAGGCCTTGATCAATTATGGCTTGGAGTTCTTGGATAGCAAGGGATATACACCATTACAGACTCCTCAATTTATGTTGAAGGAATACATGGCGAAGACCGCACAGTTGGAGCAATTCGACGAAGAACTTTACAAAGTTGTTGATGGAGATGCCCAAAACGATAAATATCTTATTGCTACCTCTGAACAGCCAATTTCAGCTTTCCATGCTGATGAGTGGTTGACTGCTAAGGATATGCCTATCAGGTACGTTAGGAAAACCTGGGCGAAAAGATATTGAACTGACTTGAGCTCAAAGATATGCTGGTTTCTCTTCATGTTATAGACGAGAGGCTGGTTCTCACGGTAGGGACGCATGGGGAATTTTTAGAGTTCATCAATTTGAGAAGGTATATATCCTTTGTAGCATGAGTTCAGTCTGCTTTTTCTAACCATTTTAGATTGAACAATTCGTTCTCACCGACCCAGAAAAGTCATGGGAGGAGTTTGACCGTATGATCAGCTTCTCGGAGGAGTTCTACCAATCCCTCGGTGTTCCATACAGAGTTGTCGCAATCGTCTCGGGTGCTCTCAATAACGCAGCTGCCAAGAAATATGATCTCGAGGCTTGGTTCCCCTTCCAAGGAGAATACAAGGAGCTTGTCTCTTGCTCAAATTGCACAGATTACCAATCCAGAGCTCTTGAGATCAGATATGGACCCAAGACACAAACTGGAATTCGTAAGAACTACGTCCACGCACTTAACTCTACTTTGTGTGCAACTGAGCGTGCGTTGTGCTGTCTTTTGGAGAATTTCCAAACTGAAGAAGTAAGTAGAAAGTAACTTTCTGGGGGTTTCTATTTGCTGACTGTAATTAGGGATTGAACGTTCCAGAGCCACTCCGCAAATATCTCCCTGGCGCCCCTGAATTCATTCCTTTCTCCAAGGAATTGCCCAAAGATACTACATCCCAAAAAGCAAAGGGTAAGGTTGAGAAAGCACCAAAACCAAAGGTCGCACCTGTCGGTGCTACTCCAGCTGAGGCGGCTGAGAAGTTGAAGGATATGTCAGTCTAAATAGAGTTTGGCTTTGAACGAGTGGACGAAATAAAGACATTAGATGCCAGCGCTGAGGATTAATGAAAAGCCGAACAGGCAATTCCAATAAACATAAAAGTTATACAATCTGAGAGCCTTGACTAGAAGATGCATCTTATGAATGGGGAGCAGGCGATAGATATTAAACATCAAATCAGAGATTTACTTGCTTCCAATTTTGCTATGAACAGTTGTGTGATGGCATCTATGAGACTAATCCCGACGAAAGACTACAAGAACTGAAATCTTGAGACTAGGGAGAGACACTCACATGAAATCAGTTACAGCTTCTGATGAAGGACGAGCTCTCAAATACACTCACCACCTGCCCGTTGCTTGTCACTAGTCTCTTGAAGTATTCTCAGAATGTAGACTTTTCTTGCACTCTAGGCACTGCTTGACAGTTTCCCATCGAGTACTGAGGCGTCCTGTGGATTCTCACGCCCATTAACAGAATGCGCTGCGATGTTGGGGATCGGAGGTTTCCACCGCTATAGATTGAGCTCTGGACAACGAATTAAGGAGGACAAAAAGTAAAGGTTTGCAGGTCACGTACGAACTAGAGGATAGCGTTTGCGAGATGGTTTTATGTCGCTGCTGCTTTGTATCATGGCGCTATTGCCTGATATTCGGGTACAGCGTCTCTTACGTTATGGAAGTGGATTCAGGTGAAAAGTCCTTTGTGAGATGTTCTGGGATAGAGGGTGGAGGGACAATGAGTGCGAATCTAGACCATTCATGGTAACAGTGTGTATATCCATCTTGAATTGGAATATATACGCAGACACATGGTTAAAAATTCCAGATAAATCCAATAGATGTGCAATATCAAAGACAAGACGCTGAAAACAAAGGATCAATACCTCCCACAAGAAGATCCATTCCTTGACAACATAGCCTCCAATATACCTACCCACTAAGTATGCAAGTACCTACCTACATAGGTAAACATATTCCAAATACATTCACTGCCTATAGAAAGATATATGTATCCAAAAACCTCAACTAACGTCATCAAACACCACATCGCGTCGCCCTGGCGCAGTTGGTCGACCATTGCGCTTTAACCACCCGAGAGGGTGGGTGTTGGTGTTTGAGCCGCGACTGTACTATCCCCATATCGAAGGGCATAGCTGCGAAATAAAAATCCCTCTTCAGAGAGGGGTTTTTCCCCCTAGACCGGTTTTTTTGCTATTTTATTTTGTCGTTTTGTCGTTTTGTTGGTTGCAGGTGGTGGTTTGTTTAGCTGTGGAGTGGGTGACTGGTGGTGGCGGTGGGAGTGAATGTGTTTTTGGGGTAATGTCGTCTGATATTGACGAGGGGAGTTTGTGGGAGTGAGCGAAGAAGATGAGGTCATTGAAGTTGGGAAAGCCTCATGAAGCACGAACGGAGAGAAGAATTTGTGAGAGTCGATAGAGGAAGGACTAGAGAGCAATGGAAATATCAAGTGAAGCCTGTGATGTATAGCTGGTGTATTTATTGTTTGCTTCGTTGATATGATACAGAGAGGTGATTCTCAGTTCTCTTTTTTTCATGCCAAGAGAGTCTCGTCCTTACACTTGAATAACTTTTGCATAATTGCCCTTCCAATGCAAAGATTTGCGCTCGCTCACTTCAAGTCCATCTAGAATCCCACTGCCTCTCTAACTTCAACCATAGTCCTCTCCGCATTCTCCCTCGCCTTAACACCTCCCTTCCTCGCAACATCCTCCACATACCCTTCATCCCCCAACAGTCTCTCATAATTCTTTCTAATTGGCTCCAGTCCCGTGTTCACCGCAATAGCAGTTTCCCGCTTCAAGTCTGCCAAAGTAAACTTCTTTACTTTGCATTCCTCGGCTATTTGCGCAGGTGTTCGTTTTGGATTTTGGGTATCAAATGATGACCATAGTGTGACAAGATTAGAAACGCCAGGACGCTCAGAGGGTGAATAAGAAACGGCGTTCTGGGAGTCAGTCAGGGCAGATGAGATTTTTTTGGTGATGGTGTTGGGTGAGTCGGTAAGGCGGATGCTGGAGATTGGGGAGGGATGCGATTTAGACATCTTTTGGGTGGGGGTTTGGAGGGACATAACACGTTTTGCTGGGGCTGGAGGTGTGTTTAGTTCTAGAGTGAAGCTGATTTGAAGCTGATTTCTGGCGATCGAAATTATATGAAGAATGATGGTGTGAAGAATAAATAGACACTTACAAAGGAGAGTCTGGGGCGCAATGAGATGGGGTCCATATGCATGGTTGAAATTTGTAGCGCATTCACGTGCGAATTCCAGATGTTGGGTTTGATCTTCACCAACAGGAACGTGGGTTGCTCTTTCGTTGTATATTATCAGCTTCGTTTGCAGGCCAAAAGAGACGAATGTGGAAGAAAATGTGATGAAGTGAGTAGATGTTTACTATACGTACCTATGAACCAAAATATCCGCAGCTTGCAGAACTGGATACGAAAACAAGCCCAACTTGAGCTTCGATTTTTTGCCACCATCTAATGGTGAAGCATCATCTTCGAGAGATAATTTACTCTGTTGCATATCAGTGAAATGGCCAAGTGAAGTATGTAAAAAACGGCGGCAGAGAGATAGAGACAAACCTTCCATTGTGTCATACGAGACAGATATCCCATCGAAGCCGTGCAGCTCAATATCCACATCAACTCCGTATGTGCTGCAACCTTCAAACATACAAAATCAGCTTCGTTCACTACCAATCCAACCAAATCTCCGTTTACACCCTGATCTCTCACCACGTTGTCACTCCCACAATACCGAATAAAAAGAACACAGCACCTACAGAACTCTGATGAAACACCGTACTCCTCTCCGGATCCAATCCAATTGCCAAGAGCGTCGCCAAACTCTCCTTCTTCCACCGCTTCAGCTCTTCCCTTTTCTGCGGTATCGTAATCGCATGATAATCCACAATCGAGTAGAATAACTTCGTACTCGATTCCGCTGTATCCTGTAACCGCACCCAGTTTTGCAAGGCCCCAAGATAGTTTCCGAGATGCGGTATTCCAGTGGGCTGAATACCGGAAAAAATTATTTTGGGCGGGGAGGGTTGGGTGCTTTGGTGTCGTTTGGATACATGATTCAGAGGGGCAGTAACTTGCAGAATTCGTGACTTCACGTTCTGAAGCATCTGCCGAGGTGGGCAGCTTTTAAGCATGGTCAGCTTGGGGGGTTTTTGGGAGGCGATTGAAAAGGGAGGGGTAGCTGCACGCGAGTGGAATGATCTGCCTTGAAATTTGATTTTCTATTGCACGTGACTATTCTCGATTTCATATGCAATTTTGGAACGAAGAAACTTTCATATCGGAGGTGAATACTGCTGCAGAAGAACAATTACTCGACAAAAATCCATTGGTGCTAGTGTCTTGATTCATTTACTTTTACATATACATATCATACATCAAGACTTGTCCCAAACTCCACAGTCCATGTGTGGCCATGTGTATTCCCTCTTCATATCTACTTTTCATTCGTCAAATCCTTGTTGGATGTTTTCACGAATTTCAAGCAAGCCCACCTCATGGCTCGACCCTCATGCCCGGAGCGCTACCTCCCGCAGCCGCTTTGAAGCTCTCTCTATTCAAAATCTCCAGAACCTTATCTGCAGTCTTAGTACTCTGCCCCCTACCAAACAACTCCCATTGTGGCTCCATAACTTCCTTCATCTCCTCCATACTAGCATCCATAGCTTTACCCACGCCTATTCATGCACATATTAGTGATATTCCCACCCATAGCAGAGAAGAAACTCACCAATCTTATTATACTCCCAAACATTCGCCTTCATTCCTATCCCATAGTACGCGTGTTTCCTCAGAAAGGCCAACCATAAGCTCACGGTCTCTGGGTGTCCATCCTTGATCTGAATCAACCTCCTCAATGTTTTTCTCTCAAAATTCTCTTGACTCTTTCTTATGACGAAATGCGATCTCGGAACAGTCCATCTCTCTATCATTCTAGGCAGTGGTACAGGTCCGTATGCAGGTAATTTGAGATAATATGCAGCGCGGAGAGCGAAATCGGAAAAGAACTCTAGGTTACGAATACTGTAAGATCGGAGTTGGAGATCGCATGAGGGGACTCCGTATTTTGCTTCGCGGCGGAGGGGCTTGAGGTAGATTGCTTGAACGTTACGGGGGTAACGGACATTGAAGACATCTTCGTCGGATGGTTCCTCGGCGGCAGGTTCTGCTGTGGGTGGAGTTCTGTCGACTGGTTAGATAGTGCCAATCTATGAGATTATCGAGGTAAATACATCGAGGCTGTTCCTGCAGCGGCAGGTTCTGGTGCATCACTGTGAGATCGTTAGTCTCCAAGCTCCAATAATTGAATTGAAAGTGCGTACGGTGATTCGATGCATATCTAACAGACTGGGATGTGAATGGTACAACCGCACATGTGTGGTTTTAAGGGCATTCGAGAAGGACTGGTTTTGCCTGCGAATATTGTCAATTGTGTTCCTTCCTTGCGCAGTAAAGTGTTTTCATTGACATACCGATACTCCCAGCCTACTGACTGTGCGCCATGGTATGCGCGTGAAAATTGGAGTAGCCATGCCTGGCTCAAAGTTATGAGAAATGCTAAATTGGACTTTTTGGGTAGAGTTCTATGATATCGAATAATTTGAGGTTCGGATATCTAAAGCCGATATTTATCCGAGAGGCACTTTCAGGTTCAACCATCTTGATGTTCATTCGTTACTTTCAAGCATTGTTCTCAGCTGAAGAATGGAATACTATAGGCCTTGCAATCTACATACATTTTCTAGATATTACCAATAGTGTTTGGTCTAGAGGAAAGCTATAGACATCCTCCAATCAAGCTTGCCAACGCCCAAATTACTCCTGTCAATTGAGCTCACCGGGAGGCAAACCCCAAGCTCACCGGGGCCAGCATCATGAAATCACAACGTTTACAGGTGAAATCACCGCTCGACTCATTTAACCTTGAGATTTCGGATGGCTGAGGGACAACAGAAAATAAGTAATTTTGTGGGCAATAAAAACTTCGTATAAATAAACTATCTGGGTAATTTCGACCCTCAGGTTACGTTGGTTTCGAGAGTCTGCATCCTACCTTCCGATCAACGCCTGAGCTAAGTAGCAAATGGGCATCTCTTAATACATCTTCAGTTTGATTATGTATTCTATGTGAGCTTTATAGGTCAGATTAGATGGTGAGAATATGGCGTCCAGACAGTTGAACAAGTAAAGTGTCAGTGTGTTTACGAAACCTATATCAACTGCTCTGGTGTTGGAAGGATCGAAACAAATTTCTCAGGCATAATCCTGGCGGTGACACCTCACTGCTAGCCTACAAGGGTGGTTGACATGCTTCTTCATAAATCTCCAAACGATGTTTTCGGCATTGCACCGGCTGGTGTAGAGCACTAAGTAAAAACTTGACAGAGATTCCTCGAGTATGGAATATCCCACAACACTTTCCTTAGTTATCTTTCATGTACTATTAATATGACTATTTTTTCCTCCAGGAAGTCTCTGTCAATATCTGATTCATGAACTGTAATCTTTCTCATGTTTTTGTTTGAAATTGTAAGGATGTTGGCGTCGATGAACACGGCTCATTTCCAGGTATCTGATGTAGGTGGATTGGATGATGGACGTCCGAGAGGAGCCAATCTTAAAAGTCTATCGAGAGTGACTGCGTACACCATTAAGATTCCTGGGCCTGGGCTATCGTTCTTTGGGCTACCCTTTGAACCTTTATCGACTCTACTATGGATAAGAAGAGCCTGATATCAGATTCCATGCCGTCTCTATTCTCGCAAGTATGTCTTCCTGGTCCGGCAAACATATATGACCTAGTCGAGCTCCCTTCACGTACAGAGCTTATTAGACCTCACCACAGCGTCTAGCTAGAGCCGGGAATGTGTCAGTCGTTAGGCGGAATGTGAGTAATGTATGAACTTGATTGCGTACACTTTCACAGCCAAATATATGAACAAAATGGCCAAAAGTTAGTGATCTCATTTTAGATATACCCGCGGGATTTTGCTAAGTGGATTGAGTATTTCTTGCACTTTATGTGAGAGCATCGATTGATCTTCCTTCTTATCGTTGCAATCCTTTCTAGAAAAGGAGCAGTTATAGAGACTACGGTCTGCTTCGAGACACCCACCTTCTCAATGATAGCTCAAGACCTCTTGACATATGCCCTAGCAAAACCCTCTTTCAAGCTTCTCATTTATCGCTCTTCTCTATTTGAACTATTCAACACCATCCCCCAAAAGTATAACAGCCTCTCCGTATTCTGTCTTCCCAGTCAAAGACCCGAAGCCGATTGCTCCGTCACGGAACAGCATTAAAAGGGAATGCATTAGTGTTCCGCAATCTACACTTCCAAGAAAATGATACCATTTCCTACAACATTATCGAGACATAAACTGAGTACTCGACAAGAAATCTACTGACGAAATTCACAAGTCCTTCCTCCACTCCTAACATGCAAAACCCATAAATGCCAGTGGGAAACCTAATACTTCCTTCTCAAAATCAAAAAGGCCCTGTATCCCGCCAAACTCAATTTCACAAGGGGGGAACTTCTCAGCCACAGAAAAACAAATCAGCAGTAGCTATGCAAACTCCCTTAAAGCCCTCCTCTTTATACCAGCAAGCCAAGCGAGTGGACAACAACATCGTCATAAAGTTCAACTGGAGAGAGAATAACAGTAACATCATCAGCAAGAAAACTGCCGATGGGTAGTGAGAGAATGATCATAATAGAACGAATTGGACACAAGATGACACTTGACTTCGAAAGGTGGAGTAAGACTTCCCGTTCGGTTTCGGGGAACCAATGTTGGCCTATTTGACAATACACAATAGACTTGAGCTTGGGGAATCCACAGGCAGCCCCTGGAATAACAAGGTGCAATAAGTATGCTGTAGTACTTTTTCGGCATGGTACGCGGGGGGGGCTATTGTGAAGCTCAAGTCAAGACGTATTGTCTCGCAGCAAGCCCCCTAAGAGAGATTGGCGTTCCACCACCCCACTCTATGTGAAAGTTTGAGATCTATTTTTTGCTAATTATGGTTTGTGGACAGTTTGGGAGGGTGGTACAATTTCAGGGACGCTGGGGTCACGACACTCATTCACAAATTTATCGAGCAATGGGATTTTGTGATGACAGATAATTATGATTGTCTTTCATTTATTCATTTCTTTGCTATTTACTCAAGTGCATCTGAAGGATACATGAAGGCATCATGTTCTGTTGCTGCATCTTTATTCTGAAAGTGTGAAGATGGCTAGATGGATGACCAAATCTATCGAAAAATAAAATGAGAGCGGACTTTAGCTTTTGAAGTTGCCATGAGGCATTCTCGACTCCTCTGCCCATTAAAGAGGAGAAGAACCCATGGGGTATACTCTTCATTGAAGGATCAACCACACTGCGTGTTGACCCGCATATGCTGCGTGTGAAGCTATGCGGCGACAAGTCAAAATTTGATTGTGACCACCTCACTTAGTACAGTACCTACCGAGAATAGAATATCTGATGAAATTGTTAGTAACAATTCTTGAAACCAAATCAACAAAAAAGGATATAGATGGTTAATATGTTCAGAGTCTAATTATAAATCCACATGTATTCTTTAAGACAGGGATAACTGTTGACTGTGTTTTTCATCACAACATATTTGGGGGGATGGGAAGTGCTGAGAGAAAGTTTTGAACGTACCGATAAGATGATAGCAAAGAGAACTTGCAAGACACAGTCGTCTGTAGCAATGTGGCTAAGACTCTGGTATTCATCAAGATGGCTTGGTATGTGTTTGTGATCAAAGTTGGGACATTCTTGAATGCAAGGTTCGACATTAAGATCATGTCAGAGGCGTGCCTGTAATTTATGATCAAGTCTGGAGAGTTGACTTGTCATGATGTCTTCCGACCTCCCAGTGCGCTCATCTTCTCTTTCTCAATGCCTTCATCTTCTTGTAATGTTCTTTCTTTCCACTAGCCTTTGCAGCTTGGATATCATTGTACTTATTGCGGAATTTGTGGTTTGCCTTCTCGCCTGCAAGGACTTGTTCGACAAAGGTCTGTTTGCGTTCCTTGTTGGTGAGACGGGCCGAAAAGAACTCCGTAGGACCTTCGATGACTGTGCCTACTTGAGAGTACTCTGGAACTTCCGCTCTCGCCGAATCCTTTTTGTAGAAACGTTTGGGGTCAAATACGCTTCTGAGACGGAGGAGTTGAAGGTCGCGCTTGAGCTCAGGAGTTACCACAGTCTTAGGCATGTTATACCACTTGGCTCCAGCAGTAGCTTGTTTCGCCTGTTGGTAATGATATTAGCTTGATGTTCAAACCCAAAATTTGTATCAGAAGTCTAGTATAGTGGCTTCTTCTCAGAGTAACTATGAATGTAAGGGTCTTCAGCTTGTGCAGGTTGACGCCCAAGACGGGGCCAGGTCCTGCGTCCGTTTATATGGGATAAATTTTCCTCACAGAAGGGCACAGCGGAGATAAAGTAGATTGATTTCTTACCTTTGCAGCTTTAGCTTTCGTCACAATTGGATCTTCCACCGTTCGTACACCATTGGCCAGTTTTCTGTCCTTGGCGGGTACGAGTTGAGAAGCATCCACGTGTCCTGTCGATGTGATGTATGGAGTAATTGCAGATGTTGAAGTTTTACCAAGGCTGTGAAGGAGAATATATGTTAGCCAAGCTCAAAATTGAACAAGTCGCATCGTGGGTAAAACTTACTTTGGAAGAGAAAATTTGGTAGAGCTATCATCGCTCACGATGACTTGCCTTTGCAATTTCTCATCCGCTCCTCAGCATCCTTCAACAATTGCTCAATTTGAACATCAGAAAGATCATTGTCGGCCATCTTCGATGATGATGATGATGGTGATATTAATTGGAATGAAGTTGAGAAGGATTGGATGAGCTTTAAGAGAAATAAAATATTCTAGGTGGATCAAGGTCGCCTAAAATTTATTTCTGCAAACTAAGGCTAATCCTAGCTTAGTTATCACGGAGCTTACCAGATTAAAATGTCCGTGCTCGTGACTTTCAGACTTTCAGATCTCGAGCAGATATGGATAGTCACCCAAGCAGATATCATGATAGACACGAAGAAATACTACTAGGAAGTGTCTACAACTCTTGGAGTTCTAGAACTAGAACCAGAACTCTCCATTCTTCTTCTCCTGCCGGTAAAATATACAAATCGAATCCTACGTTACTTTATCCATCAGTCGTGCCAATCCCCACGTACCTTTTGCCTCGTCTTGCCTCATATTTTGCCTTGCACTCTTGCCTCACTGTTCGCCTGTTCATATGGTGAGCCAACGCACAAAAGAAAGAAAGAGCTGTCACAAAACCCTGCATATATGACATCGTTCTTGTATCATTGAAGTAGCATAATAACATATATCATGAGAACATCTAACGAATTCAATTGAACATTTTATTCTTCAATAGATGAAGTTTTCATTGAACATACTTTGTACATATAAAATTCTTGAGAGCGAGCCGAAGAACTGCCCCCAACCGCCAAGCTAACACTGAAATTTCCCCTCAGCATGTTCACTGGTGAATGATTCATCCAATCCCTGCGTCGCCGCTTATTTATCCGTCAACCATCTAAACAGTTGGTACGCCCATCAATCAAGCTCCCACAACCTTATCAACTTCCGACCAATCAAACCCCCCAAATTCCATAAACAAGCTACTCCATCCATCGCGGTCGTCGCGCAAGCCAAAGCTCCTCAATTAAAGAGGCATTCAATGCCACTTTGAACCTCTCCAGAATCATTCAAGTCAGCCCATCTGCAGCTAGCCTGCCGTCGCTCACCGTCACCTAGCATCCGAGTAACGAATCTTGAGTCTCGAAGACGAAGACGAAGACGAGTCGACCGTACCCCTAAAATATTTGGCTAACCTTTCTATTTCTCTTCATACACTTCGCGCCAATTAATTTCGGCCGTAGTAAGACAGCTGGAGGAAATATTTAAAGACCTCAGAAGCGCGACCTTTCGAGATCTTTACCCACGTACAACCTCGATACGAATCGGGAGAAGCAAGCATAAAAACAAATATGGATCCTCCACCACCCGGCTCGTCCCATGGACAACAGCAGCAGCCATCCGCTTCACAACAACGACCGGCGCAGACGCAACAGCCTGTTTATGATACAAGTCAAGGAGGTCATTATGGTATGTTTAATCTTTCCACTCATTCGTTTCTTAATTTCTCGATTACTCTATTTATATCAAGCAAATACTAATTGATTTCGCGCAATAGGTGCCAGTGCCTTGGTATGAATAACTTAGATATATACGTTTCGAATTGCGCTAATGTTGCAGTAGCTATCTCAACAAGGTTTTGCGCCCGTTCCAGAATTCTATACAGGAGCGTGGGCAAATGTAAGTTTTGATCATCTAGATACTTGGAAGACGAGAGCTAATTTGATGGCTAGGTAAACCAAGGTCTGCATGGACAATATAAGGACATTCTTACGACCTATTGGCAACAAATCATCAATCATCTTGAGGGTGACACTCATGACTACAAGCTTCATCAGCTCCCCCTCGCACGTATCAAGAAAGTCATGAAGGCCGATCCCGAAGTAAAGATGATTTCCGCCGAAGCTCCAATCCTATTCGCCAAGGGATGTGATATCTTTATCACGGAACTTACTATGAGAGCATGGATCCACGCCGAAGAAAATAAGCGTCGCACCTTGCAACGATCGGATATTGCTTCTGCATTGGCCAAGTCGGACATGTTTGATTTTCTGATTGATATTGTTCCACGTGAAGAAGCCGCAGCTCACGCAAAGAGACCTTCTGGTTCAGGACAAGCCGCACCACAAATTCCCGGCGCTGCTCCCGGTTCGGCACAGCTTCCTCCTCAACAATCCAATATTCCACAACAGTCTGGTCACCCCCCTCACCCACAATCCATGCCTCAAGATTATTCTCTCGGTGGTCATGGCATTGCTCCAGAACAAGACCCATATCGTCATCAACCAAACATGTATCAACCACAAGTTCCTCCCGGTCAACCTGGCCAGTATGGCGCACAACAGCCAATGTATGGCGAGATGAATGAGATATATGGATATCCAGCATGCCTCCTCACCTCAACAAGTTCGTCCCCCATAACCCTTTTAATGCAATTTACCCCTCCCTAACCCTCATCTAACGAAGCCTTAGCAAATGTACCAAGTCCCACATCAACCCCGTCAAGATCCAGTTAATACCGACGCTACGCATCATTACCCACGCCAGGAAGGTGGTGACGGCGATGCTGATGCTGAAGGCGAGCGTGATTATGAGGTAGGATAAGATGATGGAGGTCCATACTTTAGTCGTTGTTGATTGGCGGTCAAGTGTGATGGGACGGCGTTCGGAGGAGATATGATATGATCTTTCAGGTAGTCTAGCTTTGTGGTTTTTTGCAGCAAGAACAGGCGCAGGATATGTGAATGTGAATTCCATACAATTTCCCCCCAGATACCTACTATGATAATAAATTTGGCGTTGACGTATGATTTTCAGATGAATGTCTGAGTGACACGTGCATTTGATCATAAAATTGTCCTTGTTGTTCATGGAGAGAGGGGCTGATCGAAATGTCCATATATCTATGACTTGTTCATGCCAAACCTTGACGAAAATCCAGCAAGACGATCTGGCTTCGCCGGACTCGTAATTGTATGAGTAAGTCTGTAAACAAAAAAAGTTAGAACATATCCAGAAACACAATCTTTCTGAAAACATCATATCACAAGCAAGCGGACGTACTTTTCCAAAATCTTAGGCCCGTTCAAAGCATCCACTCTTCCGAACTTCTTATTCCTGGTACTGATATCGAAAAACTCATCCGGATTGTCTGTCTGCATCAAATAAACTGTTTGTTGTAATTCATCCAGATTCTCTTTGAGGATAAGAGCGTTGTCAAGGGAATCGACGAATTCGGAGAGGTAGGCTACGTCTTTTGCGAGCGCGGCGACGCCGTGGGGATTAATTTTTTTGACTTCGGGGGAAAGAGGAATAGCCTAGTGGGTGATTAGTTGTTGTGAATTAGGACATGGTCAAGGCCAAGCTTACTAGGATCATATTTGCGGCGTGGGAGAGAGCGTCGAAGTAAATGAGTTCTTTGATCTCGCGGGGCAGGGTAAGGAGAGTGGAGCTCATGATGTTGGAAAGATAGGTTGTAAGGGTTTGCATGTAGTTTACTTCTGGGCTCGGATACTAGAGAAGGTGCCATCCTAGAGTGGGTGAATCGTTAGTCAAATTTGGGAGAGAAGATAATGAACCGAGAATTCTCACCAATCATAATCTGCTGTCTCGACCAAATCGTCTATCTTGGAGTTGACTACTTCGAAAATACGCTTTTCCGCGTCTTTCTTACTGCTTGAGAACTTCTCTGTAGCAGCAAGAACAATTGGCCCACCAGCCGATGTGGATGATCGTGCGGCTAAGAGAAGTTGTTCTAATTCTCTACTCGCTGATTCGAAATACTCAAGGTTTATGAGGATTTGGACAATCTGGCCCAGGTACTGGGTACTCAGCTTTTCCACGAGCGGGTCACAGATATCCTCGGAAAGAAGCTCATCTATCGACTGGAGAAGGACAAAATTAGTTTGGATGAGAGCAGCAAAGCAGAACCAGTAATGCATACCTTCTTAAGTGTCTCATCAATAATATTTGGCTGTTGAAAGTGATCATCCATTATGAAGTAAAATCGGTTCAAAAAATTCCTGATATCTATACAACACATCGGATACATCTGGGAGAATGGCAATACACCAGGGAATCTAACAATCGTCAGAATGATAAAAGCAGATGACGATTCTTTCGACTTACGTGTACTCTTCTTTTGGTTTGTCTGGAACGTACCAACTGACTTGAATGATTTTGTCAAAGTCTTCTTCGCTGTTGACAGGCATAGGCATGTATTCATCCGTAGACACAATCTGGTAAAGGTCAGCCCCATATCCACTAGGCCCTCGGAAAAGCTACTGACCTGTTGAAAGTCTGTACTGAATTTCCGTTTCAACAAATCAGCATATCTGTAGAAAAGCTTAAGCACATAAGTATCTAATATGGCCACTGAATATCCCCAGCCCTAAGACCTAAAGTTAGTATTTTTGACCATTTACATCGTGCTTTGCAAGCTTACCTCCATTGTCTGGATGAACAATGCTATCACATTTTTGGTTTGCAGAATAACATCCGGGTTATCGAATTCATCCAAAGCTTTGGAAACTGCGTTGATGGCGGCATGACACATCGAATCCCACAACTCATCGACCTAGAGAATATTAGCTGATCTACACTTTCTCAATGAACAAATTTTGGCCTACATCAACTGGGGAACGCAAATTATGGACTTTCCGCATAGTAGCCTTTTCTATTATAGCGAAGCCAGCAATACCTTCCAGCAAGGCACTTAAGAAATGTTCGCTCTCTTCATCGGTTAAGTTCACGGAGCTGGGCAGCAGCAAATCTTTCTGCTGCCTTCTTGTGGCAGCATATTCGCTTTTGAATTTCTCAATCTGACCGAGTGCCTCGTGAATATGTAAACACTCAAATAAGGGGTCGAAATCAACTTGGAGCTCCTCATTGTTCAACACATCAAATTCCTCACTTTCATCATAGACCAGCTCGATGGCTGAATTTAGTTTGAAGTTTCGAAGATACGGATTTGCCTCCATGCGCTCCTTCTGCCTGCTCCGTCGAATATTTGTATGATAGAATGCCACTTCCCCTAAGAACTGAGACGTCTCACGGATGCGATAGAGCCAGGTATTCAAATCACTCATTACTGCTTCCGAGATAGCTTTCTGAGAGGAGGGAATCGACTTTTGAATTATTTCTGCGAGGGTATGTTGGGTAGCATATTTGTTCTGAATTGTTGGAATCAAATGCTCGTTCTGTAAATCGTCCAGCGCCTTCAGAGCTGCATAGTATTTCTTCTTCCGTATTAAATCATGTGCTTGATTCACGGCATGCAAAACTTTCAAGGATTCCTTCAACGCCTCAGAAGCTTCCGCAATATTCTGACGGACAGACCTTGTGTCCACCAATGCCTCCTTTTGTGCAGCTAGTTTTTCTGTGCTCGCCTGAATGGATTGATTGAGCTTTAGAATTTCGGATGTAAGTTGGGAGGTTCCTTCTCGAACTTGTTGGAGCTGATTGACGGATGCTAGGAATTCTTCGTGCTTTGTCAAACCAATCCGTTCGATGTCAGCCTCGCGATCATCCGCATATTGTGATAAACTTCGTATGAGTACAGGAGTTCTATTGGATAGGGTAGCGTCCTTTAGGGCGGGTATTAGTTGATCCAGATAATCAGCATCAGAGGAAGACAGTATAATCTATTTCCGTGGGTCAGTTATGGGAGTAGTATAGATATTGTGACAAGGCATACCTGTTGAACAGCTTGCCTGTAATCATCATATTGCACAGTTTTTCGAGGCGGCATACTGAAGAACTTGGGTTTCAAGCTTGTGACGACAATCTAGACCATGAAAGGCTCCAGTTTAGACCATAAAATATCAATGGAGAACTACTTGTAATATAATATTCTCCTCCCTCGTGGTTTCCTGATGATGTTCGAGGGCCAGGCTGAAGGCGGATCGGATTAACCTTGGGCCTAGGTCAAGCTCGGACTCACAACTACCCAATCTTAAGATACAACCCTCTTCTGACAGAATGAAATATCAAACCTGCTCTTAATAACCACTGTCTGAGTCTTTGTGGTGTTGAAAATGATCTCTTGTGCCCCTCAACAAACCCTCATAAAGTGTATGTAAGGTATGGTGATAATTCCAAGAGACTCTTCGAGAACATCAAAGATGCAGATATATTATTAGACAGGGAAATGGGAGCTTGAGACAGCTGCTAAAGAGAGATATGGAATTGGATGACTTTACTCAAGTTGCGATGTACTTGTGCACACCAAGTATATATCAGAGTCTGAGTTCTTCTGATGATTACTCGATCCATTACCGAAGATGTGCCGGCTTCAACTATTTTCAAATCATCAGAGCCGCCGCATAGGATTATATTGCTCTTCTCCTATTTCTTTTCACGCCTTTAATATATATCTATGAGTACAGAAATAATGATTAGAGGTTCTCAATCATCACTTCCTTAGGCTATGTATTAGATCTATTGAGAGTGATGATCTTGGATGAAGTATCAAATTGTCTCGAGATTTGCTAGTGCTCAGCAATCCCGGACTTTCTTGACCAAGAGGAAAGAGCGAAGGGGGGATCTTCATGAGAGACGATTGTCGATGAAGCAAGAGACTTGATCGCCAGGGCACTCTTTTGTTTTACTCCTATGATCCTACTAGATCTAGGTATAAAGATTACTCCAGTTCTACATTCGGTCAGGCTCAATCTGTAAGATACCTGATAGCTAAAATGAAGTAAACTGGTAGCTCAACTCAAAGCCAGATTTTCAAGCCGGCCAGCTGCAGTGAATGAAGGAGTATTGCCGAGTAAGAATCAAGATCCAGAAATAATTCGAGTCCAATTGAGGGTTGAAATCAAGTCACTCAACAACTTGACTGTTGAGCTGCCAACAATATTACCTGGCTGATATGCTCATTTTACCTTGGAATATATCCACTTATAGGTCTATGGCGTTCTTCGTGAATAATGATAGATCTTTGGCGGAATATATAATTTCAAGGTCCAACCCAACAGCTCCATGTCATCTGTATATTTCCTACAGTGGAGATGGCGTGTCGATGGATGTTTGGTAGGATACAAAGTCCAAGGAAGATTTTACCTGCCTGTTACTTTTTAGTATTTTTCTCCGGTCCACCGGTAACGACGAGAGGTCGGTCATTCACACGATACAAACCTCAAGAGAAAATTCTGATTGGCCCTCCGAAATACCTTCCCGTCTCTATTCCCGGGATATAAGTACTATAGGTACTCGGACATCATGTGACCTATTTGGTATTTGCCGGCCACACCCAATTTTCAAGGGGAATTCTACTTGGAGAGCGGGATACCTCCCCGCTTTTGTTCCTCGTGGCAATAGCTACAATGCTTCCGAAGCACTGCTTCGGCCATAACGATATCGGACACGGGACACAGAACTTGAAGGGGATTCCAATTGTCTGTCTACCCGGCTATTCTTGTAAATATCTACATAGTACTAGGTAGGTACCTTGCCGTCTCCTTTCCGTCGTGGCCTTGATTGCTGCCTCGGCGGAGCTACGGCCAAGTAAGGAGGGGCGCGGAGAAAGTGAGGAACTCAACTCTTATCATTTCAGGAATCGCTTATACTTCACATAAACAACCGACAGCGAGATCATGATGGCAGAAATAAGATACATGGAGAGTACAACGACTCCCAGTAGACAGTCAATTGCGGATTCTGAATGTTCTCATTGGTATATATGCTTGAAAGAAATAACAGACATGTTTGACTTCCGTGACGTCCCTAAATTTAATGCTCATGGTGGGTGTTTTTCGGCTTCTCTCCCGAAATGGGTTCATGGTTCCTTCCCGTCCTGCTCATGCTTTCCTAACTTTCTCAACGTGAATACTTAAAAACTCCTCCTCACATCCATCTGGAGGTAAATCCACTTTTTATCAACATCCTCCTTCTTCTCAAAGACTCTTTCTCATATCATACCAACCTTGATGAAATTCACTGAATTTTATTTGGCCTTCTTCCGACTCTTCCCCTTGCAGTTTTCAATGCACTGTCGTTGATAATCGGAAATTCTTCCATCTCCTCTACTTTTGTTCTTGACACATACACGAAATTATTGGTTTGTTCGTTCAATCTACAAGCCTTCAATCTTCAAGCATCTCAACGGTTGTTATCAATTGGTGATTGTCATATCATCAACTGGGCAATAATCTTTGACGTACAATCATTTTGAACTCATAGACTGCCTTTTCCAACAACTTACACAATTTTCACGTCCTTCATTTTTGACACCTCTTCTTCTTGCCTTTGAATCAAGAACTTTGTTCCTAAGCATGTCGTCATTCAATCGTTCATATGGTCAATCGCCACCTTCCCCGGTGTCCAATGGCGCTTTTGAGTCCATCCAAGGAACTCCCAACACTGCCATCACTGCCATCTCTCCAGAAGATGCCAGAGTGCCCAAGCAGTCGGCAACAGACTCTCGTGCATCTTCTGTTACTACAACTGCTAATCAACATGATCCTTTTGTAACGACTGGGACCACCACAAGCAGGGCTTCGGCTCAACTTTCTGCGACTGCTTCTGCGTTTCAACCCTTGCACCTCTACGGCCTGCAGTTGGTGCGCCAATTACGGGAAACCTTATTGCCAACGGATCTGGATCTACTACTCTTATTCCAGGTACAATTCAGTACTTGGACAACGTGGTAGCTTCTCAATCACCAGTTCGTGAGTCAGAGGTTACCAGCTATGGTGTAAGTGTCGGTTTCTCTTTGCCCACCCTGATATTAGTTGCTAATAGTTCATAGAAATTCAGCACGGATACTGGTGCCACTCGTTGCATCAGAGTCACGGATATCTACCAAAAGGTAGATGTCAATAGTTGTGTTCAATACTCTTTTGAGGTATGTCTTTACCTTGTCATTCGCTTGTTCATCGTGTCTCTTTCTAACACATTTCTATGTAGAAATTGAACAAGGCTGGAGTCATCATCACTGGCGGAAAGAGAATCGAAGCGACAAAGAACAATGTCGTCTACATTAGGATGTCCAACATTTATGAGGCAGCCAAAGTTTATACTGCAATCAAAGTCGATCATGTTGATTGCGCCGTTGAATACATCAAGGTTCGTCGAAACCTTCACTTCTCGTTCAACTAAAACTAATATTCCGACAGGCCAATGACTTTGGTGGTGTTCGTGAAATCCTTCCCTCTTCATGTAAACAGGAGCTAACATTTCCCCAGGCTATCAGCCCCCAATCAAGAACCGTGTACTCTGCTCACGAGGGTCAAGTGATGCTAACAGCAACATATCCGCCACACACCAACATTGATAAGAAGGTCTTTGAGGAGAGTCTCCGGGACTTGTTGTCCGTCGAAGGAGAACTATATGCATGGCAAAAATTTCTTGCAACAGAAGCAGGCACCTTCCGACTATGTGCAGAGTTTGTTGATTCCGCAATGGTGGCTCGCGCAATTGAACGCTGCAACAACAAGCTCATTGGTGTATGTATCATCTCTCGTCATTCACCTGATCGGACATCACTGACTTTTGCACAGAATATTCTTGTCAAGTGTGAGATGCACACACCTGATGTTGCAAAGAATCGTGGCACCTCGCGTAACAATTTGGCACAGGCTATAACTCCTACACGTCGCTCAGCTCCTCAAGCTGACATTAGTGATGTACTTGGACACATGTCCCTTCAGGCCCCCCAAACTCCTGGATTTCCTAACAATGCTGCAATGTTCAACTCTGGTAGCCCAAATCCTCAAGGTATTCAATATATGACCACAAATCATTATGGAATGCTACCATCGACCACAGTTCCATACGTCATGAGTGGTATGGGCGGCATTTACACCGGCCAACCTCTAGCCTTTCAAACAGGTTTCCCTGCTGCAATTGCAACAAATCGACCCGCGCAGGTTATGGAGCCTTATGAATCTTTTGCTCCGCAGGCATACTCGCCACACATGTACGCTAGTCACTTTGCTCAACAAGGTGTCCAGCGCTACCCAACCAGTCCACAGGCTTACAGTAACAACTTTGGTTACATGAGTCCTCAGACTCCTAACTCTCGTGACGCAGCCCGCAGTGGTAATCGTCGCCAGCTTCCCGTCGCTCGCACACCCCAGGGACAACTTCGAGGACGCGGAACATCTAATCCTGCTGCTAGTCATCACAATCATGTCGATATCAACAAAATTAATGCTGGCCTTGATGTCAGAACTACTGTAAGTGTTCAATCGTTCCACCAAGCCTGCTCAATTCTAATCTTCTTCTTAGGTGATGTTGAGAAATATCCCAAACAAGGTCGATCAAGCCATGTTAAAGAGTATCGTCGATGAGTCCAGCTTCGGAAGATATGATTTCATGTACCTTCGAATTGACTTCTCGAACGACTGCAATGTCGGTTACGCTTTCATCAATTTTGTTGATCCTATGGACATCATCGAGTTCGTCATCGCTCGCTCAAACCAAAAGTGGCATCGATTCAAGAGTGATAAAGTTGCAGAAGTCTCCTATGCAACTATCCAAGGCAGAGACTGCTTGATTCAAAAGTTTCGCAACTCTTCTGTTATGCTCGAGCCTCCCCACTACAGACCAAAGGTAGTTCTATCGATGATTGATACTCTCCCATAAATAACTGACAAATTGACGTAGCTCTTCCTAACCCACTCCGATGGAGCTAATGTTGCCGGCTTGGAAGATGAATTTCCTCCATCTGACAATGCTTCCAAGCTCAAGCGAAGCTGCGAGAATGCGGAACATGTTGGTAAGTTATCATCTAATCGTCTTTCAAATTAGTACTTTTGCTAAGACTTTGAAGGGCTTTTTGCGCCAAGTGCTGGCCAACATCTTCGTGATGAGCAACGTCGCCGCCGCTCTCAGTATGACCGAGGTACAAGCCTTGCAGAACGTGAGGAGTATGGCTTTGATGACGACGAGGATGATCTTCATCGCAGCCCTTGTGCTCAAGGCTTCTCACCACATTGTAAGATGGCATTCCTTTACTTCCCTGTTCAAAGTATTTTACCCAGTATTTTCGTTACTAACATCCCCTAGATTGAGTAGCTGGACTTTGACCATCCCTTCAAAAGTCATCCATACGATCTGATGTCAATTTCATGCTACCCACTTTGGTTTCTGCCGGCTAGCTATACTCTTGTCAGATACCACCTTTTTCTGGTCTGTTGATTTGCACCAATTTTAACTCACTTGGGGAAGTTTGGGTCAGCCACACGACAAGCCTCATATGGTTTACATTTTGAAGCAGATTGGACGAACCATCTAGTTGACTGTTTCTATTTCTCTTCTTTACACGGAAAAGTTTATCATATTGCTACATATGAACTTGTTTCTTGCGACACCAGAATTCTTTGCTAAATAAAATACTTTGGCGGTTACATTTGTGGTGGCTTCATGGCCCCGGTTTTGAGCCTAGGTACAACTAGCTTTTGACAATAAAATAGAAGAAATTTTTGCTACCTGTCGATTCAGTCCCTCGTATGATCTTAGATGTGCTTTATTATCATTTGAGTGAAATCGTCATCCCCATGCATTGAATTGACTTAATTTCGCATAATTGTGACTGCCGTCGCAATGGGTAAGGTCTTGAATTTGAATGGGATAGTGTTGATGTATATACATGTGGAAGGAAGAGAGAAAAACGTTGGAATATCTGGAGAAATAGATAGGTTTGGTGTCATTTGTGGGATTGGTTGGTGTTGTTTTTTGGGATGCTTTTGACTACGAACTCATGGCTAGAACATCGAGTTAAGAAATCCACTGGTGATCTCAGAGAAACGTCTTTACTTAAGAAAACGGTTTCAGCAACGCTTCGCAAATTTTTGCAGAAATATGAATCTACCTGATATTTCTTGAATTGTCCGTTCATTCAGATTGATTGCCTTCAAAGACAGCTGCAAATTTTTCCTCGCACACTTCGCATTGCCTCAACATTAAATCTCCCATGACGAATGTTGGACTTGTGACTAGTTCTTTACGGCTTCTAATAGTTGGCTCTTCTAAGTGGCCTCCTGGTACCCAGTCGGGGAAAACGGTTGTCCCCTCACCTTTTTTCACAAGTATTTCACTCAACCCTTAAATTAAAATCATAAATTCAATATTATTAAGTTGTTATAATTTCACTAAACTCAACAATGTAATTTGTTTTCAAATAACACAATCTTTCTTGAATGGGGACAACCGCTTTCCCCGACTAGGCACCAGGTGGCCGCTCACAAGAGCCGACTGTTACTTCTTGCGAGCAATCAAAGTTGCCATCGGTGACCTCCATATTACGCCCCGTTTTCCCATCTCGACCGCCTTCTTCCGATAGAGATACGCGGCCATCTTCGCTTCTTCGTCACTCAATCCATTCCGAGACGATAGCAATTCTATGATCAGCGCTTTGGCGCGCGATTGCCACTCAATCACCAGGTCGTTTATTTCTGGTTTTTGATAGGGTGCAAATGTGTGGTCGGTCACATGCACATCTTCCACGGGTAAAATTTGAAGTATCTTTTCTACGTCGTCAGGTGGATCGTAGGAGAATCCTTGGTCGCCCCAGTATTTGAACATCTTGTCTATCCCAGCTTTCCACAAGGGCTCGCTTTCATCAGCGGAGTGTGTTATCTTGAGGCCGTTGCGGTAGGACATGTCGGTCCATTGGAGATATCCACCGGGTTCTGTGTTGGTTAGTTACTGTTTGTTGGTGTGGGTTTGAAGATTGAGAATGCATCTCCTTACTGAGTAAGTCGACTAGATTCTCTACAACGCCTTTGATCTGTTCGACTTTCAGGGCGAGCACGACGAGTCGTATATGCACGACATCGAAGGTGCCGTGGTATTCTTTAGGGAACCTCTTCGTCATATCCCATAACACAAATTTGTTTTCCGGGGCAGGATTCTTGGGGAATTGGTCAGGAGAAATGTCAAACCCTACTGTCTCCAGGAGCTTGCATCCTCCATTCGAAAATTCCTCGGCCAATTCTCTGAGCCAAATGCTGAGTAAGAGTCAGTATTGAATTTGGTAATCTTAAGGAACAAAGCTATTGTACCCGGTACCTGTTGCTATATCTGCTACTCTGGACACATTTTGCTTGGGGATTCGGGGGTCAAGGACGTGTCCATCTCTGACAATCCTGATGGTGTTGCTCTGTCGGTCTAGCCTGGGATATATTAGTAGATACGACAAGTCAAAATATCTCCTGGAATTCACACCTGTCTCTCTCTTTCTCATCTCTTCTATTAAGCAAGTAAAGTTCCTGATCTAGTGACTCCACCTCAACTGTAGTAACTGTGGTAGTCGGCAACTTGGCGATAGTAATCACCTTCTCCACCGCAGCAATTTCCATTTTGAGTGCGAGTAACAACGAGGAGTCTGTGCAGATATTTTTATAGTTTGAATTTTGACACTACAGATAGGTATCGACCTAAAAGTCTAAGAAAGTACTGTCAGATAGAATGCCGACAACTTTAAAAGTAAAAAAGCTCAAGTCTATTTATGATATCCCTCAATACAGCATGGCTCTCAGTACCCCTCTTTATCACATGGTGTGGAAAAGGAGACAAGCCAACGACTAACCAAATCCAACACGATGGCTATGTTCCATTGCAGCACATGCGATTTTCAGCTGTCCACTATTCAATCACGAAGCCGGCTTTAGCGAAAAGAGGCAAGACAAGCGATGATACCCTATTGTATACGTGGGAATTTCGAACTGCCGAAAATATAACATTTTGCAAAAAACACTCTATAGAATCGGAGTCTTAGGACGGCTATTCAATAAGGAGAATCTCAACATGATTGAGTAAACGTGCCGATGAGGCTTTTGGGGTTTGGTTATGCAGGGGTTAGTGCACCCCATACTCCCTCCCCAATCACATTGTGTAACTTGACTAACATACTGTCGAAACGGCTGATTAATGACTGCTCATATGAGCATTATTGTATCGACTTATCAGTTAAACTAGTCCGAACGCAGCGAGGTATGATCCAGGGCTCATTGATAAGCCTATAGCAGCAGGTCTCCGCGTCACTACGCTATGCGCATTTTGACCAGTAGCGACGGCGACATTCGTAATCTCTCAGTTGCTACGGATTTTTACCTCCCCAGAAGTAAGCTTCCGCGTTGTATTTTGTATTGACGATCTGAGGGAATTGAGTCAGTGCAACGGACGCACATCATAACGGACGCACAATGTAACGGACACGTAGTGGCATGTGCGAGTTCCTATCAAGAATAGGCTCTCAATGATCTGAATTTGTAGTTAGCTGACATATAAACGCCCATTCTGACGCTTTGAACGTGAATATATGCATGTGATCCAATAAACATGTGGAGCACATGAGGAAGCTCCATTACAGTATTTCCTAGGTAGTATTATCCAGGTGGTGTTAAAGGTAATCGAAAGCATTATTGTATGGAGCTGAAGTTTGAGAGATATTTCAATCTGCTTTTTAGAGAGCAAGCTTAAAAATCTCACATGCAATAAGTACGATTACCATAAAGAGCTGGCCGAGCACGGAGCTCAGTATGAAAACTTTTGTGATAGAAAAATATCATAGGGACTCGCAAAAGGGAGCAGTTTCAAGATGCACATCATGTATCTAAGAGAGCCCTTACCACAATTAAGCTGTCTGACATTGTGGCGTTGTGTCATTGTGAACTCTGGAGCCTCTAGCCCTTCGATCGAAGCCTTAAGTGTCGATGACTACATTCTTCACAATAGTTTCTCTCTACCACATCAATCGTAGCAAGCAGCACGTGATCAGTTTCATCTATCTAGCTTGGCAGGTAGGCGCGTGAGGCCTAAGAGCTGGAGAGCTGGGTGCTTTGTTCGTAGACTGCGGATAGTGTACCCCATCGTGTTGAGTATCAACCCACTGGGTATGTATTGGTTGATAGGATAGTAACATAGAGTGTAAGATATGTGGTGGAGAGACGTACGTCGGGCCTGACAGAAGGAGGCTTTGTGGTAGTCCCACAGGCAGTCAATCTCCGAACATTGATGATCAATTGAAGCTTTCCTTTGCTCTTCTCAGACTATCACTATCTGAGTAAAATGACCGGTGTGAACTTCCTGCCTTTATGGAATATTTATTGTACATCCTTTTCCTCGACCGATAGAAAATTAGCTCAAGTATAATTGGATGCTAACGCCGCGTTTCTAGAAGACCACTTTTCGTGATTAGAACGAGTTTGTCATTGTAATTGAAAGATAATCATACTACATGTTCCTAATCATATAGAGCTTTCTATGATCTGCCTCGAGACTCGAGTTCAAATGTTGCGACTTAGCCCATCCCCGTCACAATGATACAGAGGGCAAATGGGTTATTCCACTCCATTTTCTCATTTCTCTTGAGACGAGATATGTATCCCTTGGATCAATAATCATAATTATCCATAAATCTCCAGAAGCTATAATCACGATAGCTACCGTTAAATTACAAGATCTTTGGTACAATATGTTGTATCGGGATCGATAATGCCATTATCATTTATGCTCGCCCAATCCACTACCTTGAGCTCCTATATTTCAGAAAAACAATTGCAAAGCAGATTGGTTACTGATTGCGAGGTAATCAAGGTTCCAGTATTGGCTAAAGCTACTCGAAAACGACTCTATGCAAGGCTCTAGATTTAGTACTGACATAAGAGATTCTTTAAATGGACGTCCAGGCTATTCAGAATGCCCGATGCAGCCTTGGCAATGTCATTCTGATCCCCATCACGTCAAACCGCTTCATCGCCCGTTCAAACTGTGGAAAGGAGTCGGCTAGATCATCTATTTATATATATATAAAAATACATGATAAATGTGGCACCTAGGATAATTGCAGCGCCGAGAGCGTGTATGTTTAGACAGAAGATCCTATAATAGAGGATATCGAACAAGCCTTTTTGACAGTATAGGACTTCAAGGGTAGCTTTGAACGCTGAAGCCCTGCTGAATTCAGGTACCACCACAAAACTTTTGAGAAATGACGTGCGTAGGATTCGCGCTTGAACGGTAATCGAAGTGGTATGCTACTTGTCTAGTAGAGCCACGAGTGAGTTGCCAGGTTGGCTATAGTCGTCCACGACACTATCAAATGACATGACGATGAGATTTTTGAGGGAGTCCAAGGTAGGATTGTACTCCGGTGGTGAAAATTGGAGAGTGATACTGAAATATTGAAAGAAACAACACAGGAAAGAACTTTACATCTCCCGACAATCCAAGTGCAGCCTTTTCAAGCATAAAAAAGGATGAACTATTCCAACTCTTGAGACAATCTCGGAAAATATCTTCATCCAATGGATAATATCGATCGCTAACTTCTCGGAATAAAGTCTCAAGGAAGCTTCCGACAACCACTCTGAAGGAAGTTGGCGAATTAAGTTCTTGTACTTCTCTAATAGCCCGCTCTTGTCTGTCGCTATCAATGGAAACTTTTGTAAAGAGGAACTTGGCTCCGTGTCGTGGCTCTATACCGTTTTCAAGATACCAAGCGTTGTGCTGTTATTCCCACTAGACTTCGCAAATTCAAATGCGCTGACCTGAGACATGGGGCATGGCTCAAGCTCCATGACTTCAGATGATTTTTCGTCGTCGAATGAGACATTTATACTTTCCCCCAAAATTCGCCACTTTTTGGTAATTTATTTTTCAAAATGGCATGCCGATTGCTCGTTTCAAACAAGACAATTAGAGTTGATACTAGAAATAGCATTGTGCCTGCTCTGACAACGTTTGCTTACGCAAATATCTTCTGTGCGCGAGAACACTTTCCTATCCCCCTTACAACAGGTTTTCAATAAACTGCAGAATTTCGATATCAGTTCTTTCCGAGGTGTTCTGTCGCTTTGCTCTCAGCCATGACTTTGCACGGGGAATTGCGTGTCTCTACTTATTATTAAGGGTGACCTGTTGCTGGAGACTTGACGATACACCCGCGCCATGGCTCACGTTCTTGCAGCCACGCAATGTAAGAATCTGTAATCTGTGGCGTCAAGTTCCATGATCTTTTGGCAATCATCACACCAAGTGGCGGACACGCAGACTTTGCTTGATTTGCCTTATATCCTGATCTTTCCTATCGTTTGGTCCCGTAACTGCAGTGGTCGTTATCAAAACTGACTGAGCCGTCTCCGTGATACATGTTTCTTTCTATAGCCGACTCCATTTCTTCATCCACGGTTATAATTTCCCATATTCAAGAAGAAGTATCGGATGATTTCCAGATGTGCTACGAATAGATTTGTTTCGACTTCGAATTCTTGGAGCGGAATAATTTGACCTTGGGCGGAGATATTTCGGATCAAGATAGGGCAACGGTTTTCCCAATGAGGATTTCCCAGGAGATTGTACCCCACTCACCTCAAACACCATCGTCAAAACTTCAGACAACAAACACGAGATTTTCAATTTCTTTACTTCCTTTCGTCCAAAATACCTTGGCACTGGTTTCAATGTTGCTGTCCCACTGCAAAGTCTGGTCTGATTATTTGCCGTTAATCTATACAATGCTCATTGCCGCTCAAAGCCCCATCTTAACAGTCCCTCCTTGGCAGCGGGTCAGACGTCTTGGATTCTTTACTTATCAGGATAATATCTTAGTATTCTTCTAATTTTTCAAACTTTGGGCAGAAGACGCGAGGTAGTATCCTTGGGTCCTGTATCACAATCTTCCGTCGAGGCAACGAAGAGTCTTTTGTATCTAAGTTTGGAGTCAAAGTAAGCTTGCTTTGACTTCCAAGATCTGTCATCTGAAAAGTCTGATACGGCGAACATCTGAACAATATGATACAACGAGCGTACAGGCATGAGATGACGACCTTGGTTTGTTTCTGAAATCGTTTTCAATGGGTGGGAATTAGTTCCTCTCCTTGCTCAGTACTGAGAAAGTACCGACCTCAGTGACAGGCAGGCAAAAATATTCCCAAGATCCACGTTGCCTGCAACAGATTTTGTAGGAGAATCGCATTATTATTCAGGAGGCGATATGAGCTATTACCCCATGACGAACTTGCATCGTGAAGTTTTGCTAGTACACAGTTCTTAAAAGGCAGGAGAATTTTCCTTTTTACCGTTTGTACATCTACATCCGCATCTCCAGTTGTGTTCGCAATTCTCTCTTTTTCATTACACTTTAGACTCTTTCAATTCTGTACAGGATCCGGGCGATTCTCCTATAATCTAACTCTTATTCATTCATTTATTAGTGCAGGACACCTTCCTTACCGTCAATATGTATACTTCTATTTTATTTCAAGCGGCATTATTGTCCGTCGCTCAAGCCCACGGTGTTATCCTTGCTGCTCAAGGTATCGCAGGATCCCCCGCAAGTGTTGGATTTAAAGGTAAACTTCCAATCTAAACTTCCCCATATTTCGGGACATTAATCTAATTTAATTTGCTTAGTCGACGATGCTATCGCAAGAAATTGTACCGGCATCAGTCCTTGTCAACAAGACACAACCATTATTCGTGATTCCGAAATCAAAGCCAACATCGTCAATGAATGTGGCCGTACGGAACTGAGCGGCAACATTGATGTAGGAGAAAGTACCGAAAATGCTCTCTCCGCCAATGCGGTCACAAAAGTCAAAGCCGGTACACTGATGACCGTCACCATCCATCAAGTCAACGCAGATGGAGCCGGCCCCTACACCTGTGATCTCGACCAAACTAGCAATGCTGGTGTCATTTCTCAAAATTTAACCGTCACCAATAACGTACCAGGAGTCAACGGACTATCCCAAGCCAAAACTCAAGACTTCAACATCACAGTTCAAATGCCCGACAACCTTGCCTGCACTGGTGCCTCCACTGGAAATATCTGCACCGTCCGTTGCCGTAACAATGCCGTTGCTGGTCCCTTTGGTGGTTGTTTTGCCGTTCAACAAACCGACATTGCTGCTAGCAACAACAGCGCCAATACTATCTCTACCGCACAAACACTCAAAGCAATCGAAGCACAAGTCCAAGAAAACAACGTTGATCTTCCCGTTGCTGTTGCCGCTAATCAAGCCGCTGGTTCCGCTGACGGCGTAAAGGGTTTCAATGGTGCTAATGGTATGCCAATCCCAATCTCATAATGAAAACATACAACTAACAAAACCAACAGCCCTTCTTAGCGCCTCCATAACATCCAAAGCAGCCCCTGTTATGACCCTCGCTGTAGAAAATGTAGGCGCCAACGCAGCTGTTGCATCTACAACCTCGTCCACTTCATCCGCAAAAGCAACCGCAACCACTGCCGCCAAAGGAAACGGCAAAGGAAATGCCAATGCGAAAGGTAACGGAAATGGAAACGGAAGAAATAATAATAAGGCGAGAGGATCGAGTTTGAAGTGGGCCAGTAGACTATTTGCGGCTGATAGCTGGGAAGAGCCTTCGAACTAGACTTTAGTGGTGCTGTATAGTGGATTTCAAGTAGAAGATGGGAATAGATACCGGAGGTGCATGTCAAGAGATACCTATTTGATGAGAATGGAAGATGCTTTTTTTTAATGTATATAAATATATTTGGAGGGATAACTTTGGGGCATGTGTACATGAGATGTAGACGAATGAATTGAAAGATTGGAAGATTGACAGATTATTTGTGCTCTGCGAATTGCAAGTGGATCGAATATGCTCGAGTAGGAATAATACCCCAGACCTCGAGTGTGTTACAATGTGCCCTCTCGCGTTGCCATTGATCATGTATAACTCTAGGCTGTACTTCTAATCAAGTCAAAAAGAAACAAGCCAATCCAGAAACTGCGGAATGAAAGATTATAACATTGCATCGTCTTGCACATCCGCGATGTTCGGTTGCTACATGTGGACGATAGCTCTTGGGTCTTTGATCCCTTCTTGATCTATCTAAGCTACATTCTGAGCCTTCTCGTCGGAACATTTCACCTATTCTTTCCCCAAGCTATCACTGGTGCGATGTATCCATCCAAATACAGCTAACACGTGCATAACGCACTTTCCTCGACACATCATTCAGGAATCTAATCCGTCTTGTTATTTCACGAGCTCTCCAGACACATCATAAAACAGCACAATTTCAAGCATTCAACCAAGCCAAGGTAGGTAGGTGAAATAGTAAATTCGTAAAGTAAGGTAGCCCTAAGTCTTTTTTCTTCATCATCATCATAAATATAAGAAAAATGTATCCATAAGTCATCAATCATAATTTCGAGAAAATCAATCGCCGCGCAGAAGAAGCGCGAGCCCCCAATGCAACGCTCACTCATAACATCATGTTTATGTTCATGATCCACCCACCATCTCAAACGCTCAAACAGGTTTTCCTCCATGCAATGCATCGCTATCCCCCACAAAGAGTGTAACCTCCGTCTTCATCACCTGTAACAATCGCACCATGCAAAACCACAACATAAAAACCCTCCCACCATCTTCCTCTGATATTTCTCTCGCCACTCGCTTACTTGCTCACTACAAACAAGCACTCAATCACCACAACGCAACCACCCAAAGGCAAAACATGTAGGAAAGTTGCCTCTCCGTAAAGACCGTGTACAGGAATATCGAGTCGCCTCATTTTCTCCACGAGATTCCGGTGCTGTGATACCCAAGAAAATCGTGGCCCCATTCGTCATACACAATAGCATTTTGCAATAGTATTTGTATCTTGTAGATATTGTAGATTCTTGATCATTCCGCTTCAAGCAAAAACAAGATTTCATGAGAAAGCAAGAAGGAAATATAAAAGAGTTAAGGAAATTCGTGCAATTCGTTGATCTCATGATGATGTGAATGAATGAAATGGATGAAAATTCAGTATCTGGAAAAGTTCGTCAAGGGAGTCGTTAATAGCATCGTGCCAGTGGAATTTTCTTTCCTTTTGATAATATGCCGCCCGTAATGATCCGTCTTTGTCATGGATAGTCGTAAGTCGTAATTTTTCATTTGCCTCGGGGTCCCTGCTGTATCGTTTCATGTATAGGTGGGTAGTACGTAGTGCATCGTATTGCACCAACATGGATTCGCCGGCAGTCACTTCTTAACTGCCGACAGTCATTGGGTATCTGACGTCTCTATTTTCCGATTCGGAAGATGTGCTCGAGGAGCTGCTACTGAGCGTTACGGAATGTTGCCGCTGACGATCATTTCTCCTCTTGTTGCGGCTGGCCGTCTCGTTGGCAGGCAATCCTTGGATGACGCCATTACGAGCCAACATCCCTCCATTAACTGACGACTGACGGCAAACCATAAAGGCCTGTGTGGCGGCATTCTCCTGAGCCAAGGCATCGGTTTGGTATGCTAGATCTGTTTGGTACTCCTGTCCATTGACGAGAACGAGACAAGTGAAGCCTTGTGCGTCGCGGTACGTCTTGTACTGGGGACCTTGCCAGCCTCGTCGACGGCACAAATCTGTCTACATGTCAGCGGGTAGACTAGGGATTTTGTTGCACAATTTGAATTCTGAGAGTGAATGTAACGCTGGCGTTCATAATATTGACCCCATCAGGAATAGCATATCCATTGGGGCGTGTTTGGTAGCGCAGCGGGATTATGGATCCCAAGAAGACGGTGACAGATGAACATAGTGAGGCGATCAACTCAGCCCTCTTTTGATGCAACGCCGGCCAGAGCAGGGTTATATCAAGAAGTCCAATCGAATACAAATTCCCACAGAGGCGATGAAGAAAAAGTTCCGAACTGATGAACCAACGTACTCTCTAAATATGCCATGTAGAACCCCATTTTGGTATTCTTAAGATGTCAGAGTGTGATCAGATCCCCAAGACAGAAGGTATGCCCGTCGTCTGAAGTGTGGTAAGACACCCCGTCCTCGATCGATATCAGGCAGTGAGTATGCCTTGAATTTAGATAAGTGCCGAACGCTACAGATCTGACGATATGGATGCAATTGAGCCCAATGTTTAAGGTATACAGGGAAATATGCACACACTCAGTGCCGTGTATGTGAATACAATGATGTATGGATAGTGTTGTGGTGTTGAAGAATAAGGCTGACTATGATTGAGTGGATGTTCTAGGGGTTCTGTGCAGGACTTTCCTTCATTGATGGCGAGACATGTGTGATTTATTGCAGAGTCTAATGGTTAGCGTTGAACAAGGATCATGGAGTGATTTCCCGTAGCAGAATCGAGAAGCTGTTTAGATAGGACAATGGCTTGAACCACCTGCAAGTCATGAATGCGGCTCTTTGGATATGATAGCGAGCGATGTGTTGGCGTGTGCCGTTGCCAGTGATAATATATCAACATAATTAGGCAAACTCCACCACAGCATGGGAACGCATAGAAGCGATGATCTTGGATAGCTTGAACGTACCAAATCTCCGTTCTGAGAAACGTCTGCAGATATTGAAATTGTCGATGCAGCGGGGTGGCAAAAAGAGCTCGCGAGATACCTTGTCCCACTGATCCGGACAAAATATGGGAACATGCCATTACCATGGGGGTGAGAAAAAAGTTTGCGGACCGCGAGCAGAGAGAAAGAGCCAAGACTCAATGGATACTGTAGCATCATGGATGGATGGCAAAAAAGATGAGTAAATCTCCAGCAATTACGGACTTTTTCCCAGAGAGATCCGCTGGGTTGGCCACTAATGCAAAGAAATCGATGGCATTACAAAAGTACCATGGGTCCGAATGCAAGAAAAACGTCAATATTGCTCGCTAGGTCAGGGACATAATCCTCCAGAAATTCATCTAATTGTACCTACCATCTACCGATACATTGAGATTGAATCCTTTGACCCCAAAATGGCTTGTGCTTTCCTTGAAATGGTGCCATTGAGTGCTTGTTAATAACAAATGTGGAAAGATTGAAGGCGTTTCCTGTTCTCGGGATATATCTCTATTGCCCCGCACTACCACGGTACATTTGGGGTCGGAAAGGAGAGACGAGAGAAAGAGAGAAAGAGATCGCAACAAGCAGCGCGATTGACGCGGAATGACTGGAGTACGGCTTGACACGAAGTCGGTGAGCCTTCAGTGCATGAACAGTGGCTGGAATTGACCGGCCTTCACCATCGAGTATTTTGCTTCAATATTTGTGATAGTTGATTCGCGAAGGGATCAAGAAAAGATGCGAGGCAAAAATCAGCCAGGTCTACTACTAACCGTAAACAAGGTTGTGGTGCGTATGCTTGATGAGTTGGCAGTGCGCTTGACATCTCGATAGTAATGATTATATGCCGTTGAGATTGAAAATGGTATAACGGTAAAGTATATTAAGCAAAGCGTGAAGATACCGTAGATCTAGAAGTTAACGAGTCGCTGGTCGGATGTACTCTAGATGTATGAAGTGTGTAGACGACTCTGGAGTCTGAGGTTGGAAGGGGTTGGAAGGAATAAGTTTGAGAAGATTATTCGTAGATGGTTCGTGGAAATAAAGGCTCTTCCCCTTGATCCCTCCATGGAACAATCAAACCCCAAGAATGTCAAACGACACAAACAACCTTATGCAGCACAAAGTACGATAAATAATCTGGTTCATCGTACTATCTTTTGAAATATCCAGAATTACCAGCTTCCTCTTTGGTTCACGGCTTTCATTTAAATTGGAAGATTATGGGAAGGACCGTCGCACCGTCCCGTTCTGAAGATTCAGCCGTTACATTGACCAGGTACTTGGGCGACATCTTTCACAATTGAGCCATTGGCAGACTTCCCATTGCAATCGAGCGAGCATATGTACCAAGTAAGAAGCCTGCGGATTTCCAATCGCCATTGATCATACCGAGAATCCTACCGTTTGGTACGAATGCAGGCTCGGGGACATTAGAATACGGCCGTGAGAAGTTGATCTGACATGAAAGAAGATGCATCGAGATTTGAATCGTTCCAATTTGCATCAATCTACAAGTTCAACTTCCTCTCGTTTAACCCAGACCTACTCGTAGCTTCCGCTCTATTGACCAAGATAGGTGGCGAGTCGGAAGAAACTGCTTTAGGGGGAAGTAATTGATTCGTAAGTACGCGATGTGGGTATATGATACAAAAAAAGTACAAGACAGTGGAAATGGCCTGCAGGTTGCAGATGTAGCAGGTTCTATGCAACTAGCGAGTAAGTGAAGGGGTTCTCTCTTTCTCCTCTTGCGAGGGAGAGGGGAAATCATCCTGTACCTAGGTCCTTCAAGCAACGAAGTGGAATCAAACTGCATGTGCGGACAACAATTACTGGAGCTGGAACTTCTACATACAGTATCTAAAGTACAGATCAAAAATAGTATCTATCTCCGAAGCTCCCCCAAAGTCGGGAACCCTCTCGGATCCTGGATCCATTGATACCGGTACCATGATACGACATGTCCTCCAAAGTCCAACACAACAACACACACAACACACACTTCACATGGTCGACCCAATATGTATCGTGTTGCCATATCCACTCCTCACTTGTACAAGAATAACAAAGTAGTCGGTGGTACCTTGCGGTGAGCTCATGACGATTCAATGAGACCGAAAACAGTTGGTAGAACCCGAGATAACCGACCAATCTTCAATGTGGGGGGGGATGACCTCGACCACCAGTTTTCCATTCGATCTTCTTGTTATCCCGATAAATTGGCGAACCATGAGAAAAGAACTTCCCCAAAGCATCCACTCTCGGTCTCCACTTTCCCACCAGTCTAGTAAAAATCTACTCGGTATCAAAACGGAATAAAATGCGAAGGGAGACCTTCATGCACTGCATGCTACCAAGGAGCTACAGTACCTAGCAATATAGTCTCTTTATGATCTATCATATGAATTTCGTGTGAAGAGAGGTTAACAAATCCTTCGTTCTTTTCCGGAACCGAACAAACACTTCAGTACGACGTATCTCGTAACTGCCACCTAGGTTGCCATTGGGGTTATCTCACAAACGCCGCTTGCTTTTAAATCAACACAATTTTCCAGTCACGTTCAAATGTTGACCCTGCTGGCAACAAAGAAAAAAGGACAACAATCGGGCCATTCTCAAGCTAAGCCACCGGGAAAATGGAAGATCCAATTGATCGGTTGGACTTAACTAACGCATCGTTGAATATGTCTCGCGGGAAAATAGATTATATACATCACGTGATACGTAAAACCCACCCTCGTCGCCGACGAAGTGTGAAACTGGCGCCATCTATATGTGCAGACTTTTCATCCCATAAATACCAATCCCCAGCCAATGTAAATTCAGCCCATATATTCAGAATGTTGGTACATTTTAAAAGGTCCCTTTTGAAGCGAAGTATGCCCGTATCTCCTCAGCAACGCCTTCTGGTATCACGAAAACCGGGTGGAGAGTCCCCACCCTATCCTCTTCATCATATATCTGTGTTGTCTCAACATAAGGCTCGGCCGTCCATTGATACGGTGAAACGAGCGTTCCACTCGATTCCGTTTTCTGTGCAGACGTGTTGAAATGCCACTTATGCTGTGCGGAACTAAGACCTGCCAAAACATAGCATGTGTGATACGAATCAGAGCGACTATAATAGAAGATCAGCATTCATGTGGAGCGGAAAAGAAGAGATCGGCTCTTCATGCTTACTGGCTGGGCTTATCCCTCAATCCACCCCGATTTCCTGTATCCTGACAACAGCAGAGGATGTACCTGATCAAACCGTCGCGGCTGTAGAGATTCACCGAATCTGGATTCGAGAATGGCCCTGTTTGAGTTTGCTGCGTTGGACCTTCAAGGCACGCTTCTAATAGAGGCCAGCATCCTCCAACCCAATGGGAGTAGCATCCGTCGACTAACTTATTCGTGCGACCTGAGAAGCCGCCTTCCGGCGCATATTGACGTGCTGATAGCCATGAAATGAAGCCGGGTACGTCAAGATACCTAGATATGTGTTAGCATAGTGATTCGTGGATGATTATAGATATGTAATTTTGACCTACTGAGGTATCATGATGTGTGGTTCACCTAAAATGCACAAACAGCCTAATGCTAAGAACGCATACGCTCCATGGGCTTCGACATTAGGTCGAGCACCTATACCGCCCTCAAATGTTTGACCTATTCTATTAGCACAAGTTTTAATTTCTTCTTTGTTTTGAACATACATCTCGAGATCCATTCCGGAAGTCCATCGATGAAAGTAGTATAGTTTGATGATCTCGCCGGAGCATCTTGGGGAAGATCGAGAGGTAAACTTAGGAGTGTAATGAGAATCAGAGCACAATATGCACCACTTTGAAAAGTATCAGTTACCCGTCCTCCATCGTCCTACTTCTGGAAGGCTTACCGAATATCTTCCTCGCCACCCACAGCCATTCTAAAACCCCCAGTAGACATTTTCAAGCTACCTAGCCATTTCCACATTGCTTTGCGATCAATGATATCCAAAGCTTCTTGCCCACCTACCATGGAAATTGATAGAATGTTTGCATAGGTAGTGGCCAAATGTGACATCTGACCATTTCCTCCACCAAACCCTCCAGTCGCATTCTGTATGGGTCGACATGTTGAAATGATTTTTTGTCGATATGATGATACATCTTCTCCCAGGGTTGAGAGACCAGCCAATGCCCAGTAGAACATCCATGGTCTGCTTGCATCAGCAGCGACATATGCCGAGGGCAACTTTTGTAGATTCTTATGAAGGAACTGAATATGCTTTTTTCGATTCAGATGTGGAACCCCATATGGATTATAGGTCAATCCAGCTTCTTTTCCCGAAAGGAAAGGAAGACATTCTTGAATGGTTTGATCTTGAAGATGAGATGTCTGAGTCTGCAACTGATCGTGGAGTAGGGGATACTCCGTGAAGGTATCGGGAATCATATTCATAAAAGCCTCTGCTGTGATTGGTCGGGATGAGCCGTAAACTATATCTTCATCAGTTCCAGCCTCAATATCTGCTTGGGATGATGAAGATTCTTGTATAATAAAACCAGATTTTTGTGCTTGAATTTCTAGTGAATCATCATTCAAAAGTTGATCTAGTTTGCTGGAAGGAAATAGAGATGAAGACTTTTTATTCGAGTCCTTCTTCTCTTCCATTGCACGTCGATTGAACTTCACACTATGGTGAGTCTTCTTTCCTTTGATAGTGAAAGTCATGTGGGTTGGTTGTTTTTTTGTCTAAGATTCCAGGAATACAATGATCTTCGATTATGATTCGCTATTGGCCTTTACTATTGTTTTACTGATTGATGTTTCGAGGTTGACCAGGTCAGTGGCTCGCTTACAAAAAAACTTACCACAAGAGCCACAGAAGGCTACCAAAGCGTGAAAGTCCATCTTTATCTCGTAGGTATCCCGAGGTCTTTATCAAAAATCCGCATTTGGGTGAATTTGTACCATTGCCGACGTAGAATCTTTGTGTTCAATATGCCGACATAGGATATTTGTGTTCAAAATTCAACTGAAGATGCAATGCAAGCAACGTTCCATACGTCTTCCACGATTGTTCCAAAGATCCAAAAATGTAATTCTGTTGCAACACATTTACATTTGCATTCGCATTTGCATTTACATTCACGAAATGCAAGTTGCCGCGAGGCGAGACTGCAAGCAAGTTAAATCTCTCTATTTTGATAGTTGGGCTGTCATCCTTCGGCCATTGCCGACCTATGATTACTGGTGGTACAGTGCCATTTTGCCCAAAGCATGTATCTGCAGATGTTGAATGCCAGCCAGGGCTCTAATTCGTTCGGGAGCCTGATCAATTCTATTACCTTTTGCCCTTTCACTCGCAGCACATCAAATCCGCATCATAAAGCACAATGGTGAAGGATGTATGTAACTTGAGGATAGTGGCAAATAATTGTTGACGGCCCAAAGGAAGCTTTGAAGGAAGAGAAGAAGAGATAATCATACATAAAACATGAGATGACAACTCTTCTCCGACACTGACAAATCTCCAATTTCACAACAAAACGTTTCACTACTTAACAGGGGGCGCGGTATGCGAGGAATATGTCGGCATGCGCTGATTTGCAGAACGTTTTCGGATTGACCAATAAAGAGATCCGAAAGGAAATTCATCCGCTGCAGGCGTGTGGTGTTGACTCTTGAGGCGTTTTTGCATGAATGTCAATATGCAGCTATCGGAGGGATGGGCCGTTCTATTAGAGGATAGGATACGAGGAATTTTTAATCAAGAAGCCATCGTGGGTTACACTGCTTGGATAGCACCTACTCAATCAATACATTTTGGACATGAAAGTAGGTATTGGTGCCAAGTTAATGATGAAATTGCGAAACGATGAGGGGAAGGAGGGGTGGAAAATGAGGGGCATAAATGTTAATCGCATATGGCGGCTGTTCGTTGATTGCTTCTTTATCTTATCATACAATCTTCGTACCTGGTGGTGTCTCAGATCTCGTTGGCACGTTGTCAAGGTCCACCAGTAATTCATCTATGCGGTGCGAATGTAGACACACATTGTACCAGACAGGATAGTTGAGATTTTCTCAATCCGAAATTGTTTCGACAGAAGGCATTTGTGAAATGCCGGTAGATATCTAGTTAGGCACGGGAGGGTGGTACAAGGCGAACGTAAGCAGCATAGCGTTAATCATTGATGAAGATCATCTATTATCACTCCGATAAGAATTGATTGTGGTTGAGGTTGAATTGAGTTCATTGCAGGACGGGATTCCCTGGTTCGCTGCTACCTCAATGTTGCATCTCTGACGCCTCCTTCGTGTAGAACATATGGAGATGAGATAGAAAGTTACAGTCGATGGACGGTCAGAATCCTCATTTGATTGCTGTACATGTAAGTAAATGAAGTGGTGGTCACCATCTTACCATATTCTTCCAGGTCCCATCACCCATACACAGGATAACTGCCCGGTTCATCATACACTCAAAGTTCTTGTAGAGTCAGTTCTTGAGGTTTGACAACGCTTGAAACAAAGTTTAGACCGAATTGGATTTTTCTGGATTGTGATAACTCGGATGCTAAGCTCACTCTACCCTCTCGGGTCTAGGCGAAAGATCTGACATGCCGAAGCCAAAAAGAGAGACGTGCACTCAACAAACTAGGGGATTTTGAAGAAATTTGAGAAAAAACTTCGTAGGGAGAGGCAGAGAGGGTCCAGGGGACCATCTTATCATCTTTGGCGTCGTAGATGTGGGAAAGGGTTTAAAAAAAGCATACAAAACTCTACGAGGGCGTGTTTTTGATGAGGGCCCGGGTCCGTGCGCAAGCACTTTTCACACCAAAAGTCATCTATTTTAGAATTCAATATTAAATTTAATTAATATTATTATATATTTGAAATCTTGTATATAGGTAGATTTTAATATAAAAATTTGAAATATAATTTTAGATTTTTTATAAAACTTTTCAATCTGATTAAAATCCATATGGAATTATTAGAACTTAAAATTGTTATAAAAAAAATGTTTATTTTAAAAATTGAAATTCTATATAAGATTTATCAATCAATATCTTATTGAAATTTTAAAAAACTAATACTGAAATAATTATTTATTAAATCTTTAAATATATTCTGAATTTCAAAACTTTATAATAAATATTTGAATTATATTTTATTTATAAAAATAGGAAATAAAATATGGTTTTGGTGAGGAAATTCGCTTAAATTTTATTCGGGCCCTCATCAAAAACACGCCCTTGTAATCGTAGGATAGATCCGAAAGATATTGATTGGCAGAGCAACCATTGAGTCAAAATGGAGACCTCAGCCATCTCAATTGGAGATTCCAAAGTCTTTAGTCGGATGTCCAGAACCTCTTCTAGCAATCGCCACTGAAATCATTCGATCTCGTCTACTCCGTCCATATAGCGTTCGGGAATCCATTTCATGATTTGTTGTTCCAGTAGATTTTCATGTCCTGTACGGAGCACTATTTATTGACAGGTGTTGTTCTTGACTCAAATTAGTGGTAAGTAGGTAGGGAAAGCCTAGCACCCGCTATTATATAGCCATTGTTTTAGGTACTGCGCCGCTAATTCGAGCATCAATCGTAACTACTCAGAGGCTATTTCTCCACTTCCCTAACTTCCAGCCCCTCTTGAAAAATAGAGGGTTAACTTACAGTGGGAGCCCACTAGGTATCAAGCTACTCTGCGTCTTAAGACTCCTTCCAATCACTATTGCTTGTTATTTTCATGGGTGAGCCCTGAAAACTGCTCTGTCTTCTAGGGACTTCTCCAAAATCTACCATAGAAATCGAATCCATTGGACACATGACTTCTCTGCTCGCAGTAGTCTCATGCTGCCCCATGCAGTAAGAAGACGCTTGTGGTTCCAGCCGTCACACCTGATTCGGCGAAGGCTTGCCAGTGGGCTCAAAATGGCTGGGGTCGTATAAGTTTGCCGAAATCCCACACCGCTCCTTATGTGGATCCTACCCTCACCCTACGAACTTCTACTACCAATAGGCCACACACCGACTAACATCGTGAGGTTTTCCTCTTCTTCAAAGAGCGGTGTCTTCGACCCTCTTTCTTACAATACTATTGACCATTCCAACAAGTAATCCGCGACAATGAGCTCAAATCTTGACTTCTCGCCAGAAGGTCTGTTAGACCTTTCGTTCGAGCAACGTGACCCACGATACCAATTTACCAATATGACTACGCGTTCGACTTGGCCATTGCCGTTGGATATGGCCTCAGGAGGATCTGACGACCGACGGGAAACTTCGCCAGGACATAGTGGACACCAACAGTATCAAACCGGACATCATCATAATTCTCCCACGTTATTGACAGATTGGCCGATACAACAGCAACCACAGCATTTGTCACCCCAGCAACTTTCCCCTCAGCAATTGTCGCAATTTATCCCGGATAACTCGTTGATGGGACCACAATATACATTTGGCAGCCCGTACCAAACTTCACCTCTCGACTATGGCTTACCTGCAACCACACAAGCAGCTCTCGAAGCCAGTCTCCAGATGGAAGCTCCATTCAACGGACTCACACAGACGGTCGAGGCACAGGCGAATCAATGGCAGGATTGGCATGAATTCGAGTATGCGATGAATTTTACCTCGAACCATGGAATCCCAAGTATAGGACGACAAAGTCTGGGAAGCAACTCACCTACGGGTACGTACTTGGAAGTGCTCTCGTTACCCAGTTCGAGTAGCGATCACGGATGGTCGACAGTCGATACGTACCAGGATTTCAACACCTATCAACAAGCGCAAAACCAAGCAATTTTCAACCCCGGGCAAACATTACATTTGCGAAGTCACTCGGACTCATCGCAATCTGATGGTCACCAATCGATAGATACGTTTGGCAGTTTTGAGGATTTGTCAGGATACCCATATTCGCCGTACTCACCGGGCTCGGATAGCTATTTGGATGTGACGGGTGGACACAGGAATTGTTTCCACGGCGAAGCACACCACCACAGCCACGATATTATCAGTCCCGCCGCAGCCGTTCCCCCGCAACCCATCCAAGCTCCATCTACAAAATCCACGGCGGCTTCAACAACCTCCAACCGCACCTCCCCATCCAACACCTCATCGCCTCCCGCGAGAAGAAACTCCGCACCCCGCAAGAGCCCCACGGCCAAAGCCACCAAACCGGTCATCCGCCGCACCTCCAACGGAAAGAAGGATGCCCCCCCAACTGAGAAGCGCGTTGGACGAAGACGCGGCCCCTTATTACCAGAGCAGCGCAAACAAGCTAGCGAAATAAGGAAATTGCGAGCCTGTCTCCGCTGTAAATTCTTGAAGAAGACGTGCGACAAGGGTGAGCCCTGTGCGGGATGTCAACCTTCGCACGCTCGTTTGTGGCAGGTGCCGTGTACGCGTATCGATATCAAGGATATTGGTTACTTCATGAAGGACTGGAAGGCAGATTATGAACGTCACGTGGGGAGAGGTGTGTCTGTTTACAATATCAAGGGATTCTCGCAAAAGGAGGAGTTGCTTTGGATTACTCATGGGTATGGATTTGCTCTGCCGATTATGGCGAGAGAGGTTTACGTGAGTGATGATAGTTGCTTTAACGTCGACTGGGTTGAGGGTGATCACGAAGAACCCATCGAGTTTGAAACTCGCACCGAGAGAATGTCTGCTGGTTCCGAAGGTGTCTCGAATGAAGCATTATCTGAGTACCTCGATAAACACATTGATGGGCCTTTTGAAGAATTCATCGATGAGTATTTTGAGGGCACCCCATTCATTACCGAGATCTTGAAGACCGCTCACCGCTACTACATGAAAGAGAAGGTTTCCGTCGTCCGCAAGGCATTGAAACTCGTTCTTGCCTACAACCTCACCTTGCACGTTACCATGGTCGAGCAAAGAGGAGACGAGCACCCGATGGAAGGAATCATCGAAGACGAGGACTCCAAATTCAACGGAAAGGTCGTCGCTCCCGTCATGATCAATTTCCAAATCAAATGTGCCCTCGCCGACATGTGGCGTGAACTTCAAAAGGAGATTCTCGAGGAATTATCCTCGCTATACTCTAGCGTGTACAGTGGCGACAGACTCAAGAACTGGCCTACAATCTTCATGCTTGCATCGATTCTCCTCGCCGTATGGGAAGAAATGCAATTTGATTGTCATTACCGCGTTCCCGACCAAGCAGCCGTCAACAAATTCTGCAACGATATGGAAACCACCCCAGTAGGTGTCATTGTCGGATTATTCCATGCTATCTCTCAAAAACTCCCTGCGTTTACCGATTGGGAAACGAGAAGACATGGTCAACTCCTCAACAACAACGTAGCTGTCTGCGAAGCCATGACCGAAATGAGAGGTCACGTAACCAAGCATGGTTTGTCCCCCCTCAAACAATCCAACACAACACAACTAACCCACTCCATGTAGAATCCTACCTCAAAACCCGACCGGACGCCAAATTTGACCGTCGCGACTTCGACTGTCTCTCCAACAAATTCCTCTCCAAACTCGTCATTCGCGCAAATTAATCCTCCTCCTCCATCTATCCCCATTTGCAAATATATACCTATCTACCTACCTACCTACCCAGCTACCGCCCGCTATATAAACCCCCTCCTGTACAAACCCGTTACCCATCTCCGGTTTCCGGTACCAAGATAACGAATTCAATGCTCTTCATGACCACCCATGACATGATATGAAAAAAGAAAACGATTGCAGGAATATGTTTTTCCACCTTTTCTCTTTCTCTCTCTTTTAGAGAAAGCTAGAAAAAAACGAATGAAAAGAATAATTTGTTAATTTCCTATTTTTATTTTACGTTTTTTTTTTTGTTTTGGGTCAACGGCATAGCGTTTTGGTTGTTTTTTGAATTTTTCCTCTATTTTTTTCTTCTCCTTTTCTTTTCAATCTTTTATCAATCATCATCATCATCCGAAGCAAAAAGTTTCCTCCCTCCCTCCCCAATCAACTCAACGACCCCCTTTAACGAAACAAACGAAACATGTTGATTTTTGTTGTTCCATGTATGTATGCATGTATGTTTGTATATCTGATCAGATTTTCAAGAATTCTTCTTTAAATCTCCATCTCATCATTCCATACATACATACATACAAACCGACAAAATCCACCCCCCTTTAACGAAGATCATGGAATTAAAGAACGCTTAACGTTTACATGTCAATGTTTTTATGTTTCTACGGACCCCTATGTCATTTTTATTATTCATTATTCACTATTCATCTATCCCTCTCACTGCGTTTTCTTTCCCAGCCTCTCACGGAATAAATGGATGGAGAGAGAGGTGTTTATTTTATTTTATTTACTCTCATCTGATCTGATCTCGTCGTCATGGTTTCTCTCAAGCGTTTATTTAAAAGAAGGCAGAAGAAATGATCGAAGTAACTGCCGAAATATGAACCCTATGAAAAGATTATTATTATGGCATGGCGTGCATTGAACTTATTTATCTCTCGATTTGTTTTTCTCTCTCTCTTTTTTTGTCTATGGAATGGGGGAAATCAATGCGGCATGCGATGGGATGGGATGAAAGATGGGCGAAGAGCAATGGCGCGAGCGAGGGGTGTTTTTTAGCTGCGAGGGAGAGAGGGAGAGAGGGAGAGAGTATGGAGAAGGAGGAGGAGGATGTGTATACGAAGTTATTGGTTGCTGGACGCAAGAAAGGCATATTTTTATACATGGGGAGAATTTTCGGGGAGGGAAGGGTCGTAGATAAAAACACCAAAATTTAAAGCCTTTTCACTTGATGAATATTTAAGATTTTTGAAGATGTTGATACTTTGATGTGCTTGTTGTATGTTTCTTCTGAATATTTAGATGTATGCCTAGTATGTTGTGCATTTTGAAATTCGAATTTTGGATAGATACTTGTTTGTGTAGGCTGAGTGGTACTTGTTCGTATACTTGTAAAGTACCCTCACTTTGTATAATGAGGACTTACTTGGGGGTTTCTTCGGTGATCTCTCGGATGCGAGATGCTGACTGTTGCGTTCTTTTATATGCACGCCGCACGCGGTTATCACCGACCAGGGAATCGAAAAGATGGAATGAATTAAACTTTGGGATTGATCGGATGAAAAGATTTGATGGCTTGTTTCTTGAGAGAGAATTTACATTTCTGCTAGATTTTCAGTGTGAAGGCGTTGAATGATAAAATCGAGAGGCAAAGAAAGCCAAATCTAGAATTCACGAGACGAAGGAAAATTTGTATGCGTAGCCCAATCCTTTCAAAAAGAGGTCATATTTTTGAGGACCATCAATCAATGTATGTAGACGTGGGTTGAATAGCTGTAAACTTACTCGCATCTTCAATAATACCACCTACAACGTATGTACAGATTGTACGTCCTTACCTCTCATCTTCCCATCAGTTTTACATCCATCCATTGCCGACTTGCCAGACAGATTCGGAGTTTTTGACCGGTGTCCCAAGATATTCTCTTCGAAAAGGGCTGGCATCTCCGAGGCCTCATCGGGGTTTCTGGTACCAGATACACATATGAAAGGAATCATACGTTCTTTCCCTCTTTGAACCTTGGAAATGGGTCAGCTGCTGACCAAGTGTACCAAGAAAAAGGATTTATTTATGTAGGAGTATGCACACTGTTTCTCTGCTTCTGTATTGCGTTGTCCAATTTATGCACCTGCATTTGGGCCCTGGATTGGTCGGTCATGGACAGGCCGATATTGAAAGTTGACTGAGTGATCCAGTTGATTGCAAGAATCAGGGATGTTGATACCATTTTCCATTTCCTTAATCTGTGATCCTTTATCTATTCTCGTGATTGGGATTGCAATATTGAGCAGGGAAATGACGTATCATGAAAGGAAACCCTTTTTGTAGATTTTGATGATTTGGAGAGGAGAGTAAAGTTTGGATTATGCGATAACTTGCTGCTACTTGCTAGTGCATTGCGAGATATTCTATGCAGGAGTTTGAAACGGAAAGTGCATCGGATTGTGTACAACTGGCAGTTTTTGGCTGCAAGGTGCAGATTTAAGTTAAGCATCAAGCATTGAGACTGAGACTGAGACTAAGACTGAGACTAAGACTGAGACCAAGACTGAGAGACGACGAGTAGAAAGGCGATCAATTATTGGAACTGCGATAGAGACATCTGATGGATGGGTCCGAGTACGGAGGCGATGAGGCGATGAAAAGCAAAAGAAGGAAAAAGGAGAGAGGTTGGAAAGATGGTTGATGATATGATAAACATTGTCCTTTCTTTCCACGATTCATTCATCTATTGATTCTCTTCATCGTAAAGCCAAATCCCAGTTGAGCGAGACCGAGTTGAGGTAGAAGGCGGGGTCAATGGCAAACTAATCCATTATAGGAAAGGTCTAGAGCTGATAAGGGGGAGTTGCTCAGTTCTCAAGGTGTTGACGGTGTTGACGGTGTTGACGTTTGGAATTTGAGTATATTCATCATTCATCACCCCTGGACAGCATTATCTCGTACCAAGAAGATATTGATGATTATGATGTGAATGCGAGTAAGCAGTATGAATGATTACAGGACAATATGGATATGGATGTGAACGTACGATGACTAAGAAGAACTTATCTAGTAATGAGGTATTCCGTAGAAAGTACACCGTATTGATTTATAATCATTCATCTACTCCGGTACTCGTACTCACCTATTACTATTCACTCAGGTCCAGATTCCGAGAAGATTCCATTCTCCTTTCCAAATCCATATGTACAGCCTCGGAAGATTCAGGCTGAATCGAGAGAACGAGAGAATCTATCGATTGAATAGAAATCCCTAGAAGGAACGAGTCAACGGTGAGTAAAGAAGGCGAAGGCGCAGCAGTACCTTGATCTTACGCCTACCTATGGACCTATCCGATGGAGCGGTGATTCATTCACTCATTCTTACTAACCTGGAAACTCTAAAAGGTGGCGTGGCGCTAAGCGATAAGGCAAGTTCAATGCGGTTCCTCCTTTGAATACCTACTTAAACACTCCATCTCACCCTCAAACATCTCCCTCTTTTTTCCATCATACAACTCCATCAACTCTCTCTCCACCACAACTTCTTTTGATTTTCAATAAATCATCATCTACAATATCATCTACTTCATCAAAAGATTAATACTACAAAAACATCATCATGCAGATCTTCGTCAAGACTCGTAAGTTGTCACCTCTCCATTTGCCGTCTGCGAGTGGCATTGCCACTTCACTTCCCAAAGCAGCTTCCATCAACACTTTCATCAATAATTCTATCAATAATTCTATCAAAAACATCTGCTAACATGTGTTTGCTACAGTCACTGGAAAGACCATCACCCTTGAGGTTGAATCTTCCGATACCATCGACAACGTCAAGGCCAAGATCCAGGATAAGGAGGGAATCCCACCTGACCAACAGCGTTTGATTTTCGCCGGAAAGCAACTTGAGGATGGTCGCACTTTGAGTGATTACAACATCCAAAAGGAGTCCACTCTCCATCTCGTTCTCCGCCTTCGTGGTGGTATGCAAATCTGTAAGTTGATCCCTTTTGCCATCGCATAACGCCACAGTTCACTAACATCAACATAGTCGTCAAGACTCTGACTGGTAAGACCATCACCCTCGAGGTTGAGTCTTCCGATACCATCGACAATGTCAAGGCCAAGATCCAAGACAAGGAAGGCATTCCTCCCGATCAACAGCGTTTAATTTTCGCCGGTAAACAACTCGAGGATGGTCGTACCCTCTCCGACTACAACATTCAAAAGGAATCTACTCTTCACTTAGTCCTCAGACTTCGTGGCGGTATGCAAATCTTCGTCAAGACCCTCACTGGAAAGACAATCACTTTGGAGGTTGAGTCATCAGACACTATCGACAATGTGAAGGCTAAGATCCAAGATAAGGAGGGTATCCCACCTGATCAACAACGTCTTATCTTTGCTGGTAAGCAACTTGAAGATGGCCGCACTCTTTCCGACTACAACATCCAAAAGGAATCAACCTTACATTTGGTCCTTCGTCTTCGTGGTGGTATGCAGATTTTCGTTAAGACCTTGACCGGAAAGACCATTACATTAGAAGTAGAATCGTCAGATACTATTGATAACGTTAAGGCTAAGATCCAAGATAAGGAGGGTATCCCACCCGACCAACAACGATTGATCTTTGCTGGAAAGCAGTTGGAGGACGGCAGAACCCTTTCGGATTACAACATTCAAAAGGAATCCACATTGCACTTGGTGCTCCGTCTTCGGGGTGGTCAATAAATGTTTTTGATTTTATCTGCACATATATTCTTTAGGCGTTTAACGATGACCTGATCCAATGGTGTTATGGGGGGGCTGGGTTAGCAGGTTCTCATCATAGTGCACTGGCATGTGCCACAACATTGATAGTATTCAATAGTCAAAACTATATTTTTGACATTTAACTCTACACTCTTATGAATGTGATATTGAATGAAGGATTGTGATTGTGATTGTAATTGTAATTAGTATGTAAACAGTAAATACCATTGCTTCACTTCCTTATCGTACATGAACTGGAGTTGGAGATAATGACGGTGTTATGCTCCACTACATCCACTCATGAAGCTAAAGTGATGCGAGGCTGCAGCCGCACAATGAAATTTATATCCCAGAACCTTTCATGTCCACAATACCTTGTGTGCTACAACACCTGAAAAACTACTTTTTGATACGAACGCAACTCTGATGCGATAAACTACGTATTAACAATCCATATCTACTCTTCGCGCTTTTAATTGCCAGACGCATTTTTTTCAACGAGCAGCCCGCGCCACGGTTCCCGCAAGCCCCCACCACGAAGCTTTCGCATGGCATTCGTTTCATGCAGTCGTGAAAGAAATTATGAATGAATGAAGAAGTATGCCATCATACTTTTATCATCTCAAATTCGAATTGTATCCTTTACCAGATTTAGACCCAGAGAAAGTGAGTACGAGAGAAAGGGAGAGGGAAGTGTGGGTTCCTGGTGAGGGAACGGATATTTTTGGCTGTACACCATCATCCACAGGCGGAGCTTGCGCCTGGCCGAAACATAAACCTGTTCTTTGGGATCAACATAGGAGGAGAAAGGGAGGCACTGGGAGCTCGGCAGGTTCTGTGCTGGAAAGAAGCTCGAGAGATATTATAAAGGGAACTGAGAATCAAATACAGGCGGGCAGTTTGCAGGGTGCCCAGAACGGAGATCTAGGTTCGGAAGTAGCAAAAGGGGGAGTCATTGATTGCGGACCTTCACGGCAGACACGACCTGACGAGTCGAAAAATCTGATAGTATTGAGCACGACGAAAAATTCGCAATTAGAAATCGCACCTCCGAGCGCGAGTTTGGTGGGTAAGAAAAGAGATCTGCGAACTTCGAAAAGGGATTGGAGGTTTGGGAGGGTTAGGGTTGAAGCATTGGATATGGATGGCGCGAGGGGATATCATCGTAGAGGGGAGGGTAGCCAGGGTGGTATTGTCATGAATGCTGGGCTAGAACCGGGTGGTCGAGTTACAAAGGCGAGATTCGAGGAATTACATACTATAGGGGAGGATGGGTTAGAGTTGAAGAATACGGAGGTGGGATGGGGAGTGGTGCATTTGTATAGGGAGGGGGAGGAAACACCTGGATTGATGGGGGTGGAAGTTTATAACGCAGATACTGCGGCGAATCCCACGAATGATGCACAAAGTAACGGGTCGAGTGAGTCCGATGGAAATGATAGTGCAGAGGATTGTACTTTACTATGCATACCTGCTGTGCCGAGTTATCTTACGCCGAGAGATTTCTTGGGATTTGTGGGAGAGAAGACAATGTATGAGGTTAGCCATTTTAGAATGGTTATGACGGGGCGGATGAACAGGTATATGGTACTTATGAAGTTTAGAGACGGCAATGTGGCAAAGAAATGGAAGGCAGAATGGGATGGTAAAGTCTTTAATAGTATGGAGGTATGTTTTCACTTTGGTAGAAGATATCTTTGTTTAGAACTGACGATATTCAATGTAGCCAGAAACCTGCCATGTCATGTTTATAAAGTCAATCACTTTCCAAACTCCCACCTCCTCCAAATCAAATACAAGTTTTCCAGAATTATCCCACGATCCTTTTACACCAGCTCCGATGCAAAATAACCTCAAACCTTTCCCTCCTCCAACTCCAAATCTCGTCGAACTTCCCACCTGTCCTGTCTGCCTCGAAAGAATGGACGATACAACGGGCCTCTTTACGATTCTCTGTCAACATGTCTTTCACTGTGCATGTCTCGAAAAATGGCGTGGCACAGGTTGTCCCGTTTGTCGACATACCAATCCCTCACTAGCGATCGCTTCTCGACAGTCTACTACACCCTATGATCCCGACAATCCACCGTTTGGAAGTGGTGAAGCATCACTATGTAGTGTTTGTGATTGCACAGATGATCTCTGGATCTGTCTCATATGCGGAAACGTCGGATGCGGACGCTACAAAGGCGGGCACGCCAAAGAACACTGGAAAGATTCGGCGCATAACTTTGCCCTGGAAATCGAAACCCAACATGTATGGGATTACGCGGGTGATATTTGGGTTCATCGACTCATTCGCGATAAAGGCGATAATAGTAAAGTCATCGAACTCCCCTCGTCACGTTCTAGGGGTGCGTTGGCGCCCGCAGAAGATGTGGATATGGTTCCGCGGGAAAAACTCGAAAATGCAGGATTGGAATTCACGCATCTTTTGACGTCGCAGTTGGAGAGTCAGAGGGTTTATTTCGAGGAGTTGGTCGGCAAAGCGGTTGCGAAGGCGAGCGCGGCGAGTGAGAAAGCTAGTCTTGCGAGTCGCGATGCGGAAGTGGCGTTGGGGAGGTTGAGGGAGTTGGAGGAGAAGTATCGGAAATTGAGTGGGGATACGCTGCCGAGTTTGGAGAGGGAGTTGGAGAGGGAGAAGAGGAAGGCGGAGAAGGCGCAGGAGCTTGCGAGGGGGATGGGGAAGAGTTTGAGGGAGGAGAAGAAGGTTTCGGAGGGGTTGATGGAGAGGATTGGGTTTGTGAATGAAGGGGTTAGGAGAAGGAGGAGGAGATGAGAGGGGTGAGGGAGGAATGTGAGGAGTTGAGGGAGGCGAATAGGGATTTGATGGTTATGATTAGTGGGAGGGAGAAGATTAGGGAGATGGAGGAGGCGGGGGAGTTGGGTGAGGGTGAGGCGGAGGCCGCGGGGGTTAGTGTGGGGGAGAAGGAGAAGGAGAAGGACGGGAGAAAGAGGAAGAAGGGGAAGGGAAAGGGGAAGAAATAGGGATGCGGATGGGGATTGATGACTGATGATGAGAAGAAAAGCTTCTATTTTGGCGTAACATATCAGGGTTGGCGATTGGGTTCTAGGTTGGCGTAATTGGGAAACGAAACGAAAGGAATTGAGGTGATATTGTATTGCATTGCATTGCATTGCATTTCTTGCTCGATACATGGAATGAATGAATGAATGCATGAATGCATGAATCAATACAATGTATCTCTACGAGTAGTCAGTCAGGTACAATCAGGTCTATAGGTAAATCAAAAGGAAACACATATTATGTATATCTCGTATATCTCGTAGATATTCATCAGAAAGATCTGTGAAAATGTTATTCTGTCTATACATACCTAAGATCCATTCTCCCCATGTCTCTCTCTCTCTCTCTCTCCCTCCTTCACTTCCAAAACACACAATACAATAATACAATAAAAATCACAATTCCCAACTCACAATACAAATCACAATTCCCAACTCACAATTCCCAACTCACAATTCCCAACTCACAATTCCCAACTCACAATTCCCAACTCACAATTCACAAATACAACACAACTCACAACTCACAACTCTACACCTCTACACCCCTACACCACACCTCGCTAACAACTTAACTTCTTAACTTATAATTGCCTCATCTCAACCATTCATTTCAATCAACTTTTTATTTCAATGAGAGGAGATATCAATCATATATAGATATGCATGCATGCCACATTGCATACCCAATACCATAACTAACCATCCATACCAATATCCCTACACATACACATACATACACTATACCCTCCGGCCAAGAGCAACAAAAAGAACAGAGCAGAACTAGCACCATTGAGATTTGGAAACAGTCTTGGAAAAAAAATTGCAAATGTTCATCTCTAGAATTTCTTTGGCCCCCCCCCCCCCCCCCCCAAAAAGAAAAGAAAAAATTGCATGCATCCATAAAAACATGTAATGCGTGACCCTTTTAACCCCCAAAGCCAAAAGCCAAAGCCCGAATTCAATAAGATACGATAGAGAAATGGCAAAAAACGGCCAGGTAATGAAGTCCATCCATGAATTACTTTACTCCTTCCCTTCCTCGTACCCTCATTTCTTCTCTCCACAACTTTTCATCCAAAAAGGTATCTCTGATCATTTTTCCTCTACTTCAAATCTGTTACTCGTCCAGCGATCCTTTCCCTCCTTACATAATAATGGCCGGAACGTCAACATTAGCCTTGATGCTCTTATGTGGGAGAATGCTACCTCCGTTTACATAAATCTCATCACCAATCGTAACGTCGTCACCCAATACACTGACATTTTCCAAACGTGCCCATTTACCGATAGTAGAGTTCCAGCCTACGATGGTGCTCTTGACCCAAGCGTGATCCTTGACTTTGGAGCCCTCGAGGAGAACACAACGTTGTAAACGGACACCATCACCGATAACAACATTAGGACCAATTGTTACGTTGGGACCAATGCGGCAGTTCTTGCCAATCTTGGCAGAAGGATCGATCAAGACATTGCCGCCGTGTACGTATGGGGTATTGGGTGGAGTAAGGAGCTTGGAGCCCTTCTTGGTAAGGGAGGAGAGATAAAGACAAGTTCCGGAGAGGAAATCCTTGGGTTGCCCAACATCCATCCAGAATCCTTCCAAGTCGAAAGAGTGCAATTGACCATCGGCGCAAATGGCAGGGAAAGTCTCTTGTTCGATGGAGGTTGGGCGGAGGTCGATGCGCTTGAGGACACTTGGGTTCAAGATGTAGATACCAGCGTTAATGCGGTTTCCAACGAATTCGACGGGCTTCTCTACGAATCGATCGATTCTGGATGCGTGGTTTGGCTTATGGACAACGACACCATATTTGGATGGTTCTTCAACCTTGGTTACGACAATGGTACCTTCATCACCGTGCTTCTTGTGGAAAGCAGCCAAATCTGCGAAAGGATATTCACAGATGACATCCGAGTTGAGAACGAAGAAAGGAGCATCATCCTTTCCGAGAATTTCTTCTGCGAGCTTCAGAGGACCGGCTGTACCTAATGGTTCGGATTCGATGGAGAATGTGATTTTAACGTTGAATCTTTCCTCGTACTATGTGTGCCTGCATTAACTTCTGCGGTGTAACCCAAGAATTTTTTTTCTGGGTGGTAGTAGTGAATCATACCTCAGCCAAATACTTTTCCATAACCTCTGGACGATAATTGACGGCCAACACAATATCTGTGACTCCAGCTTCTGCCAAGGCTTCAACTTGATGCAAAATCATGCGCTTGTTACCGAATTCGACTAAAGGTTTTGGGAGGGTCAGAGTCTATGGGTGGCAGTCAGTTGAAAGCTCTGTAGCTTGTGCGAAGGGCGCCATGTAGATTTCGAGTATCGTATCATGGCATTGGGAGAACGTACGAGTGGGCGGAGACGGGTGCCAAAGCCACCGACAAGAATGAGAGCTGTGTGAATATGTTAGCAATGCATTGCCAAAAGGACTGCGAATGCGGAAGCCGCGTACCCTTCATTTTGATAGATTGGAAGAAGTGAAATGTGTAGAAAGGTTGTATGTAATTCTAGTTCTACCCCACAGTTTAAGAGGATAAGAACAAGTGTCGAGAAGATCTAAGATTGAGTTGGATGTTGATCACCACGTCTACTTAATGGAAGATGGTGAATGTAGAGGTGTCCTTGTGAATTGGATATGCTCAAGCACGATTGGAATTGTGAAGGAGAAAAGAAGATGTAGATGGTACAATTAAAATTGATTCGAAATAGAAATCAACGAATGTATTTGTTGCTATTAAAGGATGTAGCAAAGAGAAGATTGAATTGAATTAAAAGAGTTCAAAGTTGTCTTCTTGTGTTGTCGTTGTTGAAGTTGGAAAGAATTTATGTTGAGAAGATGTTTAGGTGTACGGTAAGTGTAAGTGTAAGTGTAAGTGTATGTGTGAGTGTGAGTATAAGTGTGCGTACAAAGTAGTAATAAGGGTTTGGAGGGTCGTATGAGAGAAGGCCACTGTGTCAATGGATGGATGAATGGATGGATGGATGCAACTAACTACTAACTACTAACAACTACTACCAACTACCTAGGTAATAATCAATCAATCTATTTTGGGGGAGGGGGGGATGGGATGGAGGGATGAACAGTATCTCAGTCAATTCTCGTCAACCGTTTTATCGTACTGGGGAAAGGGGCTACGCAGTTAAGCCGTAGAAGGAATCAAATCAAAATAATAAGTGGCTCTTCATGGCTCTTGAATAAGATTGAAGATTAAAAGGTTGCATTCATGCCATTCAATTGGCTCCAAGTTATATAATCCAATGAATTCCATCCAAAGAACACGTTCTCGACTTTTATATGGTCGACTCTAACTTCTCTTGCTAGCGTATATTTAAAATTGAAGGACATACTCCGTGGTCGAATGATTGAAGTTGATGATATTCCTGGGGAGGTGGTAGCTATATGGCTTGGGTCCAATGGCAAGATGCATATTCTCATGTCAGTATTGCCTGCTCGCATCATATATTGTATGTATTAGATGAGATGTATTATATTTATTAATCAATGCTGGCGTGCACTCCTATTCCTTCGACTCATGTATGGTTGACGATATACACACAGAAAGTCAAATGACTGCGGGCAGGTACGGATAGCGAAAGGATGTACAATGTAAAGATTGGCACATCTCGATAAATGCATGGTAGTTGAGATGTAATAGAGACCTGTTTCGTACCTGGGTAACATGTAGTAAAGTATCTATCCATATATCATGACTTTGAAAATAGGAGTACACACGGAGTACACGAGTATTAAGGTTAGAAAGAAATCAAAACTACCTCTCTGTCTACGTAAGGTTAATAAGTCTTGGCTATAAGGAAACCCCGTCAATCTTCATCTTACAAACAACCTCCTTCATCCCCCTATTCGCAAACTCAAAAAGATTGAAGATGCCATGTCGAAGTGTGTCTACATCGTATCCCCTTTCCATCCATCGTACATATCATGATTTAATCCCCCCAATATAATCATCACCATCGCCACTACCACCAATACAACACCACACACCACAACACAATACCTCCAAACCCCACGACAAACTTCCCCATCGGAATTCAAGCAGCAAGAATCGTATCAAAAACTAGGTAGTCATCCTCTCGTGTTCTTCAATGGCATAAAAGTCGTAAGATGTACTGATACATGCTTCCCCCGCCTTCCTCCCCCTTCATACGAGGTGGTGGAAGTCGCCGATCCAAACTATCGTTGCCCTTCCGTATCAGACAGCATCACGAGATGTGAAAAAAAAAAAGATAATGTGGCAGTGCATGAAAACTAAACTTCACTCTATCCAAGACGCCACATCCCTCGGCGGTTTTATGAGTTGGTTGCCGATCAAACATCAATTACGTCGTCTTGTTTGCTGACGCTTGTCGTCAATACTCGAGCATTGTTGTCACTCAGCACAAATGCCAAATATGAGAAACTGATGTTGCGATTCTTGTTTGCACGATAATATATGACAATCTACATATTCTAGCTTTTCCCTCGAGCTTCATCACTGTTTGTTGGAACAAGAGTTTTCGCAAATGGTTCGGGTTACCATAGTTGGTAATCCATCCATCCATCCATCCATTTTTGATCCGAGCTTGCTGGATTAATCAAATCATGCCTATTGGTATATCACCAATCTCATGAACAACATGAGCAGCCCCGAATATTCAATGAAACAGCCATCCTGAAAAACGTCGCACAATTTATCTGCATTTTGCGAGATCCCTTCACAAAAATGACTCCCTACTCCCAACCCCTTTCCCTTCCCAACCGCGAAATTCGCATCCTCATCCTTCAACCCCTAAGCCAAGGCACCCCAATTCAATGCACTGTCGAAACCATCTCTCTCCTCTCCCATCCTTCATACGAAGCATTATCCTACGTCTGGGGCGATGCTTCTATCCGACAAACCATCATATTCAATGGCACTCCCTTCTCCGTTACTCAAAATCTGGCTATTGCACTACATTATCTCAGGCTACCTCTTGAACCGCGAAGACTTTGGGTTGATGCCATCTGTATCAATCAATCCGATATTAAAGAACGCAATGAACAGGTCACGCTGATGGGTGAAATTTATTCTCTGGCGAGACCAGTTTTGGTTTGGTTAGGTGAGACCTTTGAGGGGTGTGAGGAGGCTTTTGATTTGATGTCTAAAATCGCTATTGCGTGTGAAGATGAAATTATGGAAGAGAAGTCTCAAACCATGTTTTCCTTTTATATAGAGCTTGTTAAGAAAGAATGGTTTACTCGTCTGTGGACCATACAAGAACTGGCACTAGCGGATCAGGAGCCTCTAGTTGGTTGTGGATCTACCTGGACTACCTGGAGTGTACTGTCAGAAGTCTGGCAAAAAGTTGCAATGATAGAATTCACGAAGATGGGAATGATTATGATGGAACGTGGCGATGAAAATGAGAATACACACAAGACTGCTGTTTCGCAGGGTGTACGCACCAGTGCTATCAAAATTGATCTTCTCAATAATGTACGCACGGCAGTTACTGATAAAAAGGGTGAAGATCTCCGGGATCTATTACTCAACACCGTTACATCTAAAGCAACAGAACCTAAAGATAGGATATATGGTTTACTAGGCATGATGGGTTCCTCAGACCGAAAAACCATCACAGTAGATTACAGTCGATCTCTAGGAACAATTTACGCAGACGCCATATCCCACATCTTTCATAAAGGAATAGGACCTTTCTTTCTTGCTGGTTTGGAACTAGCTGGTCCAAATCCCCCATTCCAGTATTCTTCCTTTCCATCATGGGTGCCAAGGTTAGGCAGTGAATCTCTTCTTCATTCTACTCTCTATCATCCCCCAGGTATAGGAGTCTCGGGAGCAGGCAGCACTGCCATCAATGGCCACATATCTCCCGATCTCAAAACCCTCTACATAAGAGGTCTTCCCATCGATACCATTACCGAAAAATTTACCTTTGGCCCAGATGATAATTGTCTCACCCAACTCGCCCACATTGAAGAAATGGTTCTCAAAGCAAAAAATCTCGCGACCCTCCACTCACATCATCGCCCCTACCTCCACACCTTCAAAACCAAAGAACCAGTATGGAGAACCCTCATCACAAACAAACTCTACACCGGAGCCGGCCGTGGAGTTGCACCAGAAGCTTATGGCGAGATGTACGACATCCTACTAAACGACAATTCGCAGCACCACCACACCAATCATAATATTTCCCGTCAAAACAACGATAGCTCGCACAACGACGATGAGAGAATTAGAGACTATAGACTCTCTCTCCTAAACTGCCTCCCGAACTCCGCTTTCTTCATCACCACCACGGGGTTTTATGGCATGGCTCCTAAGTCGGTAGAAACTGGAGATCAAATAGCGATTTGGTTTGGGGCAGCTGCTCCTTTTGTTTTGAGAAGGTGGGATGTGAAGGGACAAAACCCTTCGCATGATATTGATAGTAAGCATTCCGATACTGCAAAAGAAGGACAAAGCCACCGAGAAGGAAACGAAAAAGAACAAAGTGAGATCTTTGCAGCAGTATCCGTAGCATATGTAGCAGGTATCATGGATGGAGAAATAGTCGATGAGGTGTATTGTGAGGATTTGGAAGAAGATGTTGTGTTTACTGTTCGATAGGTAGGAGGATGATGATGGGTTTCTTTACGTAAGTAGGTGGGTAGGTAGATGGTTTTTTTACTTCTAAGTTTGTGTTTTGTGAGGGAATTGTAGAATTTATTGGGTTATTTATTTTTCTATCTATCTATATCTTTATATACCTAGATAGGTAGATAGATAGATATATAATTCAAAATCGAAATTAAGAATTTTCTGTAAAATAATAGATTACTTATAAGTTTTATATATATAATGAATAGATGGATAGATAAACAAATAAGTAAATAGATAGATGTAGTTTTGTATATATAGAACCTAGATATTCAGATATTCAGAATAATAACTATTTATACTATATTATTTTATCTTATTGTATATATAATAGCTATCAATCAATACATACCCCCCCCCCCCCCCTCCTTCTCGCCTCTTTCCCCTGCTCTCTCTCTCCTATCCTATCCCCTACCTCAAGCCCCAGATTGAATACTAAATTGAACACTCAATTTAACCCTAGATTTTTATAATTATCTTATTTCATTCCGGTTAAATCAAGCTTTGTTTTATTATTTCATTATCTTACTACCTCACACTACCTCACTACCTCACTACCTCACTACCTCACTACCTCACTACCTCACTACCTCACTACCTCACTACCTCACTACCTCACTACCTCACTACCCTCACTACCTCACTACCTCACTACCTCCCTCCCTCCCTTCATCCCTCCCTCCATCGCTCCCTCTCTCCCTTCCCCACCAATCACAATCCCCTCCCCTCCCCCCTCCCTCACCAACCCCAAACAGAGATCGAGATCGAAACCCCATAAATTCTAGACTCCCAACACCAACACCCACTCTAAACATGAATATAAACATGAATATAAATATAAACATATCCCCCAAATCCCTTCTCAACCTAGCCCTGCCCCCCTCTCCCCTCCACCCTCACCATCACCCATCACCCATCACCCATCACCCATCACCCATCACCCATCACCCATCACCCATCACCCATCACCCATCACCCATCACCCAGCACCATCACCCATGCACCTATCACTTATCACTTATCACTTATCACCCATCACCCACCACCCATTCCTACACTCCAATCCACTCCAATCCAATTCTAAGAATCCCCCTCGAATTCCCCAAAAGAAAAATCTCTAACCATTCTTTACCTACTTCAAGATACCTACCTACCTTCATATCTAGCAATCACTTACCTTTTTGTTTCTCGCGAGAATTTCATCCATCCATTTATTTGTTTATTCATTCATCAAACCATTCATTTATTTATCAATAAACCATTCATTAAATCAATCCTCAACCATCCAATCCTCAAATAATAAACTATCTCAAATCTATTCCATCCCATCCCATCCCCTCCCCCTCCCCTCCCTCCCCTTCCCTTTTCTCCTCTCCTCTCTCTATCCATCCTCTTCCCCTCCCCTCCCCTTCCCTTCCCTTCCCTCCCCTCCCCTCCCACCCCATCTAGCTCACTAACAACATTTCAGAAAGCAAAGAATACCTACCTACAATCCTACCATAACTATCAATACTTACAAGCATTAATTTTCCCTCAATATCATATAAATCTCCACCACTATACAAAGAACAACAATTGATTCAATTTTCCTTCCTTCAATCTTAAAAAAGGGAAAAACCATCTTCCTCTCGCCCCCGCCATCTAAATAACATCCGCATTCTCTCAATCACATTCACTCCCATTCCTCGGCTCCGCACAAAACCCACGTGAAATCCCCCTCGTTTACAAAAAAAAATGATTTCGTCACAAAACTCTCCTGCAAATTGTGAAACGAACTGCTTTTTTTTTTTGGACGCATTCCCGTGCGATATTCCTTGTATTTATGTATTTACATGTGAATAAATGCCATCCGAATTTTGCGGAATACTATACGTTGCTAGTATGCTATGCTATGCTACATTGAGCCTCCCAATTATTACTATATATGTGTACCCTTTCACTCCCAAGCTCGCCGGCATCTTTTTCCCTTTCCCTTTCCCTTTCCTTTCCTTGCCATTCCTTGCTCTGCCCCAATTCTCCCAGTCCCAGCCAATCTGTCCAGCTGTTGATTGCAGCACCCAATATGAAATTTCCGCCGGCGTCGTTGCAACTGATGCATCCTTCTTCGAATTTTCGCCAACCCATCCATCCTATAATACAATTTCCATCCACCCGATTCCCCCCTATTGCTGCCCGGCCCAGCTCTGTCCAATGCCCAATGCCCAATGCCCAATTGATCGAAGCCCTACTTCCAATTTTTCATCACGGCCCTACGCGTGAGTACCAATATCACCCTGGGTATACCGGCCCGAAGAAACAATTCGCGAACCTGCGAGTAAAGAGAAGGAAAAAACGCTTAGAGAGAAATGATAATGATGGGAGAGTAATCGACAAAAAGAAAATATGGAGAGAACGCTATTCAGATGAGTATGTGCGAGTTCCATGCATGCCCAGCGCCGCCTCGAAGCTGCCCAGTATCTCCATACCAGGCCCTGCTATATGCACCCAGCCCCAGACCAGAAAGTTACGCAAGAAAAGGAGAGGCTTCAAGATGTGTCTATATAGCCAGTCCCTACCCGAGGAGCAACAAATGAAAACCAAAGAGGCCATACGGCCATAAATGGCGACGATTGATAAAAAGAAATGAAAAGAAAATAAAAGAAAAGAAGAAGAAACTGAGTATGGTTATATGCAATGAAACGGATAAATGAAATGGGTATTTTGTTATCGATGAGACGCCCTTTTAGATGAAGCTCAATACAGCGCCTATTTTGTCTGATGGATGGTAACTCTCTGTAACCTTATTGATAATATTCTGGTTGTGATGTTGTCACAATATGTGCGGGGGGACGGCTTTCGTAAGGATCTCTCAGAGGAAGACCAAAATGACCCTGCTCTGGATATTGCCCCATGTTAAGACTTTCTCCTGGTAGTGGCTCATATGCAGTGTCTCTCCGATAGCCGGGAAATCCAGGAGCGATGGGACTTCTCCCGAAATTTGATGGCGGTAGCATTCCGGTAAGACCACTGTGTGAAATATGTGATCTTGGTGGATATCCCATAGCTGGATAATCTGTTGTCTGCCTGTGATTCAATGGATTGGGCTCTGACAATATAGGAACGGTCGAATGCAGTGGCCTTTGCGAATGTGCATGATAGTATGTGGGAGATGGGCGCTGATTACTCATATCAAATTGTAAAGATCTGGGTTGAGGTGAGTCATGGATGTGGGTATTCGAGAGTTGATTCGAAAAGAACTGATCTCGAACCGGTGTAGTCATTTCCTGGGGAGAATGTGCATAATTTGAGGAGTTATAGTCGTTGTAACTCTGCAAAGGGTGTTGGCTTGGAACATGATGGCTAGCAAAAGAAGATTGCTGCTGTTGCTGATGCTGATGCTGCTGCTGTACATTAGCGTACCCTCTAGGCCATTGAAGTGAATCGGCAGAAGCTTGTTGATTGAAATTTGGGCTTTGCGATTGGCTTGAAAGGGTATCAGTCCTTACACGCTTCAACCGGCGTTCTTCCGGCGACGAGGATTCCTGAGAATAGACCGAGTATCTATCTTGCATACGTGTACTTTGATGTGGGGCTTGTTGTTGTTCGCTGTATTTACTCGCCTCTGGAGAACCCGACTCTTCGTCCGGCTCTTGAATTCTGGCACGATACTTCTTGGGCTCGTAATCATCAAACGCAGGACCGCGCTTTCTGAGTAACGACCGAGGCTCCTTACGAACCCTCAACTTGAGCCCCTGCTCCTGGAACTTTTTGGTCATAGTGGTCGATTCCATCATTCCAGGAAAAGCTTTTGACGAATATACGCTAAATTGATCTGACGAAATGCATCCCATCCACACCACTTCATCTTCGCGGCTCTCGAAAAGATTGAACTCCAATATATAGGTACCTTCTATCTTGGCCGACAAATCGCCAAATACAAAATACGCGCCCCATTCGTCAGTTTCCGGATCCTTCAGACGATGACAAGATGAAACAGTAGTGCCTGCTAGTAAGGCTCCATGGGATGTCCCAACTTGCATATCTGTGACTGGCGTAAGACTACTTTTCATGAAGAAATGTGGGTCTGTAAGAGTTAGCAATTGAAAGAAAGCCACAGAGATTGCCTTCATACTTATAATATAACGTTCACTGGGGTCGACCGCGTGGGATATTAAAAGCTGAACAACAGGCGGAGGGTCGACTGCTCGACGGTCTGGAAATAATTTAGATTTATGCCAGTACAGAAGACTGTAGGCCAATTTACCTTTCTCTTTGCCCATGTTAACTCTCGCGTAGCGAGGTTGTTGTCTAATGATGAGCTTGCAGTCTTGGCTTCATTATCATACATCAGTAGTTGTTCGAGCAAAGGCAAATATAAAAGTACGGCTGGACTAATGGGGGGCATACCTTTGTAATCCAGGAATCTGGAGAGATTGTGCCTGCGCGAAGTCGTGCGATGGTTGAGAATTCATACTTATTATTATAAATTATTTTATCTAGATTCGAGATCTTTTTATTCCTCGGTTTGATCGTATACTTTTGTGCTGTGCTTGCGCCACAGATGTATAAATCGACAGTTCGAGTATTGTGTGACTAACAAATAACAAATAACAAAAAATGGGCTCAGGAATAGAGGAGGTAGTGGAGAGGCAAGATGTTCTTCTATATCCGAGATCTCGTTATTTTCTGATGAATCGTACTTGCGATAGAGGTAAGTTTGGCTGGCGTTTGCGAGTCCAAGTCCGAGTCCAAGTTTGAGTTTGAGCCCGACTCCTAATTACTAACAAGGAAACAAACAACTGCGAAGAAGCTTTGTACTGATAGATAGGAAGGTGAGATTCCTTGGTCTTGTTGTTGTATGGCGTCTTGTGGCTGCGATGAAGGTAAGAGTAATCGATTTTTGAGAGTATGTGGAAGGGTGCAGGTAGAATTGAGGACAACCAGAAAGTACTGGCGTTGAATAAGAGAAGATCGGGAAGCATATGTTCTAGATTTCTGATGCCGTTTTAAATGATTTATAACCGTACTGGTGGTTATAGGCCTGGATAATCTTTGAAGAAGTCGAGGTCCCTTCGAGGTAGTGCCGCCCAAGACAGTCCGCAGCTACAGTGTCTCCTCCTTTCGATCTTATGATATACGCCAGAGAACTGTACTGTCTGTCAAGGTGTGTATGTGAACGCGAAGAAACGCTGGCAATAATGAGAGGGGACCGCCTCTTACTTTCAAGAGAATATGGAGGCTCTGGGTTTGGTGTCTTGTTGTTTTGAGACTGAACTTGATATCGAGGAGATTCTTGAAATACCAGATGCGAGAACCAATGGACAGAATTCTCCACTTTGATGATGATTATGATAAATGAGGAGCTCTTGGCGACGATATCAATGCCGTGAATGTAGAGTTATCCAAGATCCTCGAGTCTTCGATTCAGGTGAACTTGTAGGTACACAAGGTAAAGATTCAACGGTCGTGTATTGAAGAAATGCAAACTGACAAAATGCGACTGATGTAAAGGACTGGGTGAGTAAGACTTTAAGCAGTTCTGATTGGTGCTTCACGAGCAGCGATACTCGGTACTCGACTTGAACAAAATGATGGCGCGGATAAGAAATGCAGGGACAGAAGGGATTTTCTATCTAATGCTCTCAGACCAACCAAAGTGATCGAGTGATTAAACTGAGTAACGTCTTTAAGCTCTCTCTCGAGTAAGTACTATACCTTACTGTCTGTAGAATGAGGTGATTTGAAGACTTTATATGAGGCTGTGAGCTTGTGATGCAAATGATACACCAAAGTTCTCGTTGTCGAGCAGGCAAAAAAAATGTATCGATGTGATGTATTTCACCCAAGTTGTTTGTACCAGAACAAACAGAGTACAAGTGATGAACTCTAATTAGAATTTATCTTTGGAGGCAAGGTACAAGAATACTTTTTCGAGGAAGAAGTCCGTGAGGCAGTGGTATCGACGGTAATGATGGATGTAACGGGTTCCGATGAGGCAGTTGCAAGCCCAGGCTAAATTTGTATCGCTCTTCCCCAACTTTGAGAGATCTTGATGATCCCTATGGCTACTTTCCACCCAAACGGGAAATTTCTGGTGCACTTCCGGAATCTAGGATGATGTGGAAGGAGTCTGATTAATGCCGAGTTGGAAACGTACAGTATCGTTATGGGTTTCAAGATTACCTATAGGGTAACGGCTCGAGAGTTATCTTTATTGGTTCAAGCTGATGGAAAAGGTGTGATGTGAAGAAATAGACAGATGGGTATGTGGCTAAGGCGATAGACTAGCAAAGAAAGAGAAGGAAAATATGGGATGAGGCGAATTAGCTTATGAGAACATGGTGTAAGTGATTAAGTGCAAGATTGGAGACGAGATGTGCGTTTATGTTGCCCGTTGCCGAAGTCAAGCTTTAATTCGATGAAGCACTTGAATTTCCTCGCCTTGTTCATTGATAGCCAGTTAAGATGACAGGGCCCCAGGTCCCCTCTAGAACCTCAATAGAATATGTATTTTTAAAAGAAGGACATTGGACAATCGCTTCATGCCTGCTTGTTCTTCCTCGTACCCATGTTTAGCACCCCAGATATATTGGAGATGAGTGATATTGTAGCAGGAAGGAAGTCTCCTCGTTCCCGGTACGCCCGCTACCTACGGTACTTCATAAATGCCGGGTGTGAGAGCAGCGCAGAGTTGAGTCGACTTGAATGGTGAGAGCCCGAGTCATACCGGTCGTCTCACCCTTATGAAATGATTAGATTAGAGTAGTGAGCGTTTCCAAGATTCTTCGTTTGTGAATTGATAGATAGTGTGGGTACATATATCGTTTAGTCTTCCTTGTCGATACAGCAGAGTGACATGGTATGGGGCCGCACAGTCCATTATCTATGGAGTCGAGATATTAGATATATTGATAGAAATGATTGCCACAAACATAAGAGCCAATCGAGATCTACTATCCCTCCCGTCGAGATGCCTCTTTTTCTCTTCCGTGGCTATTAATTTAGGATAGGCCAACATCTAGCATGGGTATCTTGTGGTCAGTTTGGTCTGCACCTGAAGTTCTGGACTCTATGGTCGAGTCAATTTTCAGAATTTGAATTTCCAATTTCCAAGGCAAATGACGTTGATGGAAGGCAGTTTAAGACTGTACGGAGGTAGCTGGAGGAGGACGTTCACTCCGATGTAAGAATCTTATCTGACAGGCGTGCCATAGACCTAGCAGTCTCAATGCTAACACGACAGCCCAAGAGTAGCGTTGGAAATAGCCATACAAATGAACTTGGTAAACAAGTACTCACTCATATCAAATGAAACAAAAAAAAGAAAATAGTACATTGACACAATACAACACGGAACTTACCCACGAGCTCCATCAATTCATGTAAGATCTTCATTTGATGCACCATGCACAGCGTTTATTGAAGCAGTCGGCAACCCAAACGAAGACCCAAAAGAATGGAATATCGGACGTAAAATGATATGTGATAGGCGCGAGAGAGAATTGTGAGAAGATGTTACTTGCCTGCTCTACCTTGGCCGACATGCTGTCGTTGATTGATATGGATAAGGAAGAAGTATCACCCCCAAGCAGAATTGGCCGAGAATAGAACATTGTGTGTGTAGGGAGGTACAGAATGCTTAACAATTCACATCATCCATCGATTGGGAAATTATCTCTTCTGAGCTGCCTTTTGTGTGCACCTTGCTGTTCGATGGCCGAAGTACGTTTATGGTTGTGAACGAACAGGAAACCGGAAATATTGCATGCACGTACGAGTACATCTACAGTAATTACCTAGTAGATAGCCACAAGTCAATTTTATACGCGAGACATTTATCCGTATATACGTAAGTAGGCAGGTAGGTATATTATAAAAATACACTATACCTAGGTAGGTAGTAATATATAATAGATGCAGGGATTTGGAGAGGAGGGGGGAGAGGGGGGAGACCATGCTATGCATCAGTAGCTCGTGGCTGCTCATACCACCACCATCACCACCACCACCACCACCACCACACATTCTGTCTGCCCCCCACGACGCAAATTATTCATCAACACTATCAAAATACAAATATATCAGCCGAAGCATATCAATCTTTCTATCATTCTTAGAATGCAATATCTACCCAAGTACAGCTACAAGTCAATGCACCATGGCCAGTATATCGCAAACTACCATGTGACTTATACAGTCATGCTACATCAAGCTCCAAACTTATATTCACATGCATCTCCTCTTATAACATCTCCGCATTGCTTTCGGATCCCTTGGAACCGTTGCTAATTTACTCTCCAATTTCTTCAAAGCATGTCCGTTACCAAAAAGTGTTGACTACTAGAAACCCAATACCGGTTAATCCGCATCATCATATGTAGGAAAATCCAAAATTATCGTCTTAAAATACACCTGGAAGTTCACGGGTATGGACGCATCAGAGAGATAATCTGCCCGTTGGTAATGCTACTGTTGTATTGGTGGTCACTGACTGACATTTGATTTTCAGGGAACGAATCTTGACTGAGAATCCAAGGGCTAGAACCTGTCAAACACTTAAATTGCCATCGCAGCGAGACGTATCATATGACGATATGGAACCTCATCTGTTCCCCATAGGTTAATCTATAACCGCTACAGGTAACAGGATATGAAAGGCTTCATGCAACGTTATGTCCTTCCTCCTACCTACCTCATTTCGTGGAGGTCGAAGTGGCAGGGACATGGATTGGTATGTTACTCCAGAATATGGGCTAATCGATTCTAAGCAAAGCAGTCTCAAGTCCGAGTCCGACTCCAAAGATTGGAAAATAGCATGGTGAAATGAGTATGGAGAAATGTATTCAAAATCCGATTGTCTAATGAATTCCAGAGAAAATACCCACAGCCAATGTTTCAAACGGGAACTAGTATATGCTTTAGGAGCCGTAGTCAGGCCAAGAGATAATTGCATGAGTTGCCGGATATAGAAGTACAGCCCTCCTATTGTGTACTACTATACATCGAGCGATATTTGATATGCCTTATCAAGTCATGACTGACAGCATAGCATTGAAATTCTCGAATGTTTTCCCAGAAGTTCCAGATACCGGTTTCTTGATAATGTTTATGAAACCCTCCACGACTTTGATGTCCAAATCTTCTTCTACTCCACTAACTTCTTGATCCAAGTCCATCACTTTCGGTCGAAGATTCTTATTTGGAAATTCCCGGAACTGATCGGGAAGCGGCACTTATTAATATCAAATTAGCCTATGTGCGGCGAATACTCCTCATCTACAGGGTTCGTCGGAACGCTAGAAGGAGAAACTCAGAAATTTATACAGGGCTCAAGCCTTAAGGCCCTATCAGACTCAGGGTATTTGATAAAATCTCATCTAGCATTGGAGCCACCGTCCGGCGTTCACACACCATTGGACATGGAATATGGAACTATTGTCGGTCGTTCTTCCGCTGCACAGATCACTCTTGGGTCGAAATCTACAGCTGCATCCAGATGCACAATCAGTCAGTCTTGCAACGCGGGCTCATG